CTGATGCAGAAAGAGCGTTGCGAGTTCGAGACCAGCCGGGGCTACAAAGTGAGCCCAAGTCTGACCTGAACTGCAAACCGAGACCCTGTCTCAAAAAAGAGAGAAAGAGAGAGAAAGAGAGAAAGAAAGAAAGGGTTAGGATTAGGGCCTTGCCCCCCGCCGCCAAAAACATGAAGCCCCAGGCTGTGGAGGCAACTCAGCTGGACAGCGCTGCTAGCATGCACAAGATCGGTTCACGCGTGGCAACAAAAAAACAGGCCAACGAGCAAAGATCCTGTAAAAAGCAATTGAGAAAGCAGAAAAAAGAAAGAAAAGAAAAAAAATTTCTAAATGTTAAAAAGAAAGAGATGAAAAAACAAAACAATAAGGAGAAAAATCGTGCCGGAGGTGAGGCACTGTCTCCAAAGTAAAATAAAATAGGAGTCAAGGGTTTAGCTCAGTGGTGTAAAGCGCCTGCCTGGCAAGAGCAAGGTTGTGAGTTCAATCTCCCCCCCCCCCAAAAAAAGCAAAATAAAATCAAGCTGGTCTCCTAACAAGGAAAGCAAAACAAATATGGGAGGGACCCAACTTGTGTAGCTGCTGGGGGCTTGGAGGCAGGGTCCAGCTGGAGTGGGGAAGGCATCTGCTTTCACAAAGCAGTTGAGGAAGGCCAGGTCCAGTTCCATTCTTTTCTCTGACTTACTCCCTTCCTTCCTCTCTTTTTCTTTTCCTTTTCCTTTCCTTCTCCCAGGCCTGGTTTATAGCTCAGTTTGAGTCCTCATAATTCAGGTGATTTGGTCCCCAGAGGAAGAACCCTCATCGCTCAAAGGACGGTCTCAATCTTGTGAGGCTTGCTGCAATCCAGGGACCCTAGATTCAGGACAATGAGGAGCCACACACACACACACACTTGTGTCCCTTGAGTCCCAAAGAGTGATGAGACACTTCTTCCGTGACTGACCTGCCTCTGTCACCCAGAGTCTCACACAGTAAAGGTCAATTTTTATTTATTTTATTTTTTTTAAGACAGAGTCTATAAAGTTCAGGCTGGCCTTGTGTTTGTTCACTATGTAGCCTCCAGGATGGCCTCGAACTCACAGTGATCCTCCTGCTGCTGCCTCACATGTATTTGGTATGTACCACCATGCCCGGTTTTGTGCTGTTTTAGTTACCTATTCAGCATTTGTAGGTCCAAATAGTTTTAGCAAAAACTTTGTTTACTTGGTGGAAAGGGACATGGTTTTTGTTTGTTTGGTTAGTTTAGTTTTGTTTTGTTTTGTTTTGTTTTTTTTTTTTTGAGCCAGGATTTTACTGTGTAGTTCTAATTGGCTTTGAACTCATGGTGATCCTCCTGCCTCAGGCTCATAAATGCTGGGATTACAGGTATATGCCACCACCCCTGGTTCCAGCAGAAACCACTTTTTTTTTTTTTGGTACTGGGGATCGAACTCATGAGTGCACACTTGCAAAACAGGCGCTTATGCCACTGAGCTAAATCCCCAGAAACTACTTTTTTTTTTTTTTTTGTCTTTTCTTTGAGACAGGGTCTCGATATGCAGTTCAGACTGGCCTTGAGCTCACTTTGTAGCCCAGGCTGGTCTCCAACTCGCAAAGATCCTCCCACCTCAGCTTCCCAAATTCTGGGATACAGGTGTGAGCCATCACACCTGGCTTTTTCCCAGAAACTACATTTTTTTTTTTGTCTTTTTCCTTTTTATCAGCCCTCAGAAACCACTTTTAAAGAAACCACTTTTTAATCCCTCTCTACTTCAGAAGAAAACATAAATTGTGCTTTTGATGTGTAACAGGTTTCGAGCCCAGGAGTCTGTCTGTCCTCTATCCTGTGACTGGATCATGTTTCTTCAGCAAGTTTTGTGTTAACCAGAGGGAAATGTGCCAGATGGTCTGTGCATGAGGTTTTGGGGGGGGGGGTGTTGGTACCAGGGATCAAACTTACGATCTTGTGCTTGCCAGGGAGGCGTTTGTGCAGCTAAGCTAAATCCCCAGATAAATACGGTGGTTTTTTTTTTTGTTTTTTTTTTTTTGTTGTTTTTTTTTGAGACTGGGTCTCTTTATGCAGTTCAGGCTGGCCTTGAGCTCACTTTGTAGCCTAGGCTGGTCTTGAACTCACAACAATCCTCCTGCCTCAGCCTCCCAAGTAGTGGGATTACAGGCATGAGCCACCACATCCAGCTCTAAATATTTTTTTTAAACATGTTTTTATTTACGTATTTATTTTTGAGACAGGGCCTATGTAGCCTAGGTTGCTCTTCAACACAAGGTGATCCTGCCTCAATTTCCTTAGTTCAGGAATTACAGATGTGTACCACCCCACCTGGCTGAATATGCCCCCCTTTTTAAAATATGCTTCTAAGAGACAGTACTCAAAGGGCTAAAATAAGAGACTAATTTATTACTGTGCTTTATGACTCTTTATTTGTTCCTAAATGTTAGATGTTTAGTCGCAAAGTGTTCCTACAGCCTACTTGTAAGCACTATCTTAATTCTAGGGGGTTAGGGGCTCGGGATTTAGCTCAGCGGCATAAGCACCTGCCTTGCAAGCAGGCAGTCATGAGTTCAATCCCCAGTACCGATAAAAAGGAAAAAGACTGAAAAAAAAAAAATTTTAGGGGGTTAAACACCAGACACAACTTCTAGCTTCTTGTCAATGAATGTACATGTAGTCCTGGCCACTCTGCAGGCTGAGGCAGGAGGATTACTTCAGTCTGGTCTACACTGAGAGACCTGGTTAGCCTCCAACTGTCACTTTTTCTACCTCAGTCTCCCCAGTGTTGGGGTTACAGATTAGGCTTACAGCATCACCAGTCTTAGGTAACTTTTGTTTTCAATACTAAAGATTGAACCCAGAGCCTTTCTAATGGACTCCAGTTCTAGCCTCCACTTTTTGAGACAGCATCTCACTAAATTATGCCAGGCTGGCTCAAATTTGTGATACTCCTGTTTCAGCCTCTGAGTGTTGGATGGTGGATATCTGAGCCACACCTGGTCATGATCTTACTTTCATGCATAAACTTCATATTTTGGGGTTTTGTTTTTTTTTTTGTCTTTGTCTTTTTCTTTTTTATCCGTACCGGGGATCGAACTCACGACTGCCTGCTTGCAAGGCAGGTGCTTATGCCGCTGAGATAAATCCCCAGCCCCCAAACTTCGTATTTTGAAGTTAGAAAGACTTGGGTGCTTGTCAATATTAGCACTATAACCCTGGGCTATGGGCCTAGGACCTGGATGCCTAGAGACAGGGTCCTCATCTCTATTTTTAAATTTTGTTTTTTTGTTGCTTTTGCAACAGGATCTTGCTATGCAGCCCAGGCTGGCCTTGAACTCAGTGATCCTTCTGCCTCAGCCTCCCTAGTGCTGGGACCACAGGTGTGTACCACCACACCCAGCTTTCATCTGCAAAATCAGCAGGAAATCTCCATCTCACAGACTGTGAGGGACACTAGAAATGATTTACTGTAAAGGGCTTGGAAACCCTCTTTGAAGGACCTCAACCACAAGCAGTGTTTTGAAGGAGACTAGAGCTAGCCTGTATGGAGCTGAGTCTATCATTTCCTAGCTTTTTTCTGTGGACAAGGTTTTCTGAATCTTGTCTCTGCATCTGTGCAATGGATCTCAGGATGAGTACTATCTGCTTTAGCATGTGGTTGTGAGACAAGCAAGTAATATACCCAAAGCCAGAAAGCAGCATTTGGGGCACAGCTTAGCTTGCAGACAGAAGTTGTCTAATGTGGCTGCCTAATTGGAAAGGTGAGAGACCCTACTTATGTCTACATAAGCAGAGTTTCTACAGATGTCTGTGGCAGTAGATGTTTTTTAGATGGGAAGCGTGGGTGAGGAAGATGGTGGTGGCTTGAGTTTATAAGCCAGGCACTCAAGAGGCTATGGATTGATAGTTGAGTTTAAGATCAGCCTGGGCTACAGTGAGACCCTGTCTCACAAATTTTTTTTTTTTGTCTTTTTCATTTTTATCGGTACCAGGGATAAAACTCACGACTGCCTGCTTGCAAGACAGGCCCTTATGCCACTGAGCTAAATCCCCAGCCCCACAAAAAATTTTAAAAAGAGCTAAAGATGTAACTCAGTGGCCTGCCATGGTGGCCCATGCCTCTAACCCCAGCACTCAGGAGGCTGAGGCTGCAAGATCATTGCAAGTTTGAAACCAGCCTGGGCTACAAAGTGAGTGCATCGCCAGCCTGAACTACATAACTAGACCCTCTCTCGAAAAGAAAAAAATGTAACCCAGTATAAAGACCCTGGGTTAAATCCCCACAATCAAAAAATATGAGTCGGGCTGGAGGTTTAGCTCAGCGGCATAAGCGCCTGTCTTGCAAGCAGGCAGTCGTGAGTTCAATCCCTGGTACCGATAAAAACGAAAAAGACAAAAAAAAAAAAAAAAAAAGAAAACAAAAAATATGAGTCATCAGTTGGTTCCCCAGTACAAAAAAAAACAAAAAAAAATTCAGATAGGGTCTCCATATGTGGCTGGGTTTGAACTGCTTAGCACATGCTAGCCTCAAACTTATGGTAATCCTCCTGCCTCAGTCTCCCACATGGTACGGTTATACAGGAGTTCACTGCCATGCCCAGCTCAAAAAGTTCTGAAAGTTAAAAAAAAGAAATTATGAAAGTTAAAAGTATAGGGGCTCAGTGGTAGAGTGCCTGGCTAGCATGCTTGAGGTCCTAGTGGCCACCAGGGTAAAAAAAGCTTAGTATTTATTTTACTCAAAATGTAACACAGCAAAGACAAACAGGAGGTAAGATAACCCATCCTGGTTATACAGCTGCAATACAGGACTGATCTGTACAAGGCAAAGCTTCCCTACAATAATCTGTACTTTTGCTGAACATAAAATTTAAAGAGTCACTCACTGGGAGACCAGGGAGGCTGGCTCCTTGCTGCCTCTTGCCAAGCAGGCTTCCTGGGTCTGGATTCTTCACCCATCCTGACTCTTCATATCCCTCCCTACTACTGCATTTTAACCACACACGAGTCACAGCTGTTGGGTTTATTTCATTTATTTTTTTTTCACTTATTTATTTTTGAAACAGGACCTCCCTATGTAGTTCAGGCTAACCTTGAATTCCACACAATTTCTCTGCATCAGCCTGCCAAGTGCTGGGATGACAGATGTGCCAACCATAGCTGGCTCTTAGGCTTCATTACAAATGGAGGCAACTGCTCCACAGGTCCCTCTGCCATCTTGCTTCTATGCCCTCTTCCACATCTCTGCCAGCAGCAGAGTCCACCAGCCGCTATGGAGGGAGACTATGGAAGAGTGAAGGAGGAAATGCTGTCTCCAAAGTCATCTCAAACACTCATCCAACCTTCCATTTGCAGGTGAAAATGTTCTACTGGAAGAAGTGAAAACTTCAGCTCCCATCCTCCAGATCCAACATGTCAACATCCTGGGGAGCTGTCATTTTCTTCTGTTGCTTGGCCTGTGGCTCTCTGGTCCTGGCTGGCTTTGAGGGGGCTTCCACTGAGCAGAGCAGAAAGAGGAGGTGTTGAAGAACCCAATCCCCAGGATGCCCCATCCCTGCATCTCAGAGGAACCTCACCTTCCATGGCTGCCTTCTCCTTCTGGGCTAGCCGGATCTGCTGCAGGAGCTTCCTGCGCTTCTTCCCCGACAGGGTGATGTTGGCCCGCGCACTGGACCTGAAAAGCAGGAGGAGCAACCTTAACTCACACGGGTCACCAAGTGATAATGGCTGCTCCCGGGCCACAGGCTTTGGTTCAAATCCCTACAGTCACAACAGTGTGGGTCCTCAAGCTGTGGGGTGACTCTTAAGCCTAAGGCGTTCAGCCAGGACCTTAAGGACAGGGAAGGCTTAATTCAAGGCGTCAAGGATTAAAGTACTTAACACTAAACGTTACAGTTTCTTATGTAGTTAACACCTCTGATGTTTACAGGAAGCCAAGTAAAGGACGTAAAAGTAATTAATGGGCTTAATCGGCGGACACACAGGGGTCTTGAAACCTGAATGAAAAATCCTACGTACACCTTTGAGAAAATTCACCAAGCACATACTTTTACTTGTGTATTTCGTAAGTAAGTCTTCTTATAAAACTACAAATAAAATCGGGTGAGGTGGGGAACTCCTGTAGGTCACCGCACTGTGGCAGGCAGAAACAAGCCCTCAAGTTCGAGTCCCGCCTTAGCATCGTGTTGACTTGAGGGGTCCTGTATCAAAATTAAAAATAAACGGGCTAGGAATGCAGCTCTGTACAAAAGTTCAACGCCAACACCAGAAAAAAGATCCAAGGGCATGAACCGACGTGGTGTGTGGACCAGGTAGCCCCTGGGTTCGGCTCGGACTCACGCGCGCTTCCGTAGATGGTGCCGCGTGGTCAGCCCCGCGTCCACCACGGCCCCGACCACCCTGCGCCGCAGCCGCCGCGCCCGGCCCAGCAACCGCCGGCGCTTGAACAGCTTCCTCTTCAACTCCTGCGGGGAAAGAGACAAGGCGAGTAAGCGCAGGGGCTACTGGCCGGAAGCCTGGCCCCTGAGACCCCATAGTCACCGTGCGCGGCCGGTTGATCTTCCCGCCCGGAGCCATAACCTCTCTGACTCTCAGGACGCCGTTCTTCCGCTCCCTACCGACCTGCCCTTCCGGTCTGGTTGTACGCAGGTCCCGCCCCCGGCCCCTGCAGACCAATCGCCGCTCGGGGCGGATATATAAGGCAAACCGGAGGGTCTTGTTTCCTTTCTGACTGCAATGTCCACCAGGTAAGATGAGATCTACTGGTGGCTGGGGGTGGGGGGGTTTCCAGATGAGACCCTCCATTTCTTGGCGGAGACCGGGCGTGCAGTCCCGTTCCCCGTTATGTACGGAGGCAAAAGAAGGGGCTCCGGCTCCCTCGGCGTCATGTCTTCGGTGCCGGCGGCGTCCCGTCTGCCGGTTCTATCCTCTGGCGCTGCGACAGACTCAAGAGCGAGGCCCAGGGCCCGGGCGCTCACTCCCTTTTTTCTTGGTTTCAGGTCTGCGGGCACCGGCCTCCGAGGTGGATCTGTTGAATTTCCCTTTATTTGACATTGCAACCAATAAAGACTGTTGGTGCCAAAGCCTGGGTCGGCGTTTTTATTTCCGAGGTGGTGGGATTCAGGGAACCACACGCGGTTCTCTGCGGCGTGGAATTTGCATACTTCAGAAGTCTGGCCCTGCGGCGTGCTACCTCGGGAATCTCCTATGGCTGCGCTGCGCTGGACGCTGCGGGTGTCGCCCATGCTGGCCCGGGCGCGCACCTCGCCGGGTAGGGAGCGAGACAAAGTGGGCAGCAGGGCGGGATCCTCAGCAATCTCGGGACCGTAATCCTCTGAAACCTTTGCAGTTTTGGGACAAAACTCGCACCAGTGACTTCTGTCCTCCACCCGTGTCCACAGGCTCCCTGGCTACTACCTGCTTGGCAGACCGCTACCTCTGGGACCGGTTCCATGCCCAGCCACGTCCGGGCAGTGTCCCCACCTTCGACTGGTTCTTTGGATATGAGGAAGTCCAGGGCCTCCTCCTTCCGCTCCTGAAGGAAGGCCCGGTTTCCTGTCCACCCAGAGTCCTGGACGTGGGATGTGGGACCTCAGGCCTGTGCACAAGCCTCTACACCCAGTCGCCATACCCAGTGGACGTGCTAGGTGTTGATTTCTCTCCTGTGGCAGTGGCCCACATGAACCGTCTCCTGGAGGGCAGCCAAGGCCAGATACCCCTGTCCCCAGGACACCCTGCTTCCCACCTCTGCTTCAGGCAAGCTGACGCCCAGAACCTGGGACCTGTAGCTCCCTCAGGCTCTTTCCAGCTTCTGCTGGACAAGGGCACCTGGGACGCTGTGGCCCGGGGTGGGTTGCCTGGGGCTCGCCGGATGCTGTCAGAGTGCCTTAGGGTCCTGAGTAAGCAGGGGACCCTCATCCAGTTCTCTGATGAGGATCCAGATGTGAGGTTGCCTTTCTTGGAGCAAATGTGCTGTGGCCAAACTGTGACCATGCAGGAGTTAGGACCTTTTGGGGGCATCACCTACTTCGCTTACTTGGTTAAATGTGCTCATTAAAGATGCGGAAGAGGGTTGGAGACAGCTTTGCTTTGCAGTATGGATGACTAGAAAGAGAATCTAGGTCTTGGTGTTCTCTTTCTGTAAAGTGAGAATGATACCTGGACTGCATATATTCACCTGAGATGGTCAGTGGTGTGAGTGAAGGAGACTAGATAGAAGGTTGGTTCCCCCATTTGACCCAGAAGTCTCAGAAGACCAACAGAGGAATTCATCTTACTTAGCCCATGGCCTGGTCTGTGAGCCTTGAGTGTAGGGGATGGCTTGGAGTCTGGTTGGATAGAAGGCTCAGTTGGCTGTGAAATGTTGCAGAGAACAGTACTTGCCTCCAAGGCTATTGGGAGACAGATGGGAATGCTCCACAAGTCAACACAACAACCTGGTGCTGGGTCCCAAAGAGAACAGGGTTTGGAGGTCTAGTACTGTCCTCAGGAATCCAGGAGACACCTTGCTCTTCCCACTCCTGTCCCCAACGGAGTCCAGGGTTAAACATTTTCAAGGGAGATCTAAGGTCCTCTGGGCTCTAAGCCCATCCTGGGGAAGTAAAGAACCCAGTTAAGATTAAAAAACTTTTAACACTTTCTAAAGTTTTGAAAACAATTTGTGTAAACCAGGCATAGTACAGTGCCAGGACTGTAATCCCAGTCCTAGGAGCCTGAGGCAGGAGTCCAACCTAAACAACTTTTTTTTAATTTATAATGTAGCACTGTATCAAAAAGGCTAGGGATGCAGCTCAATGAGAAGGTCATGAAATCAATACCCAGTACTACCAAAAAAAAAAAAAGTATGGTGGTACACACCTATAATCCCAGCATTTAGGAGGCTAAGGCTGGAGGATTTTTGCTAGTTCAAAACCACCCTGGGCTACAAAGTGAGCCCAGGTTCAGCCTAAATTGCATAGTGAGACCCTGTCTCAAAAAGGAAAAAAAAATTTTAAGTGTGTGGGTCAGGGATGTAGTTCAGTGCTAGAGCTCTTGTCTGACATGCACAAGGCCCTGGATTCAATCCCCAACACCACTAAAAGAAAAAAAGCCAGATGTGGAATGCACCTGTAATCCTAGTGTCCCATAGGCAGAGGCAGGTTTGCCATGAGTTCAAGACGACCTAGTTCAGGACCAGGGATTTAGCTGTTGTGTAAAGTGCCTCCCTGGCAAGAACAAGGTTATGAGTTTGATCTCTGATACCACAAAATAAAACAAAGATTACCTAGTTCAAAGACTACCCTGAACTACATAGTGAGAGCCTGTTTAAAAAAAAAGTGTTCTGGGCTATGGCCTAGTGGTAAAGTGTGCCCTTGCGAGCCCTAGACACTCAGCTTGATGACCAGCATTAAAAAAAAAAAAAAAAAAAAAAAAATCTAAAAAAAGAGCCTAGATTGGATGGGCATGGTGGTACATGATTGTCATTTTAAACTTGAGAAACATGAGTTCAAAGCCAACCTGGGGTACATAGCAAGACCCTGTCTCAAAAAAGCAAACAATAAAGGAAGTCTAGATTCATAGGCTCAGTTTCCTCATTTAGAAAGAAAAAATGTGTCTCTAGAGGCTGAGATAGGATGATTGTAGATTTGACCCCACCTGGGCAGTTATGGACACCTGGGCTATAGCTCAGTAGCACAGCACTATAGTTGGATGTAGATAACTTAATCAGTCCTTTACCCAGAACAAGCAGTGTATATATGTATAAATACTGATTAAAATATTAATACTTACTAAAGGTGTCACAAGCCTGGGCATGGTGGTGCATGCCTGTAATCCCAGCACTTGGGACGCTGAGATAGAAGGATCACTAAAAATTCAAGGCCAGCCTGAACTACAAAGTGAGTTTGAAGCCAGCCTGAACTGCATAGTGAAACCCTGTCTCAAAAAGACTTAAAAAAAAAAAAAAGCATCACACATTCTGACACCAGAACTGCCCCCTAATAAAGTCTATCAACTTCAGCCACATTGGCTTTCTCCGCCATGAGCTGCTATTTGTACCTGGTAAGTGTGCCCTCCACCATCTGCTCTCCCTCTGGTCCTGGAAGGTTTTAGTTTTCTCTTCCTCACCACCTATGCAGCAGCAGCAGCTTTTCCTGGGGTCAATGGAAATGCCTGCTATCTTCATCAGTCTCCAAGACCTCCACCACAGATGGGGCTTTTGTGAGACCACCTAAGCAAAGACAGCAGAGAGTTGACATAGCCTGATAAGCTTGTCAGTACTAACCTACACATCCTGGTGACCCTCAGACCTTTATTCCTTTGTCTTTGTCAACCTAGGACTTCCTGGCTATGAAGAGCCAGGCCCAAGCCTCTCCAGGTTGTTTCCTGGCACAAGAGCCACCATGGTGCTAGCTCATAGTGCAAGCACCAGGCCCAGCCAGTACACCATGTCAACTGCTCCTTTAATCTTTGTCCCTTAAGCATGGAAAGGGTAATGTGCTAGATTATGGACCTTACAAGGGTGAGAAGTTCCAGAGGTAGGAAAGGAGCTTTGTTTTTGTTTACTCTCTTGGGACACAGAGAAGACAAGCAAAGACACTGGGATTAGAGCCCTGAGTGAAGACAATGGATTTGAGATTCTCTCTTTGCTTACTGGTTTTCCCAAGCCAACTTGCCCATTTATGTCTTAAGAATTTTGTATATAGTGTTCACTGAAGCACTTACATGTTGGGAGCCATTGAGCTAGTCAGCATTACTCGTATGGAGCCAAAAGCCCACATCCCTGGACAGCAGCGCCCCAAGGGCAGGGAGCACCTGAAAAATGCCCTGAGTTCTTGGGGTGCTGGAGAGGCACAGGTGTTCCAGCCCCCAAAAAGGGGCAAAAGAAATCTGGGGTGGTGGCGCGGGTGCCTGTAATCCCAGCACTCAGGAAGCTGAGGCAGGAGGGCCGTTGCAAATTCGAGACCAGTCTGGACTACAAAGTGAGCCCAAGGCCAGCCTCAACCACAAGAGATGCTTTCTTAAAAAGACAAAAAAAAAAAAAAAAAAAAAAAGGCTGGGGTGTAGTTCGGTGGTGGCTGGCCCCCAGTGTGTGCGTGTGGCGCTGTCACAAAAGCAAGGCTATGCCACGAAGAAAGTAACAGGCCACTTAAAGCAAAGAGAAATATTGGTAACTGCACCAGGGCTGGTAGGAATCCATGGAGGTCCACGAAGTGCCGCGTTGGACGCGCTTTGAGTCATTGCAGCAGATCACCGGCCGGCCCAGCCCATAGTAAACCTACGGTGGCCTGGACAAGCTCTGAGCCAGCGATTCCGCCGCGGATCAGAGGCGGGGCAGCGCAAGCTCCGCCCCATGCCTGCGCTTCCAGACGCCCTCCGGCGGCCAGACCATTGAGACGCAGGCGCCATGGAGGTCTGCGACTCTGGGCCAGACCAGTTCTAGGCGGGCGCAACTGAACCGCTCCCCAGCACCGCTCCCCCTGCAGCCGCTCTAGCCCGCTGGGGGTAGAGAGGCCCTGCGGCGGCAGCGCGAGGCGGCCACAGGAGCCCTGGGCCGCCATGGGTGCCCTGCAGAAGGCACAGGTCGTAGTCGCAGCGCTGGGTGCCGGGGCGGGCGTAGGGTACGCGCTCTTTGCGCTGGTGACCCCGGCGGAGCAGCAGAAGCAGGCGATGCTGAAGGTAGGCCGCGGGGTGCGTAGCTCGGCGGTTAGCGGTTGACAGGCTGCGGGCAGTGGGCCGGGAACTAATACCCAGCTGTCCCCTCAGGAGATGCCAGAGCAACACCCGCAGCACAGGGACGAGGCGGCGCATACCCATCGGCTCGTGATGGTTACGCTGCAGGAGGCCGCGGCCACGCAGGAGAACGTGGCGTGGAGGAAGAACTGGACACGTGGCGGCGGGGCAGTTTGAGAGCAGACACACCTGGTGGGAGACGCAGGACGCCTTCCAGAATTGGAATTAAGGACCCGCAAAGCAGCTGTGTAAGACCCGGACTCAAAAACCCAGTCCGTATACCCGAGGCCTGCCTATTCCCGTGTTGTCCCATAGGTCCTGCAACCATATTTTTAAAAGATTTTCAAATGGGAATATGTCTGTTTTCTCCAAGCGACGTTGTTGTCTTCCAGGATCGAACCCTGGGCCCTCTCTTTTTGCTGCACCCCAGGACAACCCCCTCCCCGGTCTATTTAAATTTTGACAGGGTCAGGTCAGTTATCTAGAATGAGCTTGCTTTTGGTCCTCCCAGAGCCCTGGGATTACAGTAGCAGACTAGGCTCAATCTCAAGGATTCTTTTAAGTCTAGATTGCCCAGGAGACTCCTAGCAACGGACTCCTGTAGAGAAGAACTTAGTCTCAGCTGGTTGAAGGTGCTGTACAGCAACTAATGAGCAATAATGCCTTCTGTGGCCACCACTGGGAGTGGTGAGAAGTGCCCTCTGTAAAGATCTGGTTCTTGCCTGCAATCACAGCAGTGGAGAGGCTGAGACAAGATCACCCTGGGCTACAAATTGAGCTCAAGGCCAGCCTGAAATGCATAGTGAGGCTGTCTCAAAGACCAAAAAAAAAAAAAAAAAGAACGCTGAGGATTTAGCTCAGTGGCATAAATGCCTGCCTGGCAAGCATAAGGCTGTGAGTTCAATCCCCTGCGTATGTGTGCACACACGCATGCGCGCACGCACACACCCATTCATCGCTTTTCTACAGGTTACAAAACCTGACTTTCTCTTGTTCTACAAATCAGAATTGTCTGGACAAGGTGCACCTGCCTGTATTCTAGCAGTCAGGTGGTGGAGGCAGAAGAGGATAATTGCAAGTTTGAGGCCAGCACTACACAGACCGTCTCACAAAATAAACACAATTGGGTGTGGTGGTGCATGCCTGTAGTCTCAGCATTCAGGAAGCCTAAGGTGGAAGGATCACTGTGGAGTTCAAGGCCAGCCTGAATTATACAGCAAGGACAGGCTCAGTAAATCTGGGTTTTGATCCCTATGCCTTAAGGTTTTTACTAGTGGTTTCCAGTCTGCCACCCCCACACTGAGGATAGAACCCAAGGGCCCTCTACCACTGAGCTACATACATCCCAGCCCACTTGGGTTGGTTTTTTTTCTTTTAGTTTTTATTTTGGGCTAAGATCTAAGTTGCCCAGGTTAGCCTCAAACTTTCAGTCTTTTCAGCTTGAACCCAAGCATAACCTCTGGTATGCTAAGCACATGGGTTCCCACTGAGTGACACCTTCAGCCCCCTAAATTTCATCCCATAGTTCCCAAGCACAACTGCAACTGAACAGAGGTTGCAGTGATTAAAGTCAGAACACTACTTTGTTGGAAATGAAAGCTGAGCAACAGTGTATAAGGCAACATCTCCCCACTCTTCTCATTAACTGATGACCCTGCAGTTTTGTCTCATCCAGCTATTCAGGAAGGAGCCAGGCATATACAGAACACATGGGGTTCATTTATTAAGATGGAAATGTCAGTGCCTTAGTGAAGACGAAGGTCAAAAAGGATAGCAGGAAAAAGGCTCTTCAACTGGGACATTTCTTGGCCACGATGAGTACAGCAGAAGGCACAAGTCCTAAGGATCAATTGAAGAAAACAAGCTTGAAACACAAAGGCACTTGCTTTCTGCTCCCCAAATCCTGGCCTATACACCAGCAGCCTCCTCTCCAGGCTGTCACACTCCCAGTCCATACCCAGCTCCTGCAGGGGCCGCTCCATGTCAGCCTCAGAGAAGGCTCGTCTAGGGAAGCCGCTGAGCAGCTGTACAGGGTCCTGGGCCCCTCCAGGATCTCCCCCACAGTGTAGCTCCACATAGAGTCTCACAGCTGCCAACTGTTCCCGGGCCTGGAAAGTCTGGGTCAGTGAGGTCCCGTCTGGTAGCCTGACCTGGAGGGCAAGGGAGACAGGTACCCAGAGTGGTAAGCATCAAAACTAGGTGGGCCAATAGCTATACAGTTAAAGCTGCCTCTCCTCTCAGACCGAGCTAGCAGAACTATTTAAAGCTCCTACTGAAAAAATCACTCGTTCTGCATTACTAAGTGTGAATGGCCTCTGCTCCTTCACATCTAACCTAATAATGACACAAGGTGGTATACAGAAATATCAAGATCAAAATCAACTGGGTGTGGCGGCCCAAGCCTGTAATACTAGGATTCTGGAAGTTGAAGCAAAAGGATCACCATGATGAGGTCATGGACAGCCTGAATAACAGTGAAACCCTGTCTCAAAAAAAAAAAGAAAGAAAAATGACCACAAAATTAGCTGTGTGAGAGTAAGAAAAAATACAGCAAAACAAACCCAAAAATTAGCTGTGTAGTGAACCAAACAAAAATAAGGACAAGTGAAAAAAGGTAATCATTGCATAAGAGGGAGATGTGGATTTAAGACAGACTGTGCAGGGGAAATTTGATCCCTTTCCTTAAGTAGGAGGTGAGGTTTTAAAAGTCATTTACAAAGAAGGGAAAGATCTGGCAACTAGAGGATGACTGCAGAATTCTCTGAGCTGGATACCATATAGGCCAACAAAAGTTTCAGCTGCAAGGCAGGAATCGGTGTCAGTACCTGGATACGACACTGGTCATACTCCCGCTTGCTGGGAGGCTCCTGGCTGGGAGAAGAGGGAACAGGACCTGGCTCTGTCACTGGCAGGGATGTCTGAGGACCCATATTACCACCATACTGGAGGACAAAGTAAAACAGAAACAGATGTGTGACCTCTGAGATGCTTTCCCACTGAGAGGTGATTAACCCAGTCACCGCTTTATAGTCTTCCCCAAGCCCACCTTTTTAGCTCTCTCTGCTTTGTCTCTTTCAATCTTTTCTCGAACCCTCTGTCTAGAATGCAGAGAGGCAAAAAATAGGTCAGGTGTGGACAAAGCAAATCTTGAATTCTTTCTCACCTATTGACCTGCCAGCCCAGCACAGACCTGGCTGCTAACTCTTCGGCCTTCTCCCTCCTTCGCTCCTCAGCTGCTCGGCGCATCTCATCTTCCTGTAGTCTCTGTCGAGCAGCTGTCAGCTCCTGTCCTTGTCTCCTGCGCTGCCTTTCTCTTTCCAAGGCCTCCCTTTCCTCCCTTTCTTCCCGTTCCCGCTGCTTCTGAGCCACCAACTCCATCATCCTGTTTTGCAGAAAGAGTTCAAGAGAAGTGAACTCGGCTTGGGAAGACAGATTTACAATGAACATGTGTCTAACAATAAAAGAAACAAAAAAGGAAAATGCCAAGGGAAAACAGAATGATGCTAGGAGAGTACTTCAGTGTTAAAGCACATGCTTATCATGTCTCATGCCCTGGGTTTTAAAAACAAAAAATGCCAGGCACGGTGGTGCGCATCTGTAAGGCCAGCACTCCAGAAGCTGAGACAGGATTGTTGAGAAAGCAAAGCAAGACTGAGCAACAGTGAGACCCTGCCTCAAAATAAACCGAAATAGGGTTAGGGTTGTGGCTCAACGGTAGAGTTCTTGCCTTGCATGTAGAAGGCCCTGCTTTCGATCCCCAGCACCCATCAAAAAAAAAAAAAAAAAAAAAAAAAAAAAAAAGAAGGAAAGTAATGTCTCCTAATGCAAAAGTCAAGGTTCTGTCCAAACTCCGCAGGAGAGGGAGGAGCCCTAGCTTCACCTCTTGGTCTGCTCCTGTCGCTCCTCTTCGGTCAGGACGGGTCTCCTCTCTCCGGCAGCCGCCCCGGCTCCTGGAAGGAGCGCTGGTGTCACGGTGGCCCCAGATCCTCTTATCCCTCCCCGCCGTGCTTCCCTCGGCCCTGCCGCCCCGCCGACCTTCCCGTCCCGGTTCTCCGCCTAGGGTGGTCCCGTGCGGGGTTGGCAGCGGCGGCGGCTCATCGGCCTCGGGGTCGTCCTCGTGCTCCATGAGCCTGCGGGGCGAGGAGTTAGCGCGTGGCTGCGGCCGCCCGCCCTCCCCCGGCCCGGAGCTCACCAGTCCATGGCAGCCTCGATGCCCTGGTTCCCCGTGAGGGCCAGAGCCTTCTCCCTGGGGGCAGAAACACCGTGAGCGGCGCCCGAGCCATGGCGGAGACAGGCGGGGCGCGGGGCCGGGCTCCCTTACGCGCGTCCCCGAGCGAAGCCCATCTCGATGAGGCTCTCCAGCGCCGTCAGCTCCGCCATGGCGCCGCCGCGCGGACCTGGGGGCGAGAAGGACGACGCGAGGGTCAGCTGGGGTCACTGCCCGACCCTGGCCCGGCGCGCGCTTGCTCACCGGGACGCCGCTACGCTGGAAGCCAACCGGAGGCGGAAGTGCCCAGTCTGTTTGGGTCACGTGGAGTGGGCGCAGACGGGTACTGTAGGAGGACAGAAAGCTCCTGCCGACTGGCAGCGCGGAATTGCGCAAGTGGAAGAGACGGGCGAACTACGAGCGAAGGCGGGGAAGTTTAAGGCGTGGTCGGCTCTGGAGCCCCGCGCCGCCACCCCCTCCTCACATTATGGGGTCTGGAAGAAAAAAGTGTCTAGCACGCTGGAGCCGGCTCACCTCCACGACACGTAGTTCGGACACGTGATTAAATAAGTAAAATAAGGGGGCGGGTGGAGGAGGGGACATCAAAAACATTAAGGTGTATGACGTCCGTGCACCACGAAGCAGTCATTGCGTACTCCAGACCCAAAAAAGTAAAAGTTAAAAGTGAGTGACGCAGCTTGCAGAAGTAAAGAGCGGGAGATGGGAGCAACAGGGCGCGTGATGCAGCCGGGGACCCACCCCTCCTGGGGCGGAGTCCGGCCCCCAGCTGAGAACCCAGTCGCGCTTCAGTGGGCGAGTTACTCCGCTGCTGGGGTGGGGCGGATTGTTTTTCTGGAGAACCAGGGCTTGCTTGGTAGTCCTGGTTGGCCTAGAACCTTCAGTCTTCCTGCTTCAGCTTGCCTCCTACCTGGGTTTATAATCGTGAGCCACCACACCTGACCCATTGTCAGAAAAGCGCTATCTGTACCGGGAGATGATCCGTGTTGCTATGTAGGTCTCTGCCAGGTGGACTGGCTAGTGGTAGTAGTTACTGTGCATTTTCATCCACCAACCGGAGACAGCCTGTGCGTGTTTCAGGGTAGGAGTTATTTCAACACTCATGGGTTTGCTTTTTCTTTCCCTCCAGTGTTATAGATCTCCAGTCCTTTGTGTTTTTTTATTTTGAGACAGGATCTCCCTAAATAAATGCCCCGGGCTAGTCTGGAATTTGCAGTCCTTCTGCTTAACCTTCCCAGAGTGCTGGGATTACAGGACTGTGCCGCCACACCCAGTTAATGCTCACTCATTTTAAAATGTTTTTAAATGTTTTTTAGAAACAGGGTTGGAGGATTCCACCCATAGCAGCTAGGAAGCTACAAAAAAGAGAATGGAGGGGGTGGGGATCTAGCTCAGAAGCACAGTGCCAGCCTGCCAAGAAGCACAAGGTCCTGAGTTTGAGCACCCTGTACCAGAGACAGAGACAGAGAGAGAGAATGGAGACTTGGAGGCCAGTCTGGACAATTTAGCAAGATCTGGTCTCAAAATTAAAAGGACTTGGGGCCAGGCATTAGTGATACAGGCCTGTTATCCTAGCATACTGGAGGCTGAGGCAGGAGGAGAGCCTTGAGTTCCAGGGCAGCCTAAACTACATAGTGAGACCTTGTTTCAAACAACAAAACAAAACACTGAAAAAACAGGGCTAGATGTTACTCAGTGATAGAACTCTGGCTTAACATATGGGAGGCCTTGCGTTCCATCCCCAGTATCAGGGCAAAAAAAAAAAGCAATTGATACTAAAATACAAGCGCTAGAGAATTTTTTTAAATCTGATTTTGGGTTTTGTTGGTTTTTTTGGTCTTTTGAGACAGGGTCTTACTGTGTAGTTCAGGCTGACCTTGAACTCACTGTGGAGCCCAGGTTGGCCTCAAACTCATGGTGATCATCCTGTGTCAGCCTTCCAAGTGCTGGGATTAAAGCGTGTACCTCCACATCTGCCTGATTAGTTCAGATTTAATTCAACAATAACAGCAACATCATCACAACAATCCCTGTCATGTAGGTAGTATTATTAGTCATGGGAAAAAGATGCAGAAAGATAACTTTTGTAAGGCCACAAAAGTAGTAGGTAGCTGGTAGCTGTTAGGACTCACCCCATGATGACTTCTGTACTACACTGCCTGTCCATGTGGAGTGAACACAGTCTAGAGTTGGGTAACTTAGGGGTAGTCATCATTTTGTTGTTGCTGAAACAGTGTCACTGTGTATTCCAGGCTGGCCTCAGACTCAAGACAATCCTCCTGCTTTGGCCTCTTGAGGGCTGGAATTACAGGAGTACACCTCCATGCCTGGCTGAAGAGCCTCACATCTCTCACTAGGAACAAGTGATACCACCCTGGCTTGGTGGTGCACTCCTATAATCCCAGCATATTGGGAGGCTGAGGCAAGAGAATCAAAATTTTGAGAGCAGTATGAGCAATTTGGGGACCCAGTCTCAAAAGACAAAAAAAAAAAAAAAAACAGGCTGAGGAAAGCCTGGGTTCAAACCTCAGTACTGGAGGAAAAAATAGTGATACCCTCTTCCCATGTCATGGGATGATTGTGTAAAAAGACTAAGCAAAGTATATCATATTAGTGAGAGAGGAGGCAATTGCTACTGATGGTTAAGTGAAAGCTGAAGACATACAGGCATTCAGGAACAGTCACAAGTGAATCACACAGTGTGAAGCCAGAGTCTCAGTGACAAGAGTATTCCAGGCCCCTCTGGAAGAATGACTGAATGTCACAGTTCTGTCAATTTGTCCTTCATGACCCAAGGGTGCAAAATAGATTTACCAGCAAGTAGCAAGGGTGCAGACTTCCACAGCTTCCAAAGCCATGAGGGGAGTGAGGAGGCTGAGTTCTATCCCTGTGCAGATGCCCATGCCGAACAGTGAGCACAAAAAGAAAATCTTGGTATTTCTGGAATTTGCCTTGGTGCTGGGTGTGGCTGTTGTGCTCAGGAGGCTGAAGAGGAGGACTCTTTTTTTTTTTTTTTTTTTTTTTTATCGGTACCAGGGATCGAACCCAGGACTACCTGCTTGCAAGGCAGGGGCTTATGCCGCTGAGCTAAATCCCCAGCCCAAGAGAAGGACTCTTTATGTGCTGTTAACCTGGGCTACACAGTGAGACTATTGCAAAAAAAAAAAAAAAAAAAGACCCAAACCGGATCATGCCTGTTATCCCAGTACTTGGGAAGCTGAGGCAGGAGGATCCTTGGGAGTTCAAGACCCACCTAGGCTACAAAGTGAGCTCGAGGCCAGCCTGAACTGCAGAGAGACCCTGTCTCAAAAAGACCAAAAAACCAAAACAACAACAAAAACAGGTGTGGTGCCACATGCCTGCCATCCCAGCATTCCAGAGGCTGAGTCAGGAGGATCATTGAGAGTTAGATGCCAGCCTGGATGGTATGGGCCAGCCTGAACTATATAGAAAGACCCTCATATAAAAAGAAAAAATAAAGCCAGACATGGTGGCTCATGTCTGTAATCCCAGCACTCCAGAGGCTGAGGTGGAAGGATCCTTTCGAGTTTGAGACCAGCATAGCTACAAAGTGAGCTCAAGGCCAGCCTGAACTGCATAGCGAGACCCCGCCTCAAAAAAAAAAAAAAATAAATAAAAAAGAAAAAGCTGGGTATGGTGGCACATGCCTGTAATCCCAGCACTCAGGAGGCTAAGGCAGGTGGATCCTTGCAAGTTTAAGACCAGTCTGGGTTACAAAGTGAACTCAAGGCCAGCTTGACTGCATAGTGAGACCCTGTCTCAAAACAAACAAAAAAGCTCTGCTAAGAGCAATTACCTCATTTTACTGGGGATCAATATAGGGCCAAGCACATTACCACCAAGGTACACCTGCACTTAGGATGCTGAGGCAGTGTTGGGAGCCACTGACCTAGTGCATGTAGAGCCAAAAGCACAAGTGCCTAAACAGGAGTGCCCCAAGGGCCCAGAGGGCCTGAAGAATGCCCAGAGGGCCTTGGGTGCTGGAATGGCACAGGTGTCAGAAGTGAGCTGGTTAAGCAGAGGGGCAGGGGCAGCATACAACAAATGTACACATAAGAGCACTGCAGTAGAGGAGCTGTCTCAGGAAGAAGGGCTCTACCGCTGTCTCATTTCCTCCATCCTCTCATGTCCCCTAATCCTTGGCAACTTAGAGAGCTGCTCACAGCAGTGGCAAGGCAGGGGGACCAGGAGCTACACAGTGAGTCCCAGGTCAACATAGAATACAGAACTTTCTTGGCCATTCTAAGCCAGGGGCAGTGGCACACACCTGTCACTCCAGTACTCTGGGAGGCCGAGGCATTTATATAAAGTGAGTGAGGCTGGCCTAAATTACAAAGTGAGATGGTCTGACAGACACAAAGGAGGTGATGCTTGTATAATAACTGTTAATAATTTTTATTCTTGCTAGGCCATGTTGGCAGTAACAGTAACAGTTACATTTGTCCTGGGGAGTTGGTTCCTGTACAGCAGGACCTTAATTCTTTTCACACCGCTTCTACCAGGGGTAACTGTTTTTCTGTTTTAAACATCAAGGAGAAAAAAACACAAAACAAAACATCATGGAGATTTACTTGTGCCAGATGGCACCTGGGCTGCTCTTCTCTATCCCTCCTGGGACCAGGCAGATTCCCACACAGGTTTGTTCAGTCTTGGAAACCATGGAAGCAGGAGACCCAACACCTACCCCCAAGCCTTTCACAAAGTCCCCTGGAGCCACTGTGGTGTAACAGTTCAGCAGGCCACAGCTGCGGAGCCAGGAGGGGTTGCTGGTGGCTGCAGTTTCCAGGGTCAGGATTTTCTTCTTATACCTAAGAGCCTCAGTGACCACCGGATGTCCCTCTGGGGCCCCGAAGCTCTCAGTGTTCCTAGCCACCATGCAGATGTCCTCTAGGGTCTGGCAGTGGCTTAGTGGTGTCTTGGGCAGCCCCAGCGTTGGCGCAGGTGGAAATGCCAGACCAAGGCAGCACAGCTCAGCAGGGCCAGGGCAGCGCCCAGCCCAATGGCTGTGTGCACCAAGGTGCTGGGCCTAGGGGGCACCGAGAACCGGCCACAGGGCCCAAAAGTGGGGGAGGCCACCCCGTCAGGATCCTCGCTGCCCGGCCCAGGAGCCAAGCTCTCCCCAGCATCGTTGGCAGCCACCACACAGAGTACATAGGTACTCCCCAACTGTAGCCCCCTCAGTGTGGCTCTACGGATAGTGGCATTGAGTAGGGGTCCCCTGTGTGGTGCCTTGGTGCCCTCCCAGAGCAGAAGCTGGTAGTGGTGCACAGGGGAGGCTGGCGCACACCAGTGTACCTCGGCGTGGCTATCCTCGGCCACCACTCGTACCTCGCCCAGGCGGGGCGGGGCAGGTGGCTGGGCCAGGCTGGACAGCCCTGGACACAGGCAAGGCACTGGCCTGGCCTGCTGCAGCTCCTCACATGGCACCTGCAGGTGGCGACACTGGTCGTAATCACAGGGTACAGGCCGCAGAGGTGTGGCTGTGGAGTCCTCCTCTTCCTCAGGGTCCTGAGGGGTCAGTGGCTGTGCCCCGGCAGCTAAGGAGGTCACAGCCAGGAGCCACAGAAGCCATGGAGAGCCCAGCATGAAGCCTATGAAGGGAGTAGACAGAGCTATGTAGCAGGTGAGGGCATGGAGGGTGGCCGGGCTGATGGGGTGCTGGTTGCTCAGCCCCTGCTCTGGCTTGCAGCAGGGATGAGGAAAGGCTCTCACATGTGTGACGCAGCTGTGTGGCCCTACTCAGAGTGGGTGGGGAGCAGCAGTGCTGAGGGAGTAACCCTAAATGCCCCGGGACAGGCATCCTGGCTGCCCTGCACACCCAGGAGGAAACCGGCACCGCAGAGGAGGCTGGGGTCTCACAGACCCTGGCTTTACTGGAGGACACGGGCCCTTCCCAGTTCTGAGATGGGGTCTCCCTGTCACTGAGTAGCCCAGGGTAGTCTGTTTTTTTGGGGGGGTGGGGAGTACCAGGGATTAAACTCACGACTAAACACCTACCAGGCAAGTGCTTGAGCTATGGGGCAGGGAACTAAATCCCTGGCCCGTCTTTTTTCTTTTGGTACTGGAGGTTGAACTCGGGACCATGTACTTGCCAGGGAGGTGCTGTGCCACTCAGCTATATCCCCAGCCCCACCCAGGCCCAGGCCCAGGCCCAGGCTGGTCTGGGACTTGGGTCCTCCTGCCTCAGCCTCCTGGTCTCCAGAGACAGGCCTGCACCCCCACCAAGCCCACAGCAGCCCCTCACCAGCAGGTGCCATGATGCAGGCAATCCGTAGGGTGCAGGTAGAGTTGCCGCTTCAAGTCAGCATACACTCAAGTTGGCGCCCCACTCGGCACTGTTCTGCTGCTCCAGCTTTTGTACCCCACTCTGATGTCACCACCTGGCCCCTCCTGCTCCCCACCCCATGAATGCTTGACTGCCAGGAGGGCTGTCAGACCTGAGTCACAGAGGGCGGGGAAACCTCTGTTCCCCCTGGGCTCTCTAGCTTGGGCCAGGCACAGGCAGATCTTGGCCTGGGGCCAACTGTGCAGAAGCCAGGCTGGAGCCATGCAGGATGGAGAGAGGGGCTCAAGTGGCACCTGCCTGCCTGCCAGAGGGCACAGCTGTGGACAGCACAGGCCAGCCAGGGTTACAACGTGCTGCTCTGGGGAAAGCTACCCCATCCCAGCAGTCACTTCCTGCCTCTGCCTCCCAGAAGACAGCAGGGAGGGGTGCAGGGTTGAGTGATGCATCCTGCACTTAGTGTCTGCCATATCCCCTCCCAGGCTGGGGATCATGCACATCTCCTGAAGGACAGTAGGAGGCTCTGAGCAGGCCCTGCCCATCCCTGCAGCCTGAGTACACAGCCTCTCGCCTGGGGGCAGAGATGGGACAGAGCCAGGGAGCAGCTGGCACAAAATAGTTTATTGGGGTGAAGCAGGATAGAGCGAGTGGGTGAGGCTGGTGTGCCGGACAGGGTCCTTCAGGAGCTGGAGCAGGTGGGGCGCTGGCGCAGGGTGCACCCAGTGGTCACCGGCTGTCCCAGGGTCTCGGGGGCCAGGATGGGGGCAGAGGCAGAGGCAGGCAGATTGGCCTCGGTGAGCAGAGCTGCATCTTCCCAGGACCCTGAGCCTGGTAGCACAGATGTCCAGTGAGGCCCTAGGTTCATGGAGCCCCCCACCCACAGGGCCTGTCCGCCAGGCCCCCTCACCGTCGCTGGCCTCAGGGTCCAGCTCGTCATTCCCTGAGGCTGGCTGAAGCTCCTGCTTCTCCTCTGATAGCTGTGCCTCTGCAACCAAGGGGCGTGGGTACTGCAAGGTGCTAGGGGCCAGCAGGGCACCCAGGCCCTGCCAGCCACCCATGCTGTCTCCCTACCTGTCCTCGAGGGTTCCTCCGGGCTCTCGCATTCCTCTGTCCCCTCTGCCACATCTGACAGCTGGCTGGCCTCTTCCCAGCCTTTTCGCCCTGCACCTCCAAAGCGTGTGGAGTAGGGGACAGGGTCCCATGGCCTCCCAGGGCCCACCCCCCCAGCGCCCCCAGCTCCCCACCTGGTTTCTGGGCAGTCTCCCATGGCTTCTGCTGGGCACAGTTCCCACTCCGGACGTTCGCCTGTGGAGACTGGGCTGAGTAGCAGGGACAAGGACGGCTACCGGTCCTCCCAGGTGACCACCCCATGTGGCCACCTCCACTCCCAGGGGCAAAGGGCCCAGCTCGCACCTGCACAGAGAAGCGGGGCCGGGGCCATATGCCCCCCCACGCCCACTGCATGTAGCTAAAGAGCAGGACCACGCTGAGGAAGGTGAAGTTGCTGGCGACGCCCACAAAGGCACAGGTCATGGGGAAGTTGTACAGCAGGTACCTAGGATGGCAGTGGCAGCTTGACCCACGGCCACAGCCCACGGCCCACAGCCCACAGCCCCTCACTGTTTGTTTTTTGCTGTACTGGGCCTGAACCTGGGGCCTTCGCACTGAGCTCCAGTCCTAGCCCATTTTACTTTTTACTTTGAGACAGCATCTCACTAAGTCCCTAAATTGCCCTTGCAATCTCTGCCCTCTGATTCGTATAGCGCAAGGAGGACAGGCATAGGCCAATACACCCAGCTAGCGCCAGTCTCCCAGAAATAACCCCAATTCTCTCCGTCTAGCTGCTAGATCCCAAGGCCTTGGTTGCTGACAGAAACCCAGAGTTCAAGAAGCCCCAGCAGGGCAGGTCTGGTGTCCCCTGAACCATGGATCAAGACTGCAGTCCATTTGGATGGAGCCCTGCTATTGGTAAGACAGATGGCTCCTGCTTTGGCCTTTCCAGCACTGGGGGCACATGTCATTTTACCCAGCCACATGGTCACTTTTAAATTTTTATTTGTTGTAGAACTAGGATTGAACCCAGGGCCAGGCCACAAGGGTGGTTTTCCGTTTGCTTTTGTTTTTTTTGAGACACATTCCTGCTACACAATTCAGGCAAACCTCAGATTCACTATGAAGGCCAGCGTGGCTTTGAACTGGTGATGATCCTCTTGCTTTAGCCTCCTGATTGCTTTGGTTACAGGGGTGCATATGCCACCATGCCTGACTCCACAAGGGTATTTTTAAAAATTTAAGGCAGATGTGGTGCTATCCACCTGGAGGCCCAGCTACACAGGAAGCTGAAGCAGAAGGACTACTTGAGCCACTTGAACTTAGGAGTCTGAGTCCAGTCTGGGCCACATAGCAAGATGCCATCTCGAAAAAGAAAGCAGTCTCGTGGTCCCTGGGCAGGAAGCTCCAGCTGCCAGCCTCACCTGAGCCCCGTGAAGTGGGCATGGATGCGCAGGTAGGCCCCATACAGCTGGATGCGCCTGCTGTGGATCTCGATGATGGCACCGGTGGTGGGGACATACTGTGCAGGAGGGGCGCAGGGTGAGCAGTGCCATGCCTAGGAGGGAGCCGCTGGCCTGTCCCTGATGGATCCCTGAGTCCTGAGCTCTGGGTGTCCTCACCGAGTTCTCCCTGTAGTCCGAGTACAGCTCCACTTCCAGGAGCTGCTTCTGTTCCGCGAAGCCAAAGAGCAGAAGACTGGAGAAGACGATCGTGTCCAGGGTCTGCAGCAGGTCAGAGCGGTAGTGCAGCATCACCTGCGCGCAGGCAGGGGCTGGAAGGGCCAGGCCGCACCACTCTACCCTGGCTTCTGTGAGGGCTGTTCTTCCCTTGTCCTATTCCTTGCCCAGCCACACCACTCCAGTTTTCTAGCTACTGCTTATTTCTGGAGCACTGGGGACTGAACCCAGGGCCTTTGCACTGAGCTAAGCCCCAGTTCTTTTTATTTTTCACTTTGAGAGTGTGTCTGGCTAAGTTGCTCAAGACAGACTAAAACCCAGCACAACACCGCCTCTGATCTGCTTGTCCCTAAGCAACTCTGTCATCTGAGGTGGGCAGGGTCCAAGTGCCAGGACAATGTGGGCAGTTTCTTCCTCACAGCCATCCTCATGTGGCTGTGGCAACCTTGCAAAGGATGGACACACACATGCCAATTCATTCCCTCTGGAGGCAGCTCCTGTGACACCTATGGTTGCTGACCCATGGTAGGGCCATTCCCAGGCAGTCCAGGGAGCTTGGGTCTCTTACTCCTTTCTTTTCTACACATAAGACTGGCCCTCGGGGTTCATATATGCTCCACTAGTGCTACTCCACTGAGCAGTACCTCCAGCCCTGTTTTAGGGCACCTGGCAGGTCCAGAGTCCAGGGGAAGAACCCCCAGACACTCCACTCCCCTCACTGTCCATGAACACTCACGGAGCGGGAAGAGGTGGAGATGATGCGGCCTCCTCTGGTATAGCAGGAAATCGTGACCAAGAACATGCCCAGGTCCTGGTTCACAGGGGACTCAGGCAGCTCCAGCTCCAAGGTGATGCGATAGGGCTGTCCATACATCAGCACCTGCCCGGAGCCACTGCCCAGTTAGGGCCCCACCCCAAGCCTCTGCTGCCCGATTCTGGGCCAGGACCCTGGGTTCCTCTGTCTTTCACAGGCTCCTCAGGACCTGGCTGCACCCCACTCCTGTTGTGGGACTGTGGATGGGTAACAGCCCCACCTGTAACTCAGGCTCAGTGCCAGTAGGGCTGTCCCTAAGCCCAGCCACCCACCTTGCATTGCTAGTTACCCCAGCACCCACAGTCCTTGGCTCTTGGGCAAGTTCATGTACCTCTTCTTGTCATTCTAAGTCTCCCAACTTTTTATTTTTTATTTACTTATTTAATACTGGGAATCGAACTCACGGCCTTGTGTTTGCCAGGCAGGTGCTGTGCCACTGTGCTATATCCCCCCAACTTTTAAAGATGGAATCATAGGGCTGGGGATTTAGCTCAGCGGCATAAGCACCTGACTTGCAAGCACGCGGTCGTAAGTTCGATCCCCGGTACCGATTAAAAAAAAAAAAAAGATGGAATCATGCCAGGCTGGTCTTCAACTACATGGCTCATAGCTCATATCTTGCCTCCCCACCTCCACTCTGAGCTCCATTCTGCCGTGGAACTCCAAGACTCATACCCAGAGGGCTTCTTCACTGGGCGGCCTCACAAGGATCCTCATGACCCCAGTATCCATTCTTTCATCCTCCTAATCTGCTTCCTCAGGTCTGTCTCCAGCTGGTCTTTCAGTGCTGCAGACACCCAGGGCTCAGCGTGTGCTGGGCACATGCTGAACCGCCCTGCCCTGTCCCTCTTCCTCCTCCCCTCCCCTCTGGATTCTTCCCTGGCTTTCTGCCTCCAGGGTGGGTTCCCGGGGCCACAGCACTGACACAAGCCTGCTTTCTGCCTTTTGAAGGCTTATCTGTGCTATGTGTATGCTCCACCACTAACTAACCACCACTAACCACAGGACTACAGCCATAGCCCTCCAAGCTCCCATCTCCAGGCCAAGCAGGAGTGAATGCAGCACCCTCTGCAGTACAGGACACCATGTTCCCTCTTATTTCCCCAGGGCCCTCCTCATCATCTCTGTTCCTCAGGCCCTGCTCTCCAAGTCTTCCTTCAGGCTCTTTGCCGCCAGTCCTGGAAGCATGGACAAAGTCTCAGCCCCAGTACTCACCCGATCGCGTCCATTCTTAGCCAGTGAGACATTGGCAACAGGGAAGGAACACAGGGAGGTAATGGAGGGGTCACAGTCAGTCCTATGGGAAAAGGGATGACATTGCTGTCACAGCCTCGATCATGCTCATGTGCCTCCTGGTCCCAGGCCCAGCCTATTTATTTGTATTTCACTACCAGAGATGAAACATAGAGCCTTTTCATTAATCTATGTCCCCTTCTTTTCTCCTTAAGTCAAGGTCTTGCTAAACCACTAACTTGCTGAGGCTGAGCCCCAACTTTCAGTCCTCCTACTTTAGTCTCCAGACTGCTGAGATTACAGGTGTGTGCCACTATACATGACTAAGAACTCCTTTTGTCTCCATACTGGGACGGAACCCAGAGTGCTGAGGTATATCCCCAGCCCCTTTTTAGTTTGAAACAGCATCTCATGAAGTGGCCCAGTCTGGACTCTCAATTTGAGATCCTCCTGTTCAGCTTTCTGAGTAGTTGGGATTACAGGCAGCATCACCACCTGAGCCTTTATTTACTCTCTTGATGAGGATTACGAGCCCTAAGTATTCTGGGAGGCTGACTGTGGATGTAACTCAGTGCAAAGGCCTTGAATTCAACTCCCAGGACAGCAATAAATAAACACAGATCCCACCTAGGTATCATGGCACATGCCTGCAGCCTGCTGCCTGGAAGGCCGAGGCAGGGAGACTGGCTTTTGGGACCAGCCTGGACTAAGCAGGAGAGCCTGCGTCAAATAAGGAAAAAAAAAAAAAAAAAAAGATTTAAACTGAACAAACAACAACAAAAAAAGGTAAACTGAATAAATGAAACTAGCTGAGGCAGGAGATCACTGGTAGTTCAAAGTCAGCCTAGGCTGTATAGTAAGTACAAGATAATTGCAACCTTGTCTCAAAAAAGAGAAAAATCTAAAAATCTAACATATAGATTCCAAGGTCCTACTTCAGAGATTCTGATTCAGTAATTCTAGTCTGGGTCTTTTTTGAGAAAACCTCAAAAAGAACTACAGATGTGCTCTAAGAGACTCAAGAAAGCCCACTATTGTAGGTGAAACTGCATGTAGGGTGTGGGCATGCAGCAGGTGCCTAGGCACACATGTATGTTTTTATGGGAAGAAAGACTGTAGCTTTCGTTAGATCCATGTGTCTGAACATATAACTTTTATTTTGGAAACTACTATACAATATTAGGAATTCAGGCCAGAAAAAAAAATTTTTGTACCACTATTAATAATGTCTTTATTGGGCTGGGGATTTGGCTCAGTGGCACAAGCATTGCCTGGCAAGTGTGAAGTCATGAGTTCAATTCTCAGTACCAAAAAAAAAAAAGAAAGAAAGCAATAATGTCATTATTAACATTTGTTGAATGGTTGACAGCGAATTTGCAAGACAAGAGAATTTTGCCAAGTGTGTGAAATGGGGAGAAACCAAGGGGCCAGGCCAGCAGAAGTCAGGGAGGCCAAATTCTGTGCAGTCACCTTGTGTTTCCCTAATCTCGGTAGAGTACTGGGGCAGGAAGGATGCAGCTAGGGAAAAGGTGAAGGAAGTACTTCTCAGCACCTCATTGCTGAAAGCCAAGTGAAATCTGCACCAGTCCTGTGGCTGGGCAGGCTCCAATTTCCACGCTGACCGTGAGAGCTCTGACCCCAGGCTATAGAGAACCGACCCTCGCGAACTTCGTCTGAAATGCAAACACGCCTTTCTTAGTTTGTTGTTGTTTGTTTTGTTTTGGTACGGGGGATCAAACTCATGACCTCGTGCCCGCCAGGCAGGCGCTTATGCTGCTGAGCTCAATCACTGGCCCACAACCTTTCTTAGTTTTTAATCTTAATTCAGCAGCCAAGGTAGCCTCGGTCAGGCTTCTGCTCCGTGGGCCAGCAGGGACTGCGCACGGACGCCCCCTCACCTGTAATGGAAGTGCACCGGGCTCAGGTGGCTGACGGTCGGCATGTAGGAGTAGTAGAAGGAGCCGTAGAGGAACACGGACACCCAAAGCAGCAGCAGCACGCTGCAGAATAGCACTCCGAACTGCAGTAGCAGCCTGCGCGCGCGACCTGCCAGTGCCTGGCCCATCTCCTGCGCCCATCGCGCTACGGGCGCCGGCGGCTCGGGGGCCGTGGCGGCGCGGGGAGCGGGGTCCGGCCGCGGGGTCCTCGATGCACCGCCGCCCGGTCGCCCGCCCTGGCCATGGGGCGGCGCGGCCGGCGGTTCCTAGAAGCAGAGAAAGAAACAGCGGTTTGTCCCCTGCAGGCACGACGCAGCCTTCCCCCCGGTGGCCCTGCTGCAGGCCGGGGCGCTGCCGCCTCAGCTTAGTCAGAGACAGCGGCAGAGAACCAGCACCTTCCCGCTGCCTCGCAGGGTCCACGCGGCGGGGCAGCCGAACGCAGGACCAAAAACCCGCGGCCACCCCTGCCTTCCGACGCCAAGGTAGTTCTAGGTGTCTGTCGTCGCTCCGCGCCGTCACCACGGAAACAGCCGCGAACACTGCGCAGACTCGGGTGACCCTCGCGCCCGGCACAGAGGAGGGACTTCCGGTTGCCCTTCTGCCTAGGGGCGGGGCCATAACCAGACTGGGGGGGTGGGACCTCATCAGGGGACGGAGCACTGGTCAGGCGCAAAGGTGGGGCTAGCACCAGGCGCAGAGGCGGGGCCAGTAGCGCTTCAGGGCGGGGCCTCGAGCATGGGCGGGGCCTGTTCGGGGTTGGGAGACTGCGGGCCTCCAGTGGCCTCGCAGTCTCCCGCGCCTCTTTTCCGCCGGTGACCGGCAGGGACTCTGGATGTGTCCCTGCTATGCTCGGCCTCACCACTTCTCTCCGCTCCCTTTAACTTCGGAGCGGTGGCACTGACTTATTTGGGCCTCGCGTCTTGGGCTGGTGTGTTCGTCCTGCACACTGCGCAGGTGGGCTGCGGGGCGCTGTTCACTTGCGTGGCTACCTGTCAGCCAGGTTTGGTCTCCAGGTGTCAGCCTGTGCAGTCGACCTCCCCTTTTTCGCGTGGCCCACGCTCCCCACGTCCCCGAACCCGGTACTGGCAAGGGTTGTCTGCTTGTGCGTGCCCCCTCCTCTCGCCTGCAGAGTCTGAGCCGTGCACTCATCGGTGCTGGAAGCTACAGACGGGGCGGGATCCACTTGAGAGGTTGGCGATTTCCCCCTACTTCCTTTCCCCTGTCTCGTGCCCCCCACCCGCTGAGCCCCTCACCTCCTCTACGCAGTCCGGTCCTTTGGGCTGCTCCCTGGAGTCCGCCCTCGGCTCCGCGGTGTCCTTTGACATCTTCCTGGTGACGTTGCGGGTTTTGCGGAGGCCGAGCGAGGTGGTCTAGTCGCTTACCACCTGTCGCGCATCACATTCTCCTGGAGAAGGGATGCCGACCCTAGGACAGAAACCCAGATTCGGTGCTAAGTGAGGCGTCAGGGCGGAGCTACGGAACGGAGGGGGCGACTGATGTCAGAACCAGGAGCAGGGTCCTCACCAGCTGAGCGCTGCGCAGGGGCGCCGGGCCTGACCACCGCGCTCGGGGGGCGCTGCGGGGCGGGGTGTGGGCTTCCCCCCGCCGGTGAGGTGGTACGCTCCGGACCTGGCTTTCCAGCCTCCTCCCGCATCCTCAGCATCCTGCATTCTTGGGTACCGGTCATCAGCGTAAGGCTGGTGCTGCGAGATCCAGGCCGCCCCAGCGACCTCCCTCTGAGCCTCAAGCCCTCTCTGAGCGGTAGCTGACCTTTCTGAGGCGATTCCCTGCAGGGTGGCACTACCGAGGCTGGGCTAGGGGGCCCCGGGACCCAGCACACCAGGTGCAACTGCCACTGCGCTTGCTGCCTGTCACTTCAGGTGAGCGAGGCGGCTTCTGTCCCGCTGGGCTCCGGGCAGGGCGGCTTCCCGCAGGGCGGGGTTCCAGGACACCGGGCTCCAGTACTGAGCTTTCAAATCGCCTGGATGCTGCTTGTGCCAGACCGAAGGGGCCTTGGGAAGCGCCCCACCTCACCATCCCCTTCTCTGAGGCGGGCGGGGTAGGGCGGACCCCAGGAGGGCAGGCGGACAGGAGACAGTTCTGGGGCGCGACCCTCTCTCCAGGATGAAGGGCGAGACCCCCGTGAATAGTACTATGAGCATCGGGCAGGCCCGCAAGATGGTGGAGCAGCTGAAGATCGAAGCCAGTCTGTGTCGGATAAAGGTGGGTGCGGCAGCACGCGGGAGCACCAGCCCTGCAGCAGGGGGCTCGGGTCCCAGACCGGACGCCGGATGGCGGGAGGGAGGCCTGGTGTGGGATGCTGCTGTTCTCTAGGGTGGGCACAGTAGTACCCTTGTAGAAGGAGGCGGCCGCCCTCTTCAGTGCCGCCAACCCCCTCCGGGCGACCAGGTGTCCAAAGCTGCAGCGGACCTGATGACGTACTGTGATGCCCACGCCTGCGAGGATCCGCTCATCACGCCGGTGCCTACTTCGGAGAACCCTTTCCGCGAGAAGAAGTTCTTTTGCGCGCTACTGTGACCCCGCCCCTGCCCCGCCCCTGCCAGATAGCCCCGCCCCCTCATTGCGGGCTCTGGGAGCCAGCTTGGGACTAGGAACATGCCCCTCCCGTCTGCTCCCAGTGCCCCGCCCCCTGCCTACCCCACGAGGCCGTCTGGAGCTTGGAACCCGCCCCGCTATTGGCCCCACCCACTGAGCCCTGCCCCTCCTTGGGCCTCGCCCACTGTGGGTACCCGCGCTCTCCCCTACTTGCAGCCGCTACTTGGGCAATAAAAGTCGTCCAGATCCTGCCTGCGCGTTCTTGGGGTGGGGCCGTGGCCCCCAACCTAGCAGCCAGCGGGAGGCTGTCACCAACTCGCGGGATAAGTTTCGGCGCCAAAGGTCGCACACAAGCAAGTGTGAGACCACAGCAGGCGCCTCGGCCCAAGATGGCAGCGCACAGCGATGCACCCTACAGTGCGGCTCTCAAGATGGCGGCCTTGCCCGCCGGCCCGGTCGAGTTCCTTCTGAGCTTGCCTGGCCCCAAAATGGCCGCGATAGAATTTGAAAGCGGCGTTGCAACACTGGGGTCCAGGAACAGGGTTTCATGTTTTCGGCTCTAGCGAAGGACACCCTCTGGACAGTGGCACGGAGCCTACCTGCACCACTTTGGTTGGGTCTCATGGTGGACCCAGGGCCCGAGCCACCTCCACCCTTGCTCTGCCTGCTCAGGGCCGTAGAGGCGCAGCTTAGCCGAGACCATCGGAGGCGGGGCTGCCCCTCAGGGTCCAGCTGCCTCCCGGCAGAACCAAGTAGGGAAGGACCCCTCCTCCCCCGCGCAGGTCTCAAGGTCGCCAAAGCAAGCTCCGCGGCTGCACCTGGCGCCTGAGCACGCTGGGCAGCCTGGGAGGGTCTTCTGGAGCTGCAGGAACATCGACGGTCCTGGGTTAGTCAGTGAATTCCTTCTCCCAGAGGGGAGACGAAGAAGCCAGCCTTTGGCCACCTTTGGTCCAGGGTCTCAGTCTCTTGGGAGTCGGGTCCACCCTGGTTCCTGTGCTGCGGCACGGCACAGGCAGCAGAGACCAAGACCTTCCCTTTCAACTGCATCAGTGCTGGGCAGTTTTCACATCAGCTTATAGTTGGTAAAGAGTCAAGAGTGCTCAGTAAACTTAACCTTGACTATGGGATAAAAAAAGAAAAAACAACCAGGTGTGGTTAGGGAATGGGATCCAGCCCTAGAGGAGGCTGAAGCAGCAAGACTGCTTGGACTACACAGTGAGTCCCTGTCTTCAAAAGCTAAAGTTAAAATTACTTTTCTGCACTTTTTTTTCCTACACAGTTTTCATACTGATAAATTTCCAGGTGAATGCCTGGAAGCTGGGTGGGAGTTAGGGACAAAAGTTGTTAAGAGTTCATAGACACAAGGCTTGAGCTTTCGTGGTAATGAAAATTGACTACTTAGTGCTGGGATATAGTCTAGTAGCAGGGCATTGCACAAGCATTTGGGTTTAGAAAGTAGTTTGTGCTGGAGGTAGGGTTAATTAGCTCCAACAGATTTAAATGTTCTAGTGATTAGACAGCCACCAAAATCAAGGATGAGATTTCGGATGCAAGTCGTGGTATCCTGGGATCAGTCCTGAGGGAGCAGCTGGAGCTGTCTATATGGGTGCCTCCTAGAACTTCACACTGGGGCCTCTGGGTGCCAGCCTTTATGATGGGATGCTGGGCATGGTGGCCCATGAATCTCAGCCTGCTCAGGAGACAAAGGCAGGAGGATTGAGAAAGTTTGGGTCCCACTTGGGACACCTAGGGTGTGCCTGAATGCCAGCAGCCTGGGAAGCTGAGCAGACTGAAAGCCCAGATACAGCAATTTAGCAAGATCCTGTCTTTAATTACAAAGCTGAAGATGTGAAGACCCCAATACCAAGAAAAAAGGAAGGACTGGAGAATCTAGCTCACTGGTAGAGTATCCCTGGGTTGAATCCCCAGTGCAGAGGGAAAGTAAGAAATTGGATTGTTTTCTGATTTTTATTATTCTATTCATTTTTGGTTTTATTTTTATTTTTAATTTCTCAAGGAAAGATAGGATATTTCATAACTTTCTTCTTTTCTAATTAGTGTTAAAAAAGGAAGAAATTGGTCAGTTACAAAACTGAGAAGGGTGTGGGCTGGGGATTTAGCTCAGGGGCATAAGCGCCTGCCTTGCAAGCAGGCAGTTTTGAGTTTGATCCCTGGTACCGATAAAAACGAAAAAAGACAAAAACAAACAAAAAAACTGAGAATGTAGGGTCACTTTGGCAGTATAATAAATAGGGCTTTGAGGGGCAAGCAGTACTGGAGATTGTGCCTAGGACCTTCACAGGGAGGTATCCTTGGCTCCTTACCTTTTGACATAGGCTCTAAGTTGCTGGGCTAGACTTTTAGCTGTTCTGCCTCAGTGTCCCAGACTGCTGGCATTACAGGTATACAGCACCACAACCTACTATTACTGCTCTTGTTACCTAAGTTACTTTCCCGTTCTTTAAATTCACTAGAAAGCAACTCCCATCAAATACGTTCTGTTGAACAAGTAGGCCTTTCCCCACATTGTAATTACTCTCCAATAAATTTATTCACCTTCAAAATGGACAGCTGCAGCCAAAGCCAGTGTCCAACCAGCTCTGGTGGGGTCTGCACAGAGCCTTTCCAGAGGTGACACAGGGCTGCTCCCAGCCAAGGTCTGGGGAAGGAGGCAGCCAGCAGCCAGCAAGAGGAATGACATCCTCAGGTGGGCCTGGAGAAATAAGTGGAGAAATAAGCATAGGAAAGTGGTAGCTTTGAATCAACACCCAACATGCCACCAACTAATGTAGCCACAGGACAGGAGGTAGAATCAGTCCGAATGGTTATTTATTCTAAAACTCAAAGCCCTTTACCTACATTTTTGTCTGAATGCTGTAATGAGAACAGAGAGGAAAAATTTACAGATGTAAACAATCACACAGTTACATTTTTTTTAAACGTAAAACTTTTTACTGGCCACTTCCAAGAATGCTTTACAGGTTGTGCAAGAACATTTACAGGCCCCAATTGGTGCTTTTCTCAGAGAAGCTTTTCCGTCTACATAAGATGTTGAATTACACACTAGACAAGTCTTCCTAGGAGAACAAGATCGGTTCTTCCCTGCCATTACGGTCTGCGGCCATGTCCATTTGCAAGATGGCAGGAAGGGGCCTAAACAGCCCCTGGAGACCATGGCTCTGCTCTCCTCCAACCCCCAAGAAAAAAAAATGACTTTCTAGTGTCAGAAACCAAGCACAAGCACTTCCTCTCCCAGCAGAGCTCACACCCCCTTCATTCCCATGTCCCTAGGCACCCTACCCCAGCCAGCAAAGCTGTGGCCCATTCCTCCCTGAGGGCAAGGTCCCTTCACCACTGCTGGGTGGCACCAGCAGAGACTTCTTTAGGAGTGGGCAAGCTGCCAGCCTGGGCCTGCAGACCCCTCCAGCCTCCCCAGGGACAGGGTGAAGGTGCCTGGGGCCAGGGCCAGGCCTGTGGCACACTCTGGGCAGGCCTGGCACTCTCATAGGAAGCGAGTTGCTGCTCACCAGGCTGAGGGAGGGAGGGAAGACTAAAGCCAAATCCAAAAAAGCACCCAGCTTCCCCAGAAACCATGTGTGTTCTGTCCGTGAATTGAACCCAGAACTGGTCCCAGCTAAGGCCCAGTAAGAGGTGGACCTGGTGACTGCTCAGCACTGCCTGCACGCTTTCTGCCTGTAACCCTGAGAATCAGATTGCAACCTTCAGCAAGGAGTAGGCAGCCTCGGCACCTCCACTGGGACAGTGCAGCACAGAGACTGTGGCTGGAATGGCTCCCAGCCCAGCAGACCAGGAGTCCCCAGAAGGCCCAGAAGGAAAAGTCGGAAAGAAAATGCAAACGTTCATGGGTAAAGTGATCGCCAAGAGCTAATCGTTTATTTCGCTGCCTGGTGGTCACAAGGCCTTGGCCCCTGCCTGCGCCTTCCTGGGCGGAGCTTCTTCCTCCTCCCACCACTGCCTGCATGGTTGCCAGCGTCACTGGGGACACTAGCAACTGCAGGGTATAGTCCAAGCAGCCCTAGTTCTGCGCAGATGGTTTCCAATTACAAATACCTAACTAGGTTTGAAATATTTTATAGAATAAGACAATATTCTTTTCAACAAACTTTTAAAAAAATGTACAGTTTTGTGGTTGGTTTCCACCTCCCCCCACCCCGCCATGTGCCCACCCCCCACCACCCTCCCCGGCAGCTCAGCCCCACCCCGCCTGCCCCTGTTTTCCTTGGATGTGTTTAGAGGGTGCCGAGCACCCCTGAGATCCAGCTTCGTGATGGACAGGTGGCCATGTGGGGCTTCACCGATACCCTTGGTAGCCGTAGTAGTTCCTGTAGTACCGGTCTCGGTCCTGCGGGTGATGGTAGTAGTAATTCTGCCACTGCAAGAGAGGGGATGAATGGTCAGGGCTCAGGCTAGCACCATGACCACCACCACCCTAGCTTCTGCCTGGCTGCAGACTCACATCCCGGTTGTACTGCCTGTAATAGTCTCTGTATCTGTTGTACTCGTAGTCTCGGCCATAGAATCGGTCATAGTCTCCACGGTAGCGGTCATAGAAGTTACGGTAGCCCTGGGAAAGGAGAGAGGAGACTTACGGGGTTTCAGCAGTGTGACCCACTGGGCCCCTTCACACAGATGCCTTGGGCCAGACAGTGCAGACGGGACGAATCTGTCTGATGGGCACAGTAACTGGGCAAGGCCCTGAGCCCTGAGATGACAGCCTGCGCCCCTCTGCTCCCCGCGCCATGGCAATGGTGGCCTGGGCCAGAGGGAGAAGCGGGGGACCGCACTCACCCCTCTGTTTCCAGACTGCCCCCAGTACTGCTGCCCGTAGGCCCGGTTGTCGTAGCCTCGGCGCTGCCCGCCCACTGGAAGAGAAACGGAGAGCGCTCAGACAGCTGGCAGCAGCCGGCTTGGCATGGAGCGCAGCAGAAAAGCGGGGGCCACAGGCCACTCTGTGGGCACAGGAGCCTGCCTAGCAGGGACAGCCCCAGCACTGGGGCTCACAAGTCTGGAGGGTGGGCAGAGATAAGGGCCAGGAAAGCCACGTCACCTTGCTCTGGATGCCCCAGTTCCTGGAAGACATTCAGGATGGCAAATGGTACGTGGCAGAGTAAACACCAGCAGCAGAAACTGCCATTTGGAGTATCACAGACTATCATCCTTGGGAGAGCCCCAAGATGCCCCACTGCTTTTTTTTTTTTTTTTTTTTTTTTGTCTTTTTCTTTTTTCATTGGTACCAGGGATCGAACTCATGACCACACACTTTGCAAGGCAGGCCCTTATGCTGCTGAACTAAATCCCCAGCCCCTAGATGCACCACTACTGTCTGTGAGAAACCATCTACACCCCACGGTCCTAGAGGAGGGGCAGGCTGCAGAGCACAACTCATCTGAGTGCCAGCTGACAAAATGAACCCCAGGACATTATTCCGTAAAGCACCCATTTAACTTACTGAACAGGGGGCTCACTTTCCGGCCTACATAGCTGGGTTGGTCCAAGAGGCGAAGCAATGAGAAAATGGACTATGAGAACAGGACGCCACCATCAAACCCTTCTGCTGCACCAGCAGCCAATTTTGAGACACGTGTGTTAGCATGATAGCCAGATACATAAGGCACAGCATGCTTTTCAGGAAACAAGTACTTTGTGGGAAAGGAACTGTCCTTCTTATGAAAGGATTACAGGAAGGCCAGGAGAGAGAGGGGAAGACATGGGAGGATGCCTGCTCCAGGAAGGTGCCTCCTTACCAGCTGCTACCCTACTTCCTGGGCCTTCTCGTCCCACAACTGACAAAGCTGGGCCAGCCTTGCCCCTGGACTCACCATATCCTTGGCCACGGCTTCGGTTCTGGCGATTGCGCTTGTTTCGGTTGTTTCGACGATTTGTGCGCTTTTCTGAGGGAGGCAGCAACTTCCTGGCTTCTTCCTTGTACTTGGTGACAATGGGCTGAGCTTCCTCCTTCTCAAGCTCCCCATATGTCACCTCATCCATATAGTCACATTTCTCAGGCAAAGAAAAGTTGGCTACAAGAGTAAGAGAGAAGCTTGTGAGCCTGGAAAGTACACAGATGAGTGCAAACTCATTATGAACACTCTACTACAAGAGTACCATTTTTTTTTTCTTTTTCTCTTTTTATCGGTACCAGTCATCGAACTCTAACCACCTGTTTGCAAGGCAGGTGCTTATGTCACTGAGCTAAACCCCCAGCCCCTCACTCTACTACAGGAAACCTACTTTAAATTTTCCTTCAACTGTAACAGCCCCAAGCAAAGTACTACCTGCCAACTGTTGATTCACAGGTCTCAAGTGATCCATAATGAATTAGCAGTGAACTGGGGTAAGGTTTCTTATCAGGACAGGAGGAGGTAACGGAGGCCAAAAGTAATGGAGAAAGTTTTGGTGTTGGGTAGGTAAGATGCCAAGAAGTGACATTTTAGAAAGGCTTAGCCTCATGGCATCTGCTGTCCACACCATGAGACAGGGAACACCCTTGGTCACTCTGAGCATGCTGGGCTAGCACACTCTGTACCCGAGTCCACAGGCTGCCCTGTGGCCTTCAATACAGCAAGCTTCCCATGATTCTTTAGTGAACCCAGTCAGTCCTGATACCAATTCCCCTGAGCACCTGAGTACCAGCTGTAGACTTGCATAGTCATTCTACATGAACCTGCAGGATGTGACTCAAAAGTGTCCATGAGGAAAGCCAGCAGTTCCCAGGGCAGGCAGGAAGCCACCAGTCAAGGGGAAAACTAGGGAAAAATCAGCTAAGGGCACAGCAGGAAGTAAGAGTAACCAAAAAAATCTGTAACTTGTTCTTCTTTACAGTCTTTTTTTAGTATTTATTTAAGCAGGTAATGCTACTTTGTGGGAGACCTTGCTCTAGGACTCTGTAATGCATGAATGATTTAATTCAATACCAAAAAGAAAAAAGAAAAAAAGAACTAAAAACGAATGGGTCAGGGGTTTAGCTTAGTGGCACAAGTGCCTGCCTAGCAAGCACGAGGTCATGAGTTCGATCTCCAGTACCAAAAACAAAAACACCCCAAAAATCTAAAAATGAGCCTACTATGATACCATAAATCAAGATCCACCAGTGTGGGGCTGGGGATTGAGCTCAGCCGCATAAGCGCCTGCCTTGCAAGCAGGCAGTTGTGAGTTTGATCGCCGGTACCGATAAAAATGAAAAAGACAAAAAAAAAAAAAAAGACCAAAAAAAAAAAAAAAAAAAATCCACCAGCGAGATCCTCACTTTAACTGCCTTGACTTGAACCATACCACCTCCCGGCCCTTTACAAAATAAAAGGCACTGGCTGCTATTTCCCTGTGTGGAACATTGCTGGGCAAACAGCAAACACACTGTATCTATGTATTAAGTGACTTACTTAAGGAAGGTTCTTTATGAGTTTTCTCTGTTTTCTTCAGTACTGGGGACTGAACACAAGGCCTCATGCATAGTAGGCATGCACTGTTCCACTGAGCTATATCCCTAGCCTTGCACTGACTTTAAGTATCCTATGATAGATACATCACTGTTTCCCCTTTTGTGATTCATACAGGGTGATTCACAGGATCACAGCAGGCATGATGGCACACGCCTGTCATTCTAGCACTCAGGAGGTTGAAACAGGAGGGTCACTGAAAGTTTGAACCAGTCTGGGATCACTGTGAGTTCAAGGCCAGCCTGGACTACAGTGTGAGATTCCATTTCAAAACAAACAAACAAAAAACAACAAAAGGGAGGAGTCACTATTTTGTTATTTACTCTGCTTATTCATTCATCCACCCACAGTGCTCACACTCACTAAGGCAGTCTTTGGTCAGGGTGGGTCAGATTGAGCCAGGGCTAGGGCGCTAAGTAGACTGGTGGAGGTGGGGTCCTGGCAGTCTAACTTCAGCCCACCTTTCATTTCCAACATTATGGACTCAGGCACATCGTCTCCCTCCACTTCCTTCCTCAACTCCAGCCTCTTCTTCCAGTCTTCCTCATTAGGGACAATCACCACCACCTTCCGGGAGAAAGTCTTGAACAACAATAGCTTCCTCCGTTGGCCAGAGTTGTACACGTTACACTAGGAAAAGGAGGAGGAACAGATGTTTAAGAATAAACACTATCATCCAAGTTCAACCAAAACTCTGTGTCTTTTACAACTGCAACACCAGGGGCTGGGGATTTAGCTCAGTGGCATAAGCGCCTGCCTTGCAAGCAGGCAGTCGTGAATTCAATCCCTGGTACCGATTAAAAAAAAAAAAAAAAAGAAAAAGACAACTGGAACACCAAATTAAGGGTCAATATTCCCAACAGCCTTTGTTAAAACCTTTACCTGACTGGTGTTACTTATCTTGCACACCAGCAAAACTGAGGTTCAGTGAAGCAAAGGGACTTATCCAAGATAACAAATCTTTTAAGTGGAGCCCGTAATTCATTAAGAGCTAGGTCTTTTATTTGTTTTTTGGTACCAGAAATTGAACCTTGTGCTTGCCAGGCAGGCGTCAATACTGCTGAGCTAAATCTCCAGCCCCCAAGTGCCAGCTCTTTTTTTTTTTTTTTTTTTTTTTTTTTTTTTTTTTGGCTTTTTCATTTTTATCGGTACCAGGGATCGAACTCACGACCGCCTGCTTGCAAGGCAGGTGCTTATGCCACTGAGCTAAATCCCCAGCCCCTTGCCAGCTCTTTTTTATACTTTTATTTTCTGGGGCTATATATGCTGAGTAAAAACACCAATAAGAGTTTGATCCCTGGTACTCAAAAACAAAAACAAAAACAAAAACAAAACAAAACAACAACAAAAAACACCAATAAGGTTACTCCTGTAATGTTACCCCATAATATTTAAAACCACCATTAACTAAAGCTGGACGTGGTGACACACAGCACCTGTAAGGCCAAGGCAGGAGTACCACCATGTGTTCCAGCCTGAGGTACATGGTTAGTTCCAGCCTGAACTATCTAGTGAGACTGTCTCAGTGCCCACATCAAAAGTCACTCCCCAAAAACCATCATAATTAGCAAAGGACATTACAGTGAGTTTAACAGCAGTGAGATGCTATCTGTTGCTCCTTAATTCAGTCTCTCTTTATATATGCACCCCAGTTTGACTCTAAGCAATTTTATTAAGTGGATACAAAATACTCATCTTCATATCCTCTGAAAAGCCAATTTCTTTTGTTTAAACAATACCTGATCAAGAATGAAGTTCCTCTTTGTCCGAGAAGCAATCTGGACCAGCTTACTAAGGCACTGGGAGGCTTGCTGAACTAAAACGTCACGACTTTTAGGGTCCATCTCTGGTTCCTCAAGCCCCTTCATCTGCAAGAGAAGAGAGATGGCACACAAGGAGTTGACAGTGAGTTCAAGCCCGAAACAGTTGTCACTTGAAATGCCACAAATGTCACCTTGATTCATTTTTATGGTTCAATGCTGAACACTTTTTTGCAATACCATTTCCAGTCAACCTAGACAGATCCCAGATTTTACCAAATTTTCAGAAATTTCACAATACAGCAGAGAACAAAGAAAATCCACCTGCAACACTTAAAGAGAATAGATCCCTCCTATTTGTGGGATCGTTGTTCCCAGACTTTTGGAGGGAGGTAGCAGGGATCAAACTCATGACCTTGTTTGCCACATTGCTGAGCTTAACCCCTGGCCCCTTCCCCTTTTTTCTATACTGGGGATCGAACTCAGCACCTTATACTCCTAGGCAGGTGCTTGTGCTGCTGAGCTATATCCCTGGCTGAGATGCACTCTTCATGGAGGACAGCTGAAGTTTCCTGATCCCCCAAGTGAGGAAGCAAGTGCTCCACTGGGCAGTCTCTTCACTTACCCTCATCTGACTGAGCACCATCTCAGCTCCCAGGATATTGTATCTTTTCTCAGGGTTTTCTTTTGCATATTTCAGTGCCCACTGGGTCTTTCCAGATCCAGGTAGTCCCACCATCAGAATTACCTACAAGTAAACAGAATCACTAATGCAATGAAAATAAGTAAGGATCAATTTCTGAGATCCCATTTAAGCCAGGTATGGAGGAGGTAAGGCCCACAATTCCATCTACTGGAGAGGGCTAGGTAACACCATGAGATCCCATCTCAAAAGAACCCCCCAACATGAACTTCTGAGGAAGAACCTCCCCCCATTCATTAGTGCTTTGAGAAGAGACCAGGGAACTTACCCACCCACCATCCCAAAGCAGGAGCCCCAAGACGGCGCACCTCACACTCCTCTCCAGCCTTAGGTGGGACTGCAGTGCGCACGCGCCCCTCAACTGGCACGGTGTGGAGGAACACAAATTCTTCGGGGTGTGGGAAGAAGGGCTCTTCCTTCTGACCAAAGTTTAGTTCTACAACACAATTTTTGCAGAGGACATGGGGTAGGAGGGCACGGTCTGCTAAGGAGTCCTTGTTGATCCGGAATGCCACACCTAGATCTTCTCCATTCTTGGAGAAGGAAAGTTCTATTTCTTCAGTCTCAAAGTTCTATAAGAACAAAGGATAAGAGCACTTAGGGGCTGCCGGACCTTGAGGTTGATCAAACTTTAGTCTCATTTTTTCTGAAATTCCAGACTGCTACGCCACACAATGAAGGGAGCTATGCATCACATGACAGAGTCAGTGTGGCTGGGCCCTGGGTGCGGCTCCCAGGTCGTTCCCATCACGACCCCAGTTTGGAAACACTTACAGCAAAGCAGCCAATGACATCATTCTCCCCAAAAGTCTGGCCAAACTCCTCAAACTGGCCATTCTCTGCCTTGAGTCCACGACCATCAAAGCCGTAAGAGAATTCATCCTCACCTGGAATAGCCAATAATCAGCTACTCATGCCCAAAGTTCCCATAGAGTAAGCAACATCAGATCAGACACAGGTGAGGAAGTTATAACTTTACCCAGCTGAGGACAGGAAAAATCCACAGACCAACCAACTCGGAGGACAGATGCCTCTGTGCAGCCTTCTTTCACTGGGAGATTCTGGGTTACCTGGCCAAATCAGAACAGGAACTTAGGTACCCTGACCACTTGGGAACAGGGGTTAGAAAGACAAGCTTTTTACAGCTAAAAATGATAGCTACCACACTGAAACATCAGAACAACAACTGTCACTCAATCTAACCAAGGCTGGGGGTTAATTTCTTGGTTGTTAAACTAAGATTATTACTAAAACAGGGTGACCTCTCCCATATTTTTTTTTTCTTTTTCATTTTTATCGGTACCAGGGATCGAGCTCACGACTGCCTGCTTGCAAGGCAGGCGCTTATGCCGTTGAGCCAAATCCCCAGCCCCGACCTCTCCTAAGTTAACAAAACACTTTGATAGAAAGGAGTCCAATGCAGATACTTTAAGGGATAAATTAAATGAGTGGCGGTGATGCGCTACTGCTACTACCTTGGCCTCAAAGCAGACCTTTCCCTTTGTTACTCCGTAAGTGCTTCTGGCCCCAGACCAGAGGGTGGGGAACTTCTCTGAGAAGAGTGGCTGCCCTCCATAGCGGTCTTTGCTCACTTGGAAGTGAAGATCCGAGGTATCTGTAAGAAGCACAGGGCAGGTTTATTTTGAGACCCAGAACTTGAGTGATCTACCCACCTGCCCAGCACAAGTGCCCCTGATGTCAGGAATGGGGGCAACGTCTGAGGACATGCAGGCCACATTCCAATTCCCCAAACTACTTTTAGAGAGAGTAGTTAAAACCCCGAGGATTTTTGTCTCATACATACACGTGTCCAGGTTCACAAGAGTGTGATCTTCCTCCTCTTCCTTTGCCTCTTCTTCAGGAGGTGGTGGGGACTTGGAGCTAAATAAGAGTAAAATAAATTCATGCGACCACAGCTATCTTCAAGAACTGCAGCACATTAAGTCCACTTTAAATAATCAGTAAATAGCAAATCCCAGCAGACAGCTTCTTTTAACAAACCAGAGTCTAACCCATTCTTCCCTCTAGACACCAGTCAGTGTGTAGTACAGCAGAATTGGATGCGACACTCTTGGGCAGGGAAGACCCATGGCCTCACCGACTATGGTGAGCCTCCTCTCGAAACTCATAATATGCGCGGCCATGCTCATCTTTTTCGTCCCGCTGTCTCTTCACCCCTCGACGCTCAACATCTGAGCCTGCTGGCTTTGACTTCTCACTGTCTTGGTCATCCCCTACAAAAGCAGGGAAAGACAATCACCAGTTTTTCTGCTGAGTGTGGAATAAGCCCAGAACCAATAGAAACTAAATGTGTATCTTAAGTATGCCCAATTAGATCAGGTTATTTCCATTGTGCCCACAGCATACTTTATTTCCGAAGATTATTTTCTCGTCATTGGCCAGGAATTTATGGGCGGGGGTGGAGTGTGCATTATAGAGTACTGAACAGCCCAACACCTGATAAACACTGGACAATTTAGCCAAGCAGGGTGGTGTACTCTGCAATCCCCCCACTGGGAGGCTGAGGCAGGAGGACTGCCATGAGTTCAAAACCAGACTACACTAAGTAACAAGACCCTGCCTCAAAAAATTTTTTTATTTCTAAATATATCTATTTAATTAGGTCAAACTTGCAGATTTTCCCATTAATATGATATAAATGGTCTCTAAAAAATCTTCACTGCTTAGGGGGCTGGGGATTTAGCTCAGCAGCATAAGCACCTGCCTTGTATGAAGGCGGTCGTGAGTTCGATCCCCGGTACCGATAAAAAGTTAAAAAAATCTTTACTGGTTAATTTAACCCATCAGGATTCAAAGTAGGCATTAAATATTTTGTAAGTTTCCCACAGAGTCATAACATAGAAGCCTCAAATTTTCTGAGTTTACCTTTCTTGCATTAAAATACACAAGCACCACTGCTTTTCTCATATAGCAAAAACTCAAATGCATGACACACAGCTGTATTTTAACCAGGGATTTACTGAAAGTTGCAAGACCAAACAAGTCACAAGAAACCCATAAATAATACTATATCTTTACAGCACACAATTTGGGGGCAGAACCGTGTATATATTTAGTAACTTTTTTTGGTGGTAGTAACAGACAAGGGAACCATCACTAAGTTATCCTGGCTGGCCAGAATTTGTAATCCTCCTGTTTCAGCTTTCTAACAAGATGGGATTTACAAGTGTGCATCACCGTGTCAGGCATGCAACATCTTTTGCAAAAGGAAAAAGAAGCTATAATTTTTAACTCAGTCCTTATACTTTACAACACTATACTTTTTAAAGTAACAGTTATCTTTAAAGCAGTCTTTTATCCTTCCATGTTTTTTTAATCTGGTATTTGGAACACACACACACACACACACACGAGTCAAAGGTTATGTAATGGGATTTTGTTCTAGGACATCAGACGAAAAAATCTGCAAGTTGCAAGTGATTGCTATAACGCAGGTTTCACTTACACCAAGATACTCGGTAACAGTCTGAAACACGCGATACAGAAAGAACTTGGGCAATGCACTCCGCGATAACAGTTGGAAACAACTCTAGGTTCCCTTCCTTCTCTGGAGAATACAATTCCAGATCAGCTCTAGCATCCCATTACCAAAACAAAGGAAAAAGGTCATCTACATCCGTGGGCACCTCTGCACTTTCTCTTCCAAAAGGTCCTAGGTAGACCCAGCAGAACCTGGACCATCTCAAGAAGTAAAGACTCTGACAGGTTTAAAAAAAAAAAAAAAGGCAGGCCAGCTCAAGCGCAGCAAATCTAAGGTGTACCCGCGCAGCGCCTCAGTGGGAATATCCACACTTAATCACAGGACACGGGACAGGTAGCGAAGGTGCACCAGATGCCAAAGGGATAGCTTTCCCCTCCAGGGTTAACAATCAAGTCCAGCGCTTGGAAGGGAAGGGGAGGGCAAGCGAGTGGGGTCCGCTCATTGCTCAATAACTTTACTGTGGAAGCCCGAGCCCTGAGCCTGCCACCGCTGTCCTTGCCAGTCCCTCCACGCACTCCAAGCTGGGTAAGAGATGGGGGCGCGGGAGAGGCCGCTCCACAGGTGTCTCCAGGCGGGCAGGGATCGCCTTCCCGCGACAGCGGGCAGGGAACAGGGCTAGGATCACGGGCAAGGGGCACGGGACCAATGACAGGGACAGTACGGGCCACCCTCCGCAGCCCACCTGGCTCCTCTGCCGCGCCGCCGCCCGCTGCTTCATCCCCGCTCCGCTCCTCGTCCCCGCTCCGCTCGTCGTTCCCGCCGTCGCCGCCATCCTCGCCGGGGCCCGGCTCCTCGCCGCCGTTCACGCCACCAGGTCCCGCCGCCGCCTCCTCCTCTGCCTCCCCCGCCGGCGCCGCGCTCGCTCCAGGCCCGGGTTCGGCCTGCGCGGCCGCCTCCTCGGAACGCTCGGAGGCCGCGACGCACTCAGACCGCTCGGGGCTCGTGCCTGGCGGCGGCTCCTCATCCTCATCCTCCAGCAGCGCCTCCTCGTCTTCCTCTTCGTCCTCGTCCTCGTCCTCGTCCCCGCCCGCGCCGCTGCCTGCTGTTGCTGCCGCCGCCGCAGGCCGCGGCTCCGCCTGGCAGGCCCCGCCGGGCCCGGGCGCGCCGCCCGCTTCGTCCTCCAGCATCTCGGCGTCCAGCGCCTCCTGCAGTCGCTGCGCCAGATCCATCTTGAGACCGCGCGAGTCCAGGCCGCGCCGCTGCAGTTCAGACCGCAGCTCGGTCACTTTCAGCCGCTTCACCTCCATCGCCGCCTCCCGCCGCCTCCTCCCCTGCGAGCCGCCGGCCGCGCCGCACCGCGCAGGCGCCGCCGCCCGCCTCTGCCTCCCGCGCCGGCGCGGGACCCGCGTGAGCAAGCGATCAAGTCTCCGCGGCGAGGCAGCAGTGTCGCCTTCCTCCCGCACTCCCCCCGCGGCCCGCGGGGCTCAGAACGACGCAGCGGAGAGCAAGTTCTCTCCCGGCGCCTCGGTTCGGACCGTGAGCGTGCACCCGACGACGGAGCCCCCGGCCGCTTTTGCCCGCCTTCTTCGGCCCGCGAGCCAATCAATACCGGGAGTTTTATCGCGCAGCCGCACCACGACCCGAATAAACAGGGCTGGCTGCGGCTCAAGTGCCTCGTAGCCCGGAAGCGTGTCTGCGCCCGGCTTTCCGTACTTTAGCCTGAAGTTCTGCGCAAGCGTCGTGAGTGCCTCTTACAGCCTGTCGCCTCCCTTAGTCCTCACTTCCGGTTTTAGCGGCGTTTTGCCCTACGATATTCTGCGCCGGCAGCAGCCTTGTGAAAGTAACGAGAGACGCCGGAAGGCAACTATTACTAACATGAGAACTCACTAATAATTGTTTATGTGACTTGTTGGCAAAAGGGCTCTTTAGGACCAAAGGATTCGGTAATCTCTTTTCTCAACGCTTCAACTTTTACCCAGCAACAGACGCCCGGACTCCGCCTTTAGTCCCTGTTATTGGCCATCTTGAATTGCAATCTGCCCTTCTGATTGGTCAACCGTGATCGGCCAAATTTTTTTTTTTTTTTTTTTCCCAATTGGCGAAGCAGTCTTGTGGGAAGCCAGTCGTTCCTGCGGGAGTGCCTCACAGCGCCGCCTCTGATTGGGCGCTGTGGTGCGCGGTCCCTTTAGTTACATTGCAGAAGGGCCGACCTTTCGGTCCCGCGCTACGCTCCGGAGCCGCAGTCCCCAGGGGACTTCCGGGTTCGGGCGCCGCAGAGGCAGGAAGGGGCGGGCACTGCCGTGCTGGGAGTCCGGGTGGCTGTGGTTCTATTCTGTCTCCCCTGCGGGCGGTGGTGTAGGCCTCGTATGCCTGGTGCCTTTGCCAGGTCCGCAGACGCCGGCCGAAGGCTTGGTGGGCGAGGACACGGGCGCGCGCCTGGAATTCATGTTTGCGGGAGGCTGAGGCGGGAGGATCTCAAGCTCTCTCCCGTCTGAGCAACTTAGCGAGATCCCCGTCTCAAAATAAAAAGTAAAAAGACTGGGGTGTAGCTCAGCGTGAAGGTCCTGGTTCCATCCTCAGTGCCATCAAGGGGAAAGAGAGGACCTAGAAGAGCTAGGACAAGGGAAGCCCCTCCGCCTCGCCGAAGCGTCCCCCTCCCGCAACCCTGCGTCGCCCGGAGCCGCCTTGCAGTCCCCATGGAGGAGCGGCTGCAGGAAGCGCTGCTGCTGAAGGAGCAGGGGAACCAGCGCTACCGCGAGGGCCGCTTCCGCGCCGCGGCCGGCAGGTATCATCGCGCGCTGCTGCAGCTGCGGGGCCTGGAGCCCGGCCCGGCGCCTGCGCCTGTCCCCGTCCCCGACTTGGGCCCGCGGACGCCCGTGCTCACGCCCGCGCAGGAGGACGCGCTGCGCAACACGCAGACTGCCTGCTACAACAACCTGGCAGGTGGAGACCGCGGGGCGGGAATGGGGGTGTGCGGTGGGGATCACTGGCTTCTGCAGCCCCTGCGGCGGGGCGGTGAACGCCGCCTCCTGGAGGCCTGGTGGCGCTGCCTGGCCGCGGGGCTGACATCCCCGGGGTGCGCATCCGGTGAATGTGTGCTGCACAGCTTGCAGAAAACTGCGATGCTTCCGAAGCGTAGGTCAGTACTGGGAAACTAGTCCAGTCGTCCGCCGGTGGATAATCAGGTATTCGATAGTTTTCTTGAAGTCTCCGTTTCCGTTGGAGCTTCTAGATGACTAGGGTAGCGAGTGACCCTCCCCCCCCCCCACCTCCAAGTGGCGTTGGATGACAAGCTGTCACCAGGCTTAGCCTAAGACAAAGTAGGTGCCTTCCCGGATGGGTGGAGTGAGCTCACTTTACAATGAAGCAGACAGGAACAGTCCGAGGTGAGGCTGTGGTCACTGGGATGTCTCTCCCAAGACCCCTCATTCGTTTGCGAACGCGCACTTTAATTCTGCCGAGTAAGCTATTCTTTAAAAAAAAAAAAAAACTTACTAGCAGTTTTTATATTTCGTAATTGTTGTTTAAAGTGATTATTTCTTAAAATCCAGTGGTGCTGTGGGTGGAACCCAGGATGTGGGCCTTGCACATGCTAGACAACTGCTCTGCCACTGAAGTGTGGTAATCTCTAAGAAGTTATTTATTTATTTTTGTGCCAGGAATCAGACTTACAACCTCACACTTACCAGGCAGGTGCTGTGCAACTGAGTTATATCCCTAGCCCTAAGAAGTTTTTTTTTTTTTTTTTTTAGACTAGTCAAGTGCAGTAGTGAGAAGGGGGGAAAGAGTAGAACAAGGAGTTCAATCTGTACTGACTGTGAACAATCAATTGAGATAACTCACTATGTTCGGACCAGCCAAGAAGTTATTTTTAAAACTGATAGTATTTATTAGTTGTAGGGTGCCGAAACGTTAGCTTTTTCTGTGTTTTTTTTGTTTTTTATTCTTTTTTTTTTTTTTTTTTTTTTTCAGACAGGTTCTCTCACCTTATAGCCCTGGCTGACTTCAAACTGGAGGTCCTCCTGCTTCTCAGACAGAAGGAAGACCTCGAGTTTGAATCCCTTCAGTGCTGGGATTACTGTTACATGCCACTGTGCTGAGCACAACCTTTTTACAGTGGTGTGCAATTATACTTTTACCCTGAAATAACAGAAATAGTAATTATTGTAGCTTAAGTTTTAATTCACTCAATTGAAAAGCCACACACAGGCACTGTTTAAACACTGTACGTACATCACCCTGTGCCAGTGGCTCTATGATGTTTTGCGAAAGTTGTAAGGAAGCAAATTGCTGGTAGGGAGAGCTAAAATCAAACCCTGGGCAGTCTTAATTCAGAGCTGAAGTCCCCAAAGAGTAATGTACCTCTTGAAAGAACAAAATATGTGTTCAGAATTGACCCAAAGTCAGGAGAACAAGATGTTTCAGAGGTGGCACTTGCTGTCATCCTGACCCTCCTTGGGTCAATGGCTGTGCCTCAGCTACCCCTGGAGCCTCAAGGTTCTTGAGAGAGGCCTCTAGACGCTGCTGTGTTGACAGCTTGGGTTTATTGGCTGCCTCTGAGATACCTGGCAACTTACCTGCAGTATCTCATCCTCACAGAATCCTTGCAGGGAACTGGTTGATTATACTCTTAGATAAAGAGGCCAGATGAGATCACAGCCAAAGGTCCTCTAGTAGCCTCTGTGTCACATGTAAGAGAAAATCCAGTACTGCTCTCTGTCTCCGTGTCTGTCTATCTTATTTGTCTCTGTCTTCACTGGCAGTGCTGGGGATGGAACCCATTTGTGAGCTTTGCCCACAGGGCCTGACATATCCTAACACCTCCATATGTGAGCATAAGGGCACATTCCCACCCCAGACATCGTGGGCTCTCTTCTGGGGCTCTGTGCCTTGTTTCTTCACTGATCCCTGTCCCATGATCCGGGTTCAAAAGCTGCTTTCTGTTGGGTGTGATAGTGCAGTTACTTGGGAGGCTGAGGCAGGAGAACTGCAGATTCAAACCTCCTCTAGTGACTTAGTCAAACCCTGTCTCAAAATGAATGTAACTCGAGGATTGATGAGTTGAGTCCCTCTTGGAATAGTGAGACTATTTTGAAAAAGAAAATGAAACAAAGATGCTGGCTTCCATCCCCAGTAACCCCCACATGCGCATACAAAGATAAAGCGGAAGGCATTTTAACTAGATTCTCAAAGGATATTCTGGCCTCACACAAGGTCTCCTCGGGCCGATGGTGTGTGGAAGGCAGGCAGGAAGGAGGTGACATAAGTTGGTGGTGCACCTGCTTAGCAAGTGTGAGCTGCGTGGCCCTAGGCGGCTGAGCTGAGCGACTGAGCCTCCTGCTGTCCCCCTCCCCACCCCAGCCTGCCTCCTGCAGATGGAGCCCGTGAACTACGAGAGGGTGCGGGAGTACAGTCAGAAGGTCCTGCGGCGGCAGCCTGATAATGCCAAAGCCTTGTATCGCGCAGGGGTAGCCTCGTTCCACTTGCAGGACTACGAGCAGGCACATCGCCACCTCCTGGCAGCCATGCGCAGGCAGCCCTCAGGTGAGCCAACTGTGGAAAGGACTTTCATTTGGGTTTTTATTTGTGTTTGATTTAGACACACGGTCTTGCTGTGTTGCCCAGGCTGGCCTCGACGCATGATGACCCCATACCTCAGCCTCCCAAGTGCTGGGATGGAGGGCATGGACCAATCCAGCAGAATTTTTTTTTTTAACTTTTTAATCGGTACTGGGGATCAAACTCACAACCACCTGCTTGCAAGGCAGGTGCTTATGCTGCTGAGCTAAATCCCTAGCCCCCAGAATTTATTTTTTTAAAAATAGGTTATACATTCATGGTTCAGAATTCTAAAAGTAGCCAGGTTTGCTGGTCCATACCCATAACCCAAGCACTTGGGAGGCTAAGGCAGGATTGCTGTGAGTTTGAGGCCAGCTTGGGCTACATATTGAGTTCAAGGAAGCCTAAACTGTGAAGTTTAGGGAAAAAAATTCTAAAAGTATGAAGAAGAACACAAGCTGGGTATATCAGGAGGAGCAATACAAGGCCACCCTCTGTGACACAGTGAGTTCACAGCCAGCCTAAACTCCATGACAAGACCCCGTCTCAGAAAAACAATAAGGATTCAGCGGACAGTTTCTTCAACCCCTTGCGCTCCTTCCCCTGGACTGCAGCGTTGTTCTCATGTGTGCTTGAGAGGTGTTTGTGCTTCACAGTGCAAGTGTGTTGACTGTGTGTGTGGTGGTGGGGAGGCGGGTGTTGTGCTGGGGATTGGACCCAAGGCCTTCATCCACACTAAGCTACATTCTCAGTCTTTTTTGCAGGGAGGTCCTCCCAAAGTCACTTAAGTTTTCCAGGCCAGGCTCACATTGGCAATCCTGTCTCAGTTTCTTGGAGTGCTGGGACCACAGGTGTGCCAGATTCTGTGCCTCTCCTGTTCTTTATGTATATGAGCCCCATTCTGGCAGGGATTTGAGTATCCGCGTGTGTGTGTGTGTGTGTGTGTGTGTGTGTGTGTGTGTGTGTGTCCTAATCCAGAGCCCTTCAGTATAAAGCATGTACTTTGCCCTCAGGTGTTTTTTAGATTTTTTTTTGTTTTTGAGAGAAGGTCTCACTATGGAGTTCAGGTTGATCTTGAACTTACTGTGTAGTCCATGCTGCCCTTAAGCTCGTGGTGATTCTTCTGCCTCAGCCTGTTGAGTGCTGGGATGACAGGGGTATACCACCACATCTGACAAGTTATTTTTAGATTAATTGATTAGTTCTCTGTAGTCACCATGGTGCATGCCAGGGCTTTAGAAGCCATGCTTTCCAGTGGTTGGCCCTCAGCCTTGAAGAGTGGTGTGAAACAGGTAACCAGGGGGACCCCTGATGGCACTGCTTCCGCACCTCCTGGGGACCCAGCCTTAGCTCACTGTGGTGGACCCTAGGCAAAGTTGGCCTCTGTAGCTGGACACAGGCTCTTGTTGGCTGACTCAGTTCCAACAACACTGTTGCTTAAGTATTTGTCCAGAACAGCTTCAGAGGTACAAACAGAGCATTCTTGAATGTGGCAGTGCTGGAATTGGGCTGTGGGGGCTGGGGATTTAGCTCCTCAGTAGAGTGCTTACCACTTCAGGCCCCAATACCCTGGGAGAACATGTGTGCAAACACACGCGCACACATGCAGGACCACAGAGCCTCACTAATTTAAATGCAGATAAGGCTGTGATAACCAGAATACATATGAAGTACATCACCTATGTGACTGTAATAGTAATAACCACTTGCTTTCCAGGCTGGGCATGGTGGTATACACTTGTAATCCCAGCACTCTGGGAGACTGAGACAGGAGGATCACAAGTTCAACCCAACCAGAGCAACTTAGTGATTTAGTGAGACACTGTCTCAGAATAAAAGATGGGCAGGGGACGGGGCTCAGTGCCCTGGCTTCCATTTCCAGTGCCCCCAAAATACTAGTGACCAGCTCAGCCTTGTACAGAGATTTTTTTTCAAATCCAGAGTAGCATTTAATGGAATCTGTTAGAGAGAGTGATTGTTGTGGTGCTTTCCAACTGTGGAGAAGGTGAATGGGTGTGTGTTTGCAGCCCTTTCGTGCTGTGAGCTGCAGTTGCTAACTGCTCTCTCCATCTGCCAAGATGTCAGTGTCCGGCGATACCTGCAGTTGACGCAGTCCGAGCTTAACAGCTACCACAGGAAGCAGAAGCAGCTGTACCTGGGCATGTTTGGCTGACAGAACTGCACTCTCGCTGGAGGCCAGGTGCACGTGAGCCTCAAGTAGGAGTGAGAAGGCCCCTGCCTGCTGCCCTGCGCTCAGCCCCAACTCTGCCACTCTCACCTTCTGTATCTGTGTTCATCTGGATTTCACTGCTTGTCATCGTGGAGACCATTGCCATGAGAGCTGCTCCAGGAAGCACCGGTCTGTTTCAGCTGAGTGTGTGGTTTTCTGGCCCGGGCTGGAGAAGAGCTGCTGTGCACAGTGCATGCCAGAGAGGGCAGCCTGGGTTGAGGGTCTTCTTTTCTCTTCTCAGACTCTGGCCATGCCAGAAACACATCATGTTGAAATGAAAGATTTAGAGTTGATCCCTTGTGTTTAAATTAATTCCTTGTTCTTTATAATATTTCATGCATATTGAGTCTTTTTCCCTACACAAGTATTTGGTTTCTATTTTTTTCCTCATGGTAATTTCTAGTCCTTGCTATTACTCATATTTAGATCATTAATAAACAATAGTTAATTTTTTTAATTAATCTATTCTCTTAAAACCTCTAGAGTTGCCAGGGATTTAGCTTATCGCTATAAGCGCCTGCCTTGCAAGCATGAGGTCATGAGTTGGATCCCTGGTACAAAAAAAAAAAAAAATCTCTAGAGTCAAACACTTAAGTGTTGTGTCAAGAAAAAAAAAATACACGGGCCTGGGATGTAGCTTAATGGCATAGTACCTGCCTGGCAAGCAAGAGGTTCTAAGATTGATTCCTGGTACCTCTCCATAAAAGAAAAAAAAAAACAGAGTTTTTAATTTTTAGCTGAGGATTTAGCTCAGTAGCACACATGCCTGCCTGGCAAGCGCAGGGTTGTGAGTTTGGTCCCCAGTACAAAAAAAATTTTTTTAATGTTGCACATATGTGTATATATGGTATGCTTGCTTCTCTGAAGGAATTAGGGAAAACAGGTTACCACATCTTCTAGAAACAGCACGATGGCAGAGCAGGTTGGAAATCGAAATCCTGGGCTGGGGAACAAAGGAGTGATAGAGAACTCAGCAGGCCTGCCCAGGGCTCCAGGTTCATTGCCTAGTACTGGAAAAAAGTCCAAATCTTGGCCTTGGCATGTTTGGCTGGCAGAACTGCACTCCCACTGGAGACCAGGAGAAGACAAGGAGGAGGCTGTTGTGCTTAGTGCCTTCAAGCACTGGGAGAGCGTGGGTCATGGCAGAGCAGGAGGCTTCACCAGCCAGCTGCTCCATGGCTGTTTGCCCCCCAAGGATGCTCTGAGATCAGGAGTTGAGGCCAGCAGTGGAGCACAAGCAGTGCCATCTGCATCCAGGTGTACATGCTGTCAGTCAGACAACAAATGTTGCAGGGGGAAAGGAAAACTGCCCCAGTCCAATGATGGCGAACCTTTCCAATAAACTATGGCACACGTGCCATAGGTTCACCACCACTGCCCTGGTCTTTTAACATAACACCCCTGGGTGCTGGGGATTTAGCTCAGGGGCATAAGCGCCTGCCTTGCAAGCAGGCAGTCGTGAGTTAGATCCCCAGTACCGTTAAAAAAGAAAAAGACAAAAAAAAAGAAATTAAAAAAAAAATAACACCCCTGCAGAAGGTGGTGCATGCCTGAATTGGGGAGGCTGAGGCAGGAGGATAATCATGAGTTCCAGGCCAGGGTAGGCTACATAATGACCTCAAGGCCAACATAAACTACATAGCAAGATCTTGTCTCAAATAACATCCCTTCTCCCACTGGGCTGGACTCCTTATTCTTCCCTATGTTTAAACAGTACAATCATTAGGAGCTGAGGGTTTAGTTCAGTGGCACAAGCACCTGCCTGGCAAATGCCAGGTTGTGAGTTCAATCCTGCTACCAAAAAAAAAGTGCAATCATCAACAAAAAGGTTTCCTACCAAGTACCATGATGTCCAAGGACATAATTAATAAAAACTGTTTGCCTCTTTTTCTAACTGTCCTGAAACCCTTAGTTTAGGGTTAGTGACAAAAGTGTGGCAGTGCAAATTTTACCAAATCCATTTGGTCAGAAACCACATCCTGTTTCTTCTAGTAATTTTCACCCACTAACCAATCTTTGCCTGGATAAGTAATCCCTACTTGTCCTTGTTGGACTGGTACTGGATCCACTCTGTACCCCACCAGAAGACTGGCTTGCAGTGGTTCTGAATCTATGGCCATGTGGCCTTGTGATAAACTCTATGCTTTAAAAAGATTAAGGGCCTGGGATTTAGTTCAGTGGTGTAAGTGTCTACCTGACATAAATGCGGTTGTTGATTTCAATCCCTCATACCAAAAAGAAAAAAAAAAAACAAGATTAATTAAAGTTGTGGTGGCTGCATGTTCTATTTGGGGCTGGTTTTGCTTTCCGATTTTCTGTGTGTTTGTTTTTGAATCTGTGGAGCCAGAGGCTGGGCCTGTACCAAGCCTGTGTGATTCCCATACAGGATCTGAAGGCTTTGAAAGGAGAGAAAGTATTTCTTTTTTGCCTTTTTCCTTTTTATCGGTACCAGGGATCGAACTCATGACTGCCTGCTTGCAAGGCAGGTGCTTATGCCACTGAGCTAAATCCCCAGCCCTGAGAAAGTATTTCTACTGGGTGCAAAAGGTCTCATTTTGGAAGGTGAGGGACCCTAGGAAATAGTGTTTCCAGACTCAGATCCCTGCCCTGCAAGCCCTCTGCCATCTGCACAGTAAGTCTCTGACTATACATGTTCGCCATTCCTGCACTGGGGGACTGTGGTCAGTCAGATTCACTCCTGAGCCCCAAGAAGCCGTCCTCAGACAGCTGGGCCTAGTGTGCAGCGCACAGGGCCTGTGCTTTCTAGCGCCCCCTGTACCCCAGCTCTGCTTTCCTGCTGCTCCCACCACATGGTTCTGTCTCTAAGTGAGTGAGCCATGCACTGCCACCTAGCACAGCGGTTAACATCCAGGACACCTGGGTCTGTTCTCTCTGTGTGAGTTCATGACTTAAGTGTTCCTAAGCCAGAGACTTAACTGTATTCACTGATAAAAGAGTCCTTGAGTAGCACACACAAGTCCCTGAGTTTGACCTTCAGACAGCAAAAGAAAAATATGTATTTTTAAATTTTATTTTTAATTTTTTAGAAATAAGTTCTAACTGTTGCCCGAGCTGGCCAAAACTCCTAGGCTCACTCCGTTCTCCTGCCTCAGTCTCCCAAGTGGCAGGAACTCCCAGGGTGCACCATCATGACTGGCTTTAGTGTCCCGTCTGTCACAGTGGAGAGCTGTAAGTTCACACAAGACCCAAAAAGGGGAAGTGCAAGGGTTGTGTGCACTCTTCACATCAGCCAGGCCTGCTCTCGACACAGCAGTGCATCTGCAGAGCTGTGCGCCTGCAGCAACCCCTGCTGTCTGGCAGCGGGGTGCACAGGCTCGAGGGAGTACATCCCAGTCTGGGCACCCACAGGACCACCAGCCAACACCTCTCCCAGGGCACAGCCCCAAGTCCTCTCTGGCCCAACAGCCTTGCTGTCCTTGCAGAGATGCAGCACACACTTGGGACAGTGAGACGCGGGTGTCAGGCATTCATGGCAGGGCCCACTGCCAGCACAGCTGACTATAAGCCTTTCCATGTGAAAAGTGGAGGTAACAGCAACCAAACCAAGCTCTTTAAAGGGCAGGAAGGACATGCCACACACAGCACCTAGCGTTGCAGCCCAGTCCACACAGTGGCTTGACCTTAAACAGCTTGGTGAGCGAGAATTAACTCACATTTTTTTGAGTTTCAAATGTTTTGGAGCTGGAGATACAGCTCAATAGCATAAGCCTGGCAAGCATGAGGTCGTGAGTTCGATCCCCAGTACCAAAAAAAAAAATAAAATAAAATAAAATAAATTCTAATGTTTTTGTCTAAAAAAGTGGGTGGGGTGTAGGGGGGGGTGGGAGCTGAGCGTGGTGCCACACTTGTAATCCCAACACTCAGAAGGCTGAGGCAGGAGGATCCCTATCAGTCCAACGCCTACCTGGGCTACACGATGAGTTCAAGGCCAGTCTGAACCACAGAGTAAGACCCTGTCTCAAAAAAAGGAAGAGCACATACCCTGTAAAACAGAGGGTTAAATGAGTATTTATGGTTGAGAAAGGGTCTTACTATGCAGTTTGGGTCATCTTGAGCTAACTTTGTTGCCCAGGCTGATGTTGAACTTGCAATGATCCTCCTGCCTCAGCCTCCTGTTACATGAGGATTTATATGAAAACCACAAAACCCCCTAAACACAACTACAAGAAGCCCTAATTGTGTAAGAAGCTCTAAATTGTATACCTAACAAGGCTGACATCACCCTCAGCCTATCTCATGCTTTTCCTCATAAGTGATCAGACCTGCCCTCTTATCCCAAGATAGCAGTCAGTTAAAAGTTTGGGTAAATGATGACAACATGCAGGTTTGTGAAAGAAAACAGCCAACACCACCTCGGAGAGGTTGTTTCATTCGAGCTTTATGTTCTAGCCCATGGAGCAGTGGTTACACCTGTGGAGGTTTCCCAGGCTCTGCCTCAGTCCTGCTTTATCTGGCTAAGAGACACAGGCAGGAGCTTTCTGCCTGGCAAAACCTTCATTCTGTGATGAGATGAGCCACTTTGGGTGAAGCAAGAGGACTGCTGAGAATTCAAGGCCAGCCTGGGATACTTAGTGAGTTCAAGGCCAGCTTGAACTGTATAGTAGGACCCTGCTGCAAAAATGAAATAAAACAACAAAAAAATGGAGCAATGAGACTCCTCCCACCTCTATGCTGCCAGCTAAGGCAAAGAAGAGCAGGCCTGGGGACAGTTCCTATACCCAGATATCAGTTTTTAGGACCAAGTAGAAATTCTTTGGGCACCCCTCCCCCACCACTGCTCCCTTTGTCTGCCATTGGGGAGCCAGGGTGGGGCTGCACCCCCAGAACAGAACCAGCTTCTGGATCAGTTCTGCTGCGCTTGGCCAGGTCCTCATTGTGTGCTTTGCGGATGTGGCGGTAGAGGTCCCCTGACTGGGTGTAGCTGCGCAGGCAGTAGCGACACTCATAGGGCCGCTCTCGTGTGTGGACAGTGGCGTGTCGTCTGAGTGTGTAGGAACACGAGAAAGTCTTCCCACAGGTCTTACAGGTAGGAACATCCTCGGTAAAGACACCAAAACCTCCTGGGGCCACTTCGTACTCAGATGATGGGTATAGTGGCTCCTGCAGGGTTGGGGGTGTAGGGAGGGGTGAGGCCACCAGTCCTCGAGGGTACTGCCCAGATCCTGGCAGTAGGTGGTAGGGCAAGTGAGCATCAGGAGCCAGGAAGTGGTCACTTGGCCCCACCTCCTCCAGGCCTGTGCCTCCAGGCTCTTCAAACACCTGCGGTTGGGCAGTCTGGGCAGGCTGTCCTCCAAACAGCGCTCCAATGGGTGGGAAGGGACTCTCATGACCCTGAGGCTGCTCCTCAGTCACTTCTGTCTCCTCATCAGAGATCACAATGGCTTCTACTTTCACCTGGACCAGCTCTGCTTCAACTGGAACTGGGGTTGGAGCTGCAGGGTAGAAGCTTTGCAGTGGTCCTCCAGGGTCCCGGGGCTCCACCACCCCAAGGGGAGTCAAGGGCTCCACGGTAGCTGCAGGGAGGCCAGAAGGGAAGTAATTTGCAGGAAGAGCCTCTGTGGAGCTACTAGGGCTGGCCAGAGATGCTGAGCCATCTGCTCCTGGTGGGGGCGCTGTCCGAAGGTGTGTCGAGTCTACCTCCATACCAGGCTGTGTGGTGTCCGCGCCACCAGATACAGGTGGATCCTCTGGAGGACACACAGCAGGTAAGGGAGCAGCTGGGCTCTTCCATTCCTCCTTGCCCCACTGGCCTGACGTTGTTTCAGAGGACCCCAGTGATGGCTGAGAACCATGGGAAGTGCTGGGCAGAAACTCCAAGCCAGGGGGCTGTGAACCGGCTTCCTCCTCTTTCTTCGTGCTATCAGCCTCTGCCAAGGCCCGGGCTTGCAGCCTCTGTTTACACACCTTGACTATATCATTCATGTGCAGGTAGCTGGCAGCCGCCAGCACATCCTCCAGGGGAGTGTCACCCCGTAGGGCTAGTTGGCCGGCATACATGAAGTCCAGCAGCAGACCAAAGGCTGGGGCTGTGACAATCTCGTTGTGAATACACACCAGATCTCTCTTGTCCAGTTCCCGCTCCTTGTAGAAAAGCTGGAAGAAGGGGCTACAGGAGGCCAGCACAGCCCGGTGGGCCAGGAACTGGGTGCTACCCACCATCACCGTGCAGTCACAGAGGAAGCCCTGGGACCGCTGCTCCCGAAGGCTCTGCAGCAACTGTTGGCTGTGTTCTGGAAACTCCATAGCACCCCACGAAGGGAAGGCACCCCCGAAAGGTCCCTACCAGTGGCTTCCTGGGGAAAGAGGCAGCAGGTTAAGGTAGTGACTTCCTGGGAGCCTCAATATCAGCCCCTAACTCAAGCGCGTCCCAAGACCACTGCCGGCACCCCAGCCCCAAAACGATAGCTTTAAATAGCTACCCTGCACTCCTCCGCCCCGGGTCACACCCAAGCTACTATTAGCTCCGCCCTTCACGCGAACCTTAGCAGCAGGCCCCGCCCCTCCAAGAATAGCCCTGCCCCGGAAGTCCCGCCCCCAACTAGCCTCGGCTTCCTCGATGGCTGCCCCGTAGCTTTCAGCGACTACTCTAAGTAGAAGTCTCTTTCGCGCTTACACCCTCCACGGTGATGCCTCCTCGTCTCGATTCAGACACTCCCCTGGGCCACTGCTTCCTTCGCTCCAAGGGCTCCGGGAACCTGGGGTGGGAACTAGAGCGAAAGCTGGTCCCTCACCCACCACTGAGCAGCCCTCGGACGGGCTCTGCCCCTTCCCACCTTCTCAGCCGGGATTGGCGCGAACTCGCCTTCCCCGTCACGGATTGGCCCGCTTCCGTATTGCATCTCCGAGTGGGTGCTCGTCGCTGTCGCTCAGTCAGCTCGGGGCCGGATTGGTTAGCACTCCTGTCGTGCACTTTCCTTCGGCGCCCAACGGATTGGCCGAGTTTCTCCTTCTGTCTGATGTTGCAAATCCCTGGTTACTGACCACCAGCAAGGTCACAGGAGGCCAGGGTGCTAGACCGGTCCTGCGGTGCCTCCTGCTTTCGTCGGCTGGAGGTCCGCCTCTTAAGTCCACGTGCCGCGCTGCCCACTGGAGCCGTGGTTCTGGCGCACGGTGACAACAGACACTTAGCGTGTGCGCTACCCATGCACGTGCTATGGGACAGGCACGAGGTCGGGGCTAGCAGTGCCCCGCACGGAAGAGGGAAAATCTTGGCTGCTTCTGGAGACGTGGGTGAGAGACCCTGGCCAGGCTTGGGGCAGTAGGGAGGCAGTCTGACCCGGACAGGGTAGTAGACAGCGTGTTTCGTGCTGTGTCCACGCCTCCACACTCGGATTCTTCGCGCTCCTCTGCAGCCGAACGCAACCGAGGAGCAGCGTCTGCCCAGCACCTTATGCTAGGTACCTGCAGGCCTCTGCTTGACTTGGAGCTCACACCACTGCACCTCTGCCCCACTGTACAGGATCAAAATGAAGCACGCTCAAGCTGGGCGTGGTAGTGCATGACTGTAACCCCAAGCACTCTAAGGAGGCTGAGGCAGGAGGATCACAAGTACTAGCTCAGCTGCGGAAATCTAGACCCTAGCCCTGGCTCAAAAATTTTTAAACATTAAAAGAGATGGGGGATTGTAGCTCAGTGCAGAGTCCCTGAGTTCAATTCCCACTATCACACATACACTAGATTGTAGATTATTGTAGTTATTTGAACTACAATTGCCCCAACATTTTCTTTCTTTGTGTGTGTGTGTGTGTGTGTGTGTGTGTGTGTGTGTGTGTGTGTGTCAGGGATCGAACTCTTGGCCTCAAGCTTGCCAGGCAGGTGCTTACACTGCTGAGCTAAATCTCCAGCATCATTTTCAATTTTTACAAATAATAAATAAGTATATTTGTTGAATCAAAAAGTATGTAGGCACGGTGGCACCCACATGTATTCCCATTTGTTTGGTAGACTGAGGAAGTTTGCGGCCATCCTGGGCAACTTAGACTGTGTCTCAAAAAAAAAAAAAAAAAAAAAGCCCGGGCTGGGGATTTAGCTCAGCTGCATAAGAACCTGCCTTGTGAGCAGGCAGTTGTGAGTTCGATCCCCAGTACTGGTAAAAAAAATAAATAAAAATTAAAATTTAAAAAATTTTTAAAAACCTGATGATATACAGTAGCCCAGTGGTAGAGCTCTTGGCCAGCATATTCAGGGCCCTGGCTTCAAACCCTAGTAGTGAAAAAAAGAAAGAAAAGCTGGCCTCAGGTTTGTGACTAGAAGAGGATCCCATCCCTCTAAAGTGACAACTGCTGTCATAAACTGCCTACACACTTTGAAGAAGAGATCAGACCTCCTCTGCATACTTGTATAGTCCTTTTGTCCCAGGCTGCATCTTGGCTGTAGAACATACAATGGTGAAAGATAAGTTTGGAGCAGGTCACTTTAGAGTATGGGAAAAGGCAATGACTCTACAAAAAATTACCAAGCACTGAAAAACACACCAAAAAAATAGACATCCCATATTCATGGAGGAATTAATGTAAAATGTCTGAAAGCCCAGGGATTGACCTCTCTTTGCTAGATGTTTTTTTGTTTGTTTTTTAAGACAGGGTTTCACTATGCAGTTTAGGCTGGCTTTGAACTCACTTTGTAACTCAAAGGGTGATCTTCCTGCCACGGTATCCCTCGTGCTGGGATTACAGGCATTGCCCACCATGCCTGGCTTCTTTGCTAGGTTTTAATCAGAATTCATTATCATGAGTTTTAGGCCTCGCAGCTGCAGCTATTTGAGAGGCAGCATTTTGTCCCTGGGAACCAGTCTCCCTGCAGGTGGGACAGCACTGTGCAAAGTGAGCACTCAGCTCTTGCAGGAGAGCAGGGTAGCGTTTTTTGCTTGCTGCAGAGACAAACAGTACACGGCCCAAACCTACGCAATTGCCCTCCATTCTAGAGCCAGCTGCTCTTGGGCCTTTCTCCTAAGTCTCCTCTCAGGATGCTTTGTGTCTACAGGGGCATTTTATGAGTCAAGGTTTCAGCCCTAGAAGAATTTCACACTCAGCCTGGCCAAAGGGGGTGTGTGTGTGTGATAAACAGGCTATCTGCAAAAGAATAGCAACCTATAATCCTAGCATTTAGCAAATTAATGAAACTGTTTCAGAATTAAAAAGGGCTAGGGAGCTGGGCATGGTGATGCACGCCTGTAATCCCAGCACTCAGCACTCAGCACTCTGGAGGCTTAGGTAGGAGGGTTGTTGCAAATTTGAGACCAGCCTGGGCTACAAAGTCAGCTCAAGGCCAGCCTGCACTGTCTAGTGAGACCCAATCTCAAAAAGAAAAAAAAAATTAAATAAATAATAAAAAGGGCAGGGAAAGGCCCTGAGTTCAAGGTTCAATCCCATGTAATATGTGGGTAGAGTCGCACCCAAAAAATGGCTAATGCAATGCTTATTTAGGGAAGCAGTCTGAATATTTGCTGTTTTGTCATCCATCCCTGATAATGAATTCTGCTTATGAGTAATGTACTTCCTGCGTGCTGGGTGTACTCTGGGGTCAATTGGTCCAGCCCGCACCTCCCTAGTTCCAATCCCAGCACTGCAGAAAAGGGAAACCGTAGCGCCCGGAGGGGGCGGTGGGGGGGAGGCCGCCGGGAGCATCGTGAATCCGCCCACACTCGGGGGGCCAATCAGATTGGCAAAAGGGCCGGAAACGGATGGGGGCGGGAGCAAGCACTTCCGGAAAGCGGCGCAGCCACGGCCACCGCAAGTGTGGACGCTACGGGTTGAGCTGCGCTGGAAGATGTTTTACCACGTGAGCTGGCGGAAGGTGGCCAGAGCCGGCGGGGCCGGGAGTCTCGCCCGCATCTGCTGGTTCCATGGTTTTCTCCCCGCAGATATCTTTGGAGCACGAAATCCTGCTGCATCCGCGCTACTTCGGGCCCAACCTACTTAACACGGTGAAGCAGAAGCTGTTCACCGAGGTGGAGGGGACCTGCACGGGGAAGTGAGCAGCGGCCTGGGCCCCAGCACCAATCACTTATTCACCCTGCAAACATCCCGAGCCAGGGCGAGTCAGTCTGTGGAGCTGCCGTCTCCTGTGTTCAGGGACTCAATGTTACCTAATGAAGAACTAGGAAAAGCAGTTTAGAAAAGCAAGAGGGCCAGAGTTGATGCCTCTGAGTTCGCAGGGGAGTGCAGAATTTTGTGCCTCAAGTGCTACCCTGGGATTGTTTAGTCTGGTGTGTGTGTGTGTGTGTGTGTGTGTGTTTTGAGACAGGGTCTGGTTGAGTAACAGATGCTCACTATCCTCCTGCCTCAGCCTTCCAAGTGGTGGGAATAGTCATGAGGTACATAGCAAGTTCACAGCCGGCCTGTTCTACATAGTGGGATCCTGCTTCCAAAAACCCACACGCAAACATACAGTGTCTTTTTCTTCTCTGCAGGTATGGCTTTGTCATTGCTGTCACCACCATTGACAACATTGGTGCTGGTGTGATCCAGCCTGGCCGGGGCTTTGTCCTTTACCCAGTTAAGTACAAGGCTATTGTGTTCCGACCCTTTAAAGGTGAGGTCGTGGATGCTGTGGTCACTCAAGTCAACAAGGTGAGCCACTAGATGTGTTGCTGCGGTGGGACATGGTGGTAAAGATGGAGGAGTCCCTCAGGGATCTGGGCTGACCCTCTATAGAAGAACTCTTTCATTAGCCAGATCATTTTCGATGCCTCAGTTTCCGCATCTTGCCATGGGTCACATGAGTCAGTGTTAACATGACAAGGATGGAAGCCCGAAGTAACTGAGTAATGGCTGGAAAATGGGTGTGCGTACCCCTTTTATAGAGTTAGAGAGGTGTCCACGGCCCATCAAACCCCAGGCTGTGATACTGGATTTGTTTAATTTAAAACAAAAAAGGAAAGAGGAATACAAATGCTACAGTTCAGACTTGTTACAAACAGGACTTATAGTATTGGGTGTCAAGTAATCACAGACATTTAAAAGGCTTTTGTGGACAAGAGAAAAAGCACAGTCAAGCACTTGTTTTCCTCCAGGTTGGGCTCTTCACAGAAATTGGGCCGATGTCTTGCTTCATCTCTCGACATGTAAGTGTGGCATGTGGCGGGTGAGGATACAGCCTCTTAACAGCTGCAGAAGCATCTGGGGAGCTTGCTGACCCATCTCACTTTCCTTGCAGTCCATCCCGTCTGAGATGGAGTTTGATCCCAACTCTAACCCACCCTGCTACAAGACAATGGATGAGGTGAGCAGGAAGGAGGTGTGGAGGGAGGAGCGGCTGACCTACAAAGGGGAGCAGGTTCTGGGAACCTCACGAGGCCGAGGCCACCTGCGCTCTTCCTAGGACATCGTCATTCAGCAGGATGATGAGATCCGCCTGAAGATCGTGGGGACCCGTGTGGACAAAAATGACATTGTGAGTCTTACCGTCCTCTGCACACCACCTGCTCGCAGCAATGTTGAGATTTGTGGGTTTCTTTCTTTTTATTTTTATTTTTATTTTTTTTATTGGTACTGGGGATCGAATCCACGACTGCCTGCTTGCAAGGCAGGCGCTTATGCCGCTGAGCTAAATCCCCAGCCCCCAGAATTGTTGGTTTCTTAGCAGCTGCAGCTCCCATGGCTTTGAGCTTTCCTGCCCCAAAGCCATGGCTTGGGATAGAGTAGGTGCCAAGCTTTCCTTGCCACGCCTCATGTTGGCCTTTCCTCCCACAGTTTGCGATTGGCTCCCTGATGGATGATTACCTGGGTGAGTACCCGTCTGGTTGCTGTTTCCTGGGGGAGTCAGGTGTTTGTTTGGAGGACCCAGAACCCGAGCCTTTAGTCTTTCAAAGATGTAGCCAGGGCCACCCACCCTCTGGATCTGACTGCTGCGTGTCTCCTTCATCTGTTCACAGGGCTTGTGAGCTGAGTGTGTGGTCTCCTGCATGCTGGCAATCAGGTTGGGAACTGTGTGAATCCATGTGCTGTGGTTCCTTGTGCCCAGGAGATGCCTTCCTGCTGTACTGCTGCTTGGGGGTGTCTATGTATTATAAGCATAAAAGGCTCTTGTTTTTCATGCCAAGCTGACTTCGTTTGTGGTAAGAACAGTTTCCTTTTAAAAAGGTTGCAAGGCCAGCTGCTCTGAGTCCCTTCTTCCCTTGGCCTGAGGCCTGGCCCACCCTCAGCCACTGGGGAATTTGTAGAACTTTTTGCCTAGGTTTAATGACTGCAGCAAAGACGAACTCTGAGACTGAGTCTTGGCTTCCAGTAAGTGATAGTGTCTTTAGCTGTTCGTGAGTCCTAGTCTAGTTCCGTGAGGCTTGTCCTCATTGTGCCATTAACCATTCCCAGGGTTATGAGTGACACACAGGAGGGGAGACTTCAGATAGGGAGAAACCTCACATAGGGTAACACGGGGCCTGGGCCCGGCCCACCCCTTCCTTCCAAGTGCCAGAGTCCCCTCTGCCTTGCCTTGCCTTGCCTTGAATTGAAGACGGGAAAGCCTGGAATCAGTTAGGATGCCGGTAAACACCTGAAACATCTGCAGGGCTGGGCTGCAGCTCAGTGGTAGGGCTCTTCTGGGTCTGAGCTGGAGCTGCCTATGTGTGTACAGGACAGACCTCTCACTGCTGCTCCCATATGGCTCTGATTATTCCTCCTGGGAACACTGCTCCTTGTTCTGCTTTATTGTGTCCCACTTGCCCATTTGCTACCTCTAAGTCTGGATGCAGCAGTGTCCCCAGCTTCCCTGTCTCACGAAGGCGAACCATGTGTTGTGATGTGTGGCCTTTAAGCTGGTGTCAGCCCCAGCAGAATGACTTAAAGAGTTCTGATGGCAAACCATTTTTGGAGTTGCTGTCTTTTTTTTTTTTTTTTTTTTTTTTTTTTTTTTTTTAACTTTTTATCGGTACCGGGGATCGAACTCACGACCGCCTGCTTGCAAGGCAGGTGCTTATCCCGCTGAGCTAAATCTCCAGCCCCTGGAGTTGCTGTCTTAAGACAAAACGTCCCTATGGTGAGGACAGGCCATCCCTAATACCTGAGGGAGGGAAAGGAGGGATGGCACCTGTGCCCTTGAGGTAGACAACACGGTGTTCCTGCCCTAGCACCCTGTGACACAGGGACACAGTCTTGCATGTGAGCATTGGGGCCAGGATCACTTGGAAGGCAGTGGAAACAGCTTAGTGTCTGCTGGCCCAGTGCATGGTGCCTTCTACTGGCAGCTGTCGCCTGCCCAGTCCATGCAGAGAGGGCCTGGAACCCTGATGAGATGAACTGTTTGGAACAAGACCTGGAACCTAGTAGAAGGCAGTTGATACAAGCCCATCTGGGCAATGTGGTGACTCAGTGAGACTCTGTCTCGAAACACATGAAAAGTGTGGGATGCAGACCTTAGGGTGGCCAGGGAGGAGGGTGGATATGAGTGTGGGTCTGACCACCAGCACCCACACTCAAACCAGCATACATGGCAGGCCCTGTGACTGTGTCTCCTGTCTGTCAGGGCAGCAGTTGCAGTGGAATGGAAAAAACCAGGCTCTACTTTCAGGTTTGTGTGCCAGTGTCTCTTGTTTTTGCAGCGTATGGGACAGAACCTGGAGCCCATTACAGGACAGTCATCTCCTTACTAGCTACTTCCCTAGTCCTTTGGAAAATTTGGACACAAGGTATCAGTGAATTGCTGAGGCTCTGCAGGAATTTGCAATATACCTTCCTCAACTTCCAAAGTAACTAGGATTATAGAAGTTCACCACCCTGCCAGATTTGTTACACAGAAATGTCTCACATTTCTTTAATCTGGGAAGTTGGTTGACTCCAGGAAATTTGTGGGCTGGGTTTGTAACTGTGTTGCCAGGGATAGGCTCCTACACCAAAGGCCACTCCCACAGGCAGTAGGGTGTTTCCCAGGGTGTTCCCCTGAACAGGAACTCTTGCTGAGAGAATTCTCCCCCTGCCTCCCTGGAAGCACTCACTGGTATGTTGTGTAGGACTGGACCCAAAGCAACATCATACAGGGGAAAAGGCTGATTGTAGGGAGCCATTGAAGCTGGAGATGGATTATATGTGTGGGGCTAACGCAGGGGCCAGCCTTGAAAATACAGCTCAGTCTATGGCCATAGCACCCTGAACGCCATACCACCCTGAATGCGCCCAATCCTGTCTGATCTCGAAAGCTAAGCAGGGTCGGGCCTGGTTAGTACTTGGATGGGAGCCGCGTGGGAATACCGGGTGCTGTAGGCTTTAAAAAAAAAAATAGAGCTCAAAACAAGCCATGTACACAAGCTATTCTAGCACCAAGAAGGCAAGGGACCAGGCCAACCAGGAAAACAGGTTGCTAGGCTGTGGGGTTGAAAGTGACATTCTTTTTTGGAGGGTGTAAAGCAGTTCCTTCTCTCCTCTGCCTAATGCCTTTGTCTCTTCATTTTCTCAGCCTCTCACAGTTCTTCTCCCCAGGAACATCTAGAGCTGCCACCAATCACTACAGCTGATGGGTAGGGTATCAGCTTGGGAGACAGCATGTGAGGGCTGGAATGGATGTAGGGCGTGGCACTAACACTGCTCTGTCACAGGGTGAAAGTCCAGATGACCTGCAGAAGTCCTCATAACTCTTTAGTTTTTTTTGTTTTGTTTTTATTCAAAGTACCAGGAATGAAGATGGGTGTGGTGGTGCACTCCTGTCATCCCAGCATTTGGGAGGCTGAGGCAGGAGGATCGTTGCAAATTCCAGACCAGCCTGGGCTACAAAGTGAGCTCAAGGCCAGCCTGAGCTGCATAATGAGACCTTGTCTCAAAAAAGACCAAAACAAAAAAAACCCCAAAAAGCCAAAAAACAGGAATTAAACCTAAGGCATTCACATCAAGCTACATTCCAGTGCCTTTTATTTATTTACTTATTTTTGGTACTTAGTTTGGTACCAAACTCTTAGCCTCATACCTGAAAAGCAGGGCTGTGCCACTGAGCTATATGCCCAGCCCTTGTTTTTTTATTTTGAAACAGGGTTCTTGAATTGCCAGGGCTGGGCTTGAATTTGTGACCCTTCTGCCTCAGCCTTCCAGATCCCTGGAATGACACTTGGTGTGCCTAGTTTGAAAAGCTATTAAAGAGATCATAATGTCAGCACAGTGGTATGTGCCTGTAATTCTAGCAATTTTGAGTTCCATGTGGACAATTTAAGGAGATCCTGTCTCAAAAAAGTTAAAAATTAATGAAACAACTGGAGGTACAGCTCACTCACTGCAAAGGGAGGTTCTATCCCAAGCTGTCAGTGAAATGCTGTGCACCCGAGTGCAGGTCCTGATTCCCAGGGAAGCATTGCTGGGTGCGGGGGAGAAGCTGAGCTAGGTCCCCACGGCTGCGGGCTGCATGGGGAGTGCAAAACACCTTCCCCTCCTCCTTAGCTGTTGCCGAGTCCTGGGGTCACTGTGGAGGTGCCTGTGTTCCCCACACACTGCCTCCTAAGCCTCTGCTGCTCTCTGGGGCAGTGAGGACCAGATAGGTCTTGCTGCCCATGCCCGACAGCCTGCAGTCCAGTGCATCTCAGTGTCCACTCCTGCTGCCCAAGCTGCCCTGGCTGTAGATGATGAATCTCAACATGGACAGTGGTGGCAGCTGACAGCAGATCAGTCCTGCTGCCTCCACAGCAGGCAGACACCTTTTTGTCTATGACCCAAAAGGACTACAGGGTCAGCCTTAGTCAATCTGTGCATCTGGGGGCCCACAGCAGTTACTCTGTCCTGGGCAGCAATGTGAGCCCCAGGCAGACTGTACCTCGCTCCTGCAGGGATTAAATAAAAACTAACCTACTAGGCATGGAGCTCAGTGTTAGAGCCCTTGCTTGACGTGTGCAGGGCCCTGGCTTCACTCCCCACCACTGTAAAATAAAATGAGGCCTGGTGTGGTGCTGCACATCTGTGATCCCAGCACTCTAGAAAACAGGCAGCATAACTGAACAAGTACAGCTTGGGCAATTAGCAATTCCTGTTTCGATTTAGAAAGGGCTGGAGAAATAGTTCAGTATGAAGACCCTGAGTTCAATCTCCAGCACTGCAAAATGAAATTTAAAAATAAGATTAAATCTCCAAAAGTACAAAATGTAAAAGGCAAGCGTGGCAGTGCATGCCAGCATTCCCAGCACCTGGGTGTCTGAGGCAGAATCTAGAGTTGGAGGCTGCCCTGGGCTACAGTGCATTCACTGTCAGCCTGGAGTATACAAGACGACTAGGGAGCAGTTGAAGCTGGATATTGATCACATGTGTGAGGCTAAAGTAAGGCCAGCCTTGGAAACAAAGCCCAAAAGAGCCAGGTTACAAACCCTTGCAGCTCCAAAAAGGCAAGGGGCCCAGGCCAGCCAGGCAGACAAGTTGCTAGGCAGTAGGGTTGAAACTGATTGTCTTGAGTGTGTATAAATAAACTTGCTACAGTAATTGAGCAGTTCCTTTCCCATCAGGAGAGTAGTGGCTTCACCTGACCCCAGCTTTTGTCTTTTGTTTTCTCATCCTCTTAACGCCGGTTTACCCCAAGAATCTCAAGAGCTGTATGGGTCGATGCACAAGACCTTATCAAAAACCAGCCACTAGCTGGGCTTGGTGGTGCACACCTGTACTGTGAGCACTTGGGAGGGTGACACAGGAGGATGTTGTGAGTTTGAGACATTATGGGTTACAAAGTAACCTCAAGGCCAGCCTGAATTGCATAGTGAGACCCTGTCTCAAAAGGACAAAACAAAAACCTAGCCATTAGCACCTGGCCCAGCTTGGCAGGACAGAAGGCTTCCCTGCCACTGAAAGCCAGGCAAGGCAAGTCAGTGTTAATTTCACCTGTGGCCCCTGCTGGGCACCTCAACCTCAGTCCCAAGCTAGGGACAGGATTTGAACCCCATCTGTGCCCCACCTGCAGCCCAGGTCTCCTGGCCCAGGGTCAGCCACTGCCCTGCTCTTTAACCCAGCACTGCAGTGCATGCTACGTGGAGCCTGGTGCCAGGTGTAACCTTGGGGGCCTGGCTCCTTGCACAGCAATCGGGAGGGTGCCAGACAGGTGTCAAAGGAGCTTGTACAGGGTGTTCTATTCAGTGCTGGGAAACCCCCCTCAAGCCCCAGGTGGGTGCTCCCCTGTAACCACAGCTTTTGGAAAGCTGAAGCAGAATTGTGAGACACAGGCCTGGACTGCATAGCTACACCTTATCTCAAAAACCAAAATCCTAAAAACAAAACATCCTTTCAGCCATCATAGAGTGCCTCTCCCAGGAGTTCCACCTCACCCTTCAGAAAGAGAAGCCAGGGGATCTTGGGGCTGTGGGCTGAGTGGGTTGAGCAGGAAAATAGCTACACACTAATGGTGAGACTGCAAGTGCTCAGAAAACACACGCTTGGATGTAGGCTCAGTGCAACACTCCTGCTCCAGATCAAGCTCCAAGAGCTGTTGCTTTATGTGGGCCATAAGTGATGGTGCAGGCCTGTAATCCCAGGGAAACTGAAACAGAAGGACTGCTGCAACTTCAAGGCAGCAGACAGGCTACATAACGGGGCTCTCTAAAAAAAGACCAAAATAAATGATATTTATCCACAATAAGTACTACTTGGTATAAAAAAGTATAAATGAGTCATTGGAAAAATATATCCGCCTCTAGACCATAATTTTTTTTTTTTTTTTTTTTTTTTGTCTTTTTCGTTTTTATCGGTACCAGGGATCGAACCCACGACTGCCTGCTTACAAGGCAGGCGCTTATGCCGCTGAGCTAAATCCCCAGCCCCCCATAATTTTTTTTTTTTTTAAATTGGTACCGGGGATCGAACTCTCAATTTATGCTGCTGAGCTAAATCCCCAGCCCCTCTAGACCATAATGTTAAGTGTACATGCCTGTAATCCCAGCACTTGGGAGGCAGGAGGGTCGCCGCAAGTTTGAGGCCAGGCAGGGCTACATAGGGAGTTAAGGGCCAGCCTAAATTGCATAGTGAAACATTGTCTCAAAAAAAAAAAAAAAAAAGTAATAAATCAGACACACAAGTTTAAGTATTGCAAAATTAAAAGATTATAGGAATCCAGGAGATGACTCTTTTGCAAGTGGGAAAGGGAGGTAGAGATGAGAGGGAGGGACGGAGGAGGGATGGTAAAGGGGACACGAAAAGAATTAGCCCCAAGCAGGGCAGTGGTAGCGTATGCCTGTAATCCCAGTATTCTGTCTGCTGAGGCAGGAAGATTGCCACTCAGTTCAAGGCTGGCCTGAACTACATACACCCTGTCTCAAAAAACAAAACAAAACCCCAAAGAGACAAAGGAAAAGAATTAAAATGTGTCTGACATGTTTACTCCGAACATGGACCTTGAAAAGTGTGGGGTTTTAAAAAGTATTTCCTTTTTTTTTTTTGTCTTTTTTGAGACGGGGTCTCACTATGCCGTTCAGGCTGGCCTTGAGCTCACTTTGCAGCCCAGGCTGGTCTCGAACTCGTAAGGATCCTCCCACCTCAGCCTCCAGAGTGCTGGGATTACAGGCGTGAGCCACCACGCCCGGCCTTAAAAAAAGTATTTCTTTAAGAAGCGCATACCACGTGACCAGGCGTCCTAAGCGTTACAGCATGATCACACTGGCCAGTCGCAAGGCGGGATGCCTCCGAGTGGGGCGGGAGCTCCGCGACGCGACTACCGATTGGCTGAGCGGGCCAGGGGCGACATCGGGCACCGGAGGGAACCTGGGCGCCGGGAGTAGGGAGGCCGAGGCTGGGTGGGCGCCCCGCGGTGAGGTCGGATCCGTACTCTGGTAGGTGCTGTCGCCCCAGGTGCAGGCTTCTCCGCCCACGCCCCGGGTGGGAGCCCTGGCCGGCCTTTAGAGCCTTCCTGGGCCTATCAGCCTGGCCCGTTCCGCTGCGCCTGCCCCCCCAGCTGACCACGTGCCCCAGGTCGTGACCCTGACCTCCCACCCTTGACCTTCCACCCTTGCCCTGGGTCTGCCGGGCCACTTAGGGGCGCGATGGCGAACCACTTGCCCTCTACGCGGCAGACCTTGTACCCGGCTGCGCAGAGGGGGAAACTGAGGCCCGGCAGCTGCCCTTCGGTGCGATCGGATTCCATGCACCGCGGAAGGGTCGCAAGGCGTTGCGCCGTGCGCCCTTCGGCCCCTTGGTCTCTGTGCTGGCGACGGGCGTCGCCTGGATGCGCGGACCGGGGCTGGACGCGAAGCGGGACTCGCGGGCTTGCGTGTACGCGGGCTCGCGGCCGGGTGTCCGGTGTCACAGCTCCACGGGCCTGGGGTTGCACACTGGTGCACCTGCTTGGGAGGCGACCTGGGAATGCTTCGTGGGAGAGGAGACATTTCACTTGGGATCTTAAGGTGCGAGCAGGGAGATCCTGCAGGGACGAGCCGAGGGGGTGGAGGCCAAGGAGAAAGCGCAAAGGTCCTGCAAGGCAGTTTTGGAGGACGGGGCGGCGGCCGTGGAGCCAGGAGCGCGGGGGAGGGGGGCGATGATATTGCCAGGGCCTGCGGTTTCGAGGCCCAAGCGCAGTGCGCTGAGCAGCTAGCTCAGTACCTTAGCAGACCAGAGCAGTGGTCCAGGCAGAGCGAGTGCAGGGGTGGGCGGGCCGTGCAGGCCTGGGCTGCGAAACCTGCCTTCAGTCCAGTCGTAGTTGCGAGGTTCAGAGTCAGTGCTCAGCATCTCCAGTCTCACTCTGTTGTGTTCTGTCACCAACGATCCACTTCCAGCATCCAGGCCTTGCTGCCAGATGGGAGGACCAGACCCGGCAGAAGCCCGGCAGGCAGCTGGGACAGGGCAGGCAGCTGGCACAGGGCCCGGGAGTCTGCGGGATGGGAGACACCCATCAGGTCTCTATGTGGGGATTGGGACCAAATGCGTGTGCCAAACCAGGGAGTGGACTTTTGAGGATTTCTGACCAAGTCTGTGACGAAAAAGTAGCTTTTCAGTAAGGCATGGTGGCCCATCTGTGTTACATCTGGAAGACAGGAGCATTGCCACTGTGAGACCTGGCTACTTAGGGAGAGCCTGTCTCAAGTTTAAAACAAAGAAATTGACTGAGGATTTGGCTGAGTGCCAAGCTCCTGTGTTCAGTCCCAGGTACCATAAAAAACATTCTTTTAAATCGAAATTTAGTTGATGATGGTTTTACTAAGAATCAGAAGGAAGGGGCTGGGGATTTAGCTCAATGGCTTAAGTGTCTGCCTGGCAAGCGTGAGGTCAATCCCCGGCACCAAAAAAAAAAGAATTAGAAGGAAGACAACAGGTAGTGTTTTTGTTTGTTGCTTTGTATTTTTGTGGTACTGGGAATTGAACCCAGACCTGAACACCTTCTGAGCAATTGCTGTCTCCACAGCTTTTAATTTTTTTTTTTTTTTGTCTTTTTCCTTTTTATTGGTACCAGGGACTGAACTGCCTGTTTACAAGGCAGGCGCTTATGCCGCTGAGCTAAATCCCCAGCCCCTTAATTTTTTTTTTTTTTTTTTTTTTTTTTTTTTTTTTTTGAGATAAGGTCTTGGTAATTTACTCATGCTGGTTTAGAACTTGTGATCTTTCTGCCTCAGCCTTCTGAGTACCTGGGACTGCATCATGTGACACCAGTCCTGCCTTGGTGTTTTGTTCATTGTTCCTGGTGGTGGTGATTCCTACTGTGTAGGGCTTTTCTTCCCAGTGGTTCCGTGTTGAAGCCAGCTTTGTGGGTGTTAGGGGAGTGAAGTGCCACTGGGCCCCACACAGGTTGCAGAGTCCTAGCCTCTGGCCTCTGCGGATAGTATCTGCACTCATCCCCAGGCAGCTGTGAATGAGGGCAGGTGCCAATGCTGCAGGTTCATGGCCTGCTGAGGCTGGCTACTTCCTCTGCTTTCCCATTTGCTGACGGGGAGGGGGGGCAGGGCTGATCCTTCCCTGAGCCTCAGTTTCCTTTTCTGGGAAGCCTGGGCTCCCTGTTTGGGAGCTGCAGTTAAAGAGCAGCAGGAATGGATGAGATGGTGCTGTCTCAGCCTCCTGCCTGGGTCCGCCAGCAGCTGGGCCAACCCCATCTCCTCCCAGCTCCACCAGGGCCATGTCGGAGCGTGAGGAGCGGAGATTCGTGGAGATCCCCCGGGAGTCAGTGAGGCTCATGGCGGAGAGCACGGGCTTGGAGCTGAGCGATGAGGTGGCAGCGCTGTTGGCTGAGGATGTATGCTATCGCCTTCGAGAGGCCACTCAGGTGAGTGCCTGGTCCCGCCTTGCACTCCTCTCCTTGCTGATGCCTATGTTGCCACTGGGCCTGGAAGGGAGCAAATGTCGCCTGAAACAGGTCCACAGGCATCCAGTCCTCCCTGTCTTGCACTCTGGCTTAGGAGTCCTCATCCCTGACTCTGGCTCCCATCCCCCAGAACAGCTCTCAGTTCATGAAGCATACCAAGCGGCGGAAGCTGACGGTAGAGGACTTCAACCGGGCCCTCCGTTGGAGCAGTGTGGAGGTAAGTGAGTGCAGTGCAGGGCCAGAGAGGGTAGGACAGGTGTTGACATAGCAGCAGGCCACACACTGGCCAGGAGCACAGGTACATGAGCTGTGGCTGCAGCTGTGAGAGCATTGCCAGCCTGGGGTCAAGGGAGGTGTCTCAGAGGAGGTAGACCTGACCTGGGCCTTCCAGCCTGAGCTGGGCCTCCTAAGCATCCAGGGAGCAATGTATTTCCGCACTTGGGGAGGAGGGCCAGCTCCTTGCCCAGTCATGGTCCTGGTGGAAGCTGTGATGGCCCTGCTGTGCACCTGGGTTCAGGCTGCTCCGTTGCTTTCCTTAGGCTGTGTGTGGGTATGGGTCCCAGGAGGCCCTGCCCCTGCGCCCCACCAGGGAGGGTGAGCTCTACTTCCCCGAGGACCGAGAGGTGAACCTGGTGGAGCTGGCTCTAGCCACCAACATCCCCAAGGGCTGCGCTGAGACGGCTGTCAGAGGTGGATCCTGGGTCCTGCCGGTGGTGGTGCTAAGATGGCTTGGGGGCTGGGCACCATCTGGAGGAGCACAGCCCAGGCTGACATCCCTCTCTGCCTGCTTGTAGTTCATGTCTCCTATCTGGATGGCAAAGGGAATCTGGCACCCCAAGGCTCAGGTGAGGGGCAGGATGGGGAACGTTCAGTCAACTGTCATCATGCATATGCTAGAGCCAGGACCTGGGTCCTTTCGGGTGGTGCCTGGGTCCTGGGTGTCTTGCTGGCTTTTGAACAGCAGTGGGTACATGGCCATGGCTCTGCTCTCCTGCCCTGAGTGGCTCTCCTATGTCCCATTAGGTGTGAGCTTGGGGGGCCATGTTGGGGGAGGGGAGAGGCCCCCACTTCTCGCCCCTCTTGCCACAGTTCCCAGTGCAGTGTCTTCACTGACTGATGACCTGCTCAAGTACTATCAGCAAGTGACACGGGCTGTGCTTGGGGATGACCCTCAGCTAATGAAGGTGAGTGAGGGCTCTTTTTCATTTGTTCATTCATCTGTTTATTTGAGACAGGGTCTCATCTTGCTGTGTGATTTAGGCTGACCTTGAACTATGTAGTTCAGGCTGGCCTTGAACTTGTCACTTGAGGATCACTTGCGGCAGATGACTCCTGCCTCAGCCTTCCTAGTGCTGGGATTACAGGCATGCACCACCACACCTGGCTTTTATTATGATTTTTCAATACGAAGTCTTGCTGTGTGGTTCAGGTAGGCCTGCAATTTCCTGTCCCCCTGCCTCAGCCTCCAAGTGTTGCAGTTATAGGTGTGCACTGCCATGCCCATCCTCACACCTTCAGCGAGAGTCCTTTTAGTAACCATGTTCTGGTCCTCTTCAGAGTGGCTGCTGAGCGGAGAAACTGTTCTCAATGCAGCTTGTTGTTCCAAGCCAGCCAGGCAGAATCAGGGCTAAAGTGTCACCCTCTACAGCCTCCTTCCAGATCCCGATCCAAGGTGTCTGTCAAACTGGGCCCAGGGGGCATCCACCCTGCAACCTTTTTTTCCTAGGCTTGGGCAGGAAAGGACCAGAGAAAATGGGGCCAGGTGAGGTCTGTTGCCTCTTCTCCTGCTGGCCTCTCTCACCCTTTGTAGTGGTGGTGGTTTGTCCTAGAGGGCTGAGTCCAAGCCAGAGCCCTCCACCTGCTAGACAGGTGGCCTTCTGAACAACAGCTCCATTTCTGGTGGCTTCCTGTGTTTACCTGTTGCTGTTTTCACCTTGCAGAATCAGGAATGCTACAGCCATCTTTTCCTGCCCACAGAACATGTGCCTGGTGGGCTTGTGGCTTGTTGGTGGCACTGGCCCCACAGTGCTGGGTTTGAGCCCCAGTTTTGTAGGAAAAACACAACAGTGTGGCTCCTGCCCTGGAGACACAGTGCTGGTAGCTGGTTGTGGGTATAGGGCCCAGGCCTCTTGGGTTCTGCCTTCATAGCTATGCCCTTTGCCCAGAGGCACTGGTAGAGAGTCAGCTGAGGTGCTTGTACTTCAATGCATTTTGTTTGCTTTGGAAAGTAATGCCAGTGTATGCCTACTGGAGGACATAGGATATAAAAATATGTAGAGCAGAAGACCTGTTATTTCACTTGCCTATTTTTCTTTGCATATTATCTCTTAAGTCTACCTGTGTAAACTTGTATGTAAACATCTGGTTTTCAGGACTTGCTTTTATGGCAGGATGGTATTTTGGATTGACCTTGGGATCTGCATTCTTCTAGACTCCCCAGCCCTTTCTTATTTTGCGACCAGGGTAATCACTAGGTCCTTCAGTTGCTCAAGCTAGGGTTCAACTTGCCACTTTTCTGCCTTAGTCTCCCGAAGTGCTAGGATTATACCCAACACTGTGCCTGGCTTACCACTTACTTTCCTTTTTAAAAATACGTTAGACAGTCAGGTTACACTCTATCATTACAGAACGTGCCATGTGTGGTTGTGAGTGGGTTTCTGTAGATTACATGGCTGGCACCAGGACTGGTGGGGGTCAGTATTTCCTTGGCAGCACAGGGATGTGATGCTGACCCGAGTTTCAGAACAGTGGGAGTTGATCCTTGGGGCCATGATTCCAGTATATTCTGGGTCCTTCCTTGCAGGTTGCTCTCCAGGATCTGCAGACAAACTCCAAGATTGCAGCTCTGCTGCCTTACTTTGTTTATGTGGTCAGTGGGGTAAGTGAGTACCTTTGGGAACAACAGCCCAGTAGCCTTCAGGGCTCGAGAACTCGGGGAGTACCAGGCCTTCGCCCCTTCACCTGCCTTTTGCCCACAGGTGAAATCTGTGAGCCACGACCTTGAGCAGCTGCACCGACTGCTGCAGGTGGCCCGTAGCCTGATTCGGAACCCACACCTCTGCTTGGGGCCCTACGTCCGATCCTTGGTGGGCAGCGTCCTCTACTGTGTCCTGGAACCCCTGGCTGCCTCCATCAACCCCCTCAATGACCACTGGACCCTGCGGGATGGGGCTGCTCTCCTTCTCAGCCACATCTTCTGGTAGTGCTGGGCTCGGGCTGTTGTGGCCAGGGTAGTGGGGTGGGGAGGTGGGGCGTAGTTGCACCAAGAGGATGGGGCACCTGCTAGGTAAGAGCCACCACAGCTGGGACATGGTGTGGTAAAGCATTGTCCCTAGGACATGAGGTCCCAGCAGCCTTGTAACTCACTCTGTGTGTCATGCCATGTGTCCCGAGTTGGAGTGGCAGCGTCACCTCCTTCCCTGCCCTGATTTCATGTGGCTCCCACAGGACTCATGGGGACCTCGTCAGTGGCCTCTACCAGCAGATCCTACTATCCCTGCAGAAGGTGCTGGCAGACCCCGTGCGGCCTCTTTGCTCTCACTATGGCGCTGTGGTGGGTCTGCATGCTCTTGGCTGGAAGGTGAGGAACCTGGCCTTTCCTGAACAATGCTAAGGGAAGCTAGGTGTGGTAGTGCACACCTGTAATCACAACTCTCAGCAGGCTGAGACAGAGGATTGCTGTAAGTTTGAGGCCATCCCCAAGTGGTAACATACCAATATCCTGTTAAAAAAACAAACGAAAACACTTAGTAGTACATTTTACCATTAATGCAACATAATATTGCTTCTCCCCAAAATGGAGTTCTTGCTGTGAGCCAGGCTTTGTAGTGATACTTTGTGCCTCTGGGAAGTCACAGTTTAGTTTGTGGTCCCAGTCATTGTTGAATTTTTCCATAGAACCTAAGTAATAATTATTTGTGGAACCCCCTGACGTTTGTTTTTTTTTTGGTGGGAGGTTTGCAAGTAGTCAATCTAAGAGCTTTACTCAGTTTTTGCTGCTCTTTGGCCACTGCCCATAACCTGTCTCTGGCAGATGTACCAGCATTCCCGTAGCATTAATAGGTTGCTGTACATCCTGTAGTGTTCTCTGATCTGTTTTTCTTTTTTGTGTTGGTACTGGGGATCGAACTCACAACAGCACCCCTTGCAAGGCAGGTGCTTATGCCATTGAGCTAAAATCCCTAGCCCTCCAATTTGTTCTTACAGCCCTAACATCTACCAGAATGCACTATACCTTTTAAGGCTTTATTAACACAATGTTTAAGTTACATAGCTGTAGGAGTCGTAGCACATTCAGGGTTAAAAGCAACCAACTACATAGGCATTTTTCTTTTTTTGGTACTGGGAATCGAAATCATGACTGCATGCTTACAAGGCAAGTGCTTATGCTGCTGAGTTAAATCTAGCTCCCATGGGCATTCTTCTGGCCATATCTGCAATCTGCAGTTTTCCGTGACTTGAGGGTGCAGTAGGAATGGAACCTCTGTGAATTTTGGGATCCACTGTGCCTTGACTTTCTGTGTATGTTTTATCCCTTCACAAGTCCTATGTGATAGACACAGTGCTCCCCCCCCTTCATAAACTCTTGGGCAGTCCATGTTCTCACACCAGGAGACACTGTCAGGTCCTATGGCATTTAGCCATTAGATTTTTTTTGTCTTTTTCGTTTTTATCGGTACCAAGGATCGAACTCACGACTGCCTGCTTGCAAGGCAGGCGCTTATGCCGCTGAGCTAAATCCCCAGCCCAAGCCATTAGATTTTTGTCAAATAGCTTTTTCATATCAGTACTGTCAATGACATATGTGCCTTACTTGTATTAACGAGACAGGTGTGTGGATAAGGTTTTCTGCTGAACCAACCACTTGCATAACTACTATAGTTCTGTTTGTTGCTGCTGAGATTTCTTATTGCAATTATTATTATTATTTTTTGTCTTTTTCCTTTTTATCGGTACCGGGAATCGAATCCACGACTGCTTGCTTGCAAGGCAAGCACTTATGCCGCTGAGCTAAATCCCCAGCCCCTGGAATTATTTTGGACTCTAAGTTTTAGGAAAAAGTGATCATGAAGTCTTTTTGAGCATAAACACTTCATATATGTTTTATTTTTTAAGGGGTTCAGTCTTCATAGTTTAGGTTTTTTGTGTGTGTGGTATTTACTGTTGATAAAGAAAATCAAGGCTGGGGATACAAGTCAGCGGCATAAGCGCCTGCTTGGCAAGGTTAAGGTCCTGAGTTCAACTCCCAGTACCAAAAAATAAAGAACATAATCATATCACATGCAAGATGACTATAACATTTAATTAACTGTAATGCTGTTATTTTACTGCTAGGATCAGAAACATAATTTTATATGATATTAGACATCTACTTTTCCAGTTTTTTCCTCTTAAGTGTGTCACCATGTATTCAAGCTGGTCTGAAACTCACAGCCATCCTCCTGTCTCAGTCTCCTTAGTGCTGTATTATAGGTATGCATCACCACACCTGTCCATCTTCCAGGTTTATTTTTTTATTGCTTGTTTTTTCATCTTCCAGTTTTAAAGGTGCTAGGATTAGGGGTGTAGCTCAGCAGTAGGCACATGCCTAGCATTTGTGAATGATCCCCAGCACTACTTTTAAAAAAAGACCAGATATGGTGGTGCACATTAATAATCTCAGCTGCTTAACAGGCTAGACAGAGCTGGGCAAGGTAGTGCACATCTGTGACATCAGCACTTGGAGGCTGAGGCAGGAGGACTGCTGTGAGTTTGAGGCAGCCTGGGCTACAAAGTGAGCACAAGGCCAGCCTGAACTGTATAGCAAGATCCTGTCTCATAACAAAAACAAAACAAAACAAAACAAAAAAGGCCAAGGCAGGAGAATCACAAGTTTGAGCCAGCCTGGAGTATTTAGTGACGGGAGACCCAATCAAAATAAGGGACCTGAGGACATAGATCAATTAAAAAAAAAAAAAAAAAAGTGGGTTTTTCCTAGAGAGAGTAGCAAGCAGTATACCAGGCTCACTGCTCCCTCCCATGCAGGCCGTGGAGCGTGTGCTGTACCCGCACCTGTCCACCTACTGGACCAACCTGCAGGCTGTGCTAGACGACTACTCGGTGTCAAATGCACAGGTCAAGGCCGATGGGCACAAGGTGTACGGAGCCATCCTGGTGAGTGGTCCCACCATCGCCTCGGCCAGCCCTGTATGTCCTCCTCATGCACACAGACGCTTTGCACTCTCCCACAGGTGGCCGTGGAACGCCTACTTAAGATGAAAGCGCGGGGTGGCAGCCTTCGCCCTGAGGACCCGCCTTGGGGCGGCCTCCTGCTGCCTGAGCCGCCAGCTGAGCCCGGCTTCGCGCCTGCGCCCCCGCCGCAACCTGCCGAGCCCACGCCGCCCACCACGCTGGCCGGCATCTACCGGGAGCTCTACGCCTTTTTCGGGGACAGCCTGGCCACGCGTTTTGGTACCGGTCAGCCTGCACCCGGCGCGCCGCGCCCACCCGGTGACAAGAAGGAGCCGGCGGCCGCCGCGGACGCCGTGCGTAAGATGCCCCAGCTCACGGCCAGCGCCATGCTGAGCCCGCCCGGCGACGAGAGCCCACGTGGTGGTCCCCCGGCAGCTCCGGCGCCCGCCACAGCCGAAAGCCGCTCATTGCCACGCGTGCACCGGGCCCGAGGAGCACCCCGGGCTCAGGGCGCCGGCGCTGGCACCCGCGAGGTATTTCAGAAGAGCCGCTTCGCGCCCCGCGGCACCCCGCACTTCCGGTTTATTATCGCCGGGCGGCAGGCAGGGCGGCGCTGCCGTGGGCGCCTCTTCCAGACCGCCTTCCCGGCGCCGCATGGTCCCAGCCCTGCCTCGCGTTACGTGCACAAGCTGCCCATGATCGGCCGCACCAGTCGCTCAGCGCGCCGTTGGGCCCTCTCGGACTACTCGCTGTACCTGCCACTCTAAGGCTGACATACCTGCGGTTGCAGGGGACGCACTGTAGGCGGGGCTTCCCGGAAGTGACGCAGGCAGGCCGCGCCGGAAGTGTACTGGGCGGGCCATCCACCCTGCGCTGGTTTCTGGTTTTTTGGGCGCCATGGCGCTACCTTGTTTGCAACGTGTAGAGCTTGTGCTACTAGCTGCCGCCTTCCTGTGCGGGGCCGTGGTGGCTGCGGCGCTAACCTGGACCCAGGTGTGGCTATGGGGAGAGGGACACCATGAGGGTGGTGGTGGCGGGTAGGCTCTTTCCGGCAGTGTAAAAGACGGGGACAGGTGGGAGCACCCTGTGCGGAGTCAGTCAATTGAAACCTCCTTGGGCTTTGCCAAGAAATAAATCGCAGCGCAGTGGAGATAGGCGTCACCACTTAACGGGAGTGTTTAATGACAACACTGATGCAGAAAAGAAGGACGAGCAAACAGTGCTTCCTCCTGCCAATTTCATCAATAAAGATGGGTAGCGCGAGACTCGAAAAGGAAACAAATAAAGATGGGTGTATTACCAGATCTGAAAACATTGGAGATATTTAAGATTACACGACGTCTGGGTGTGACCCGGATTTCTGAACTGAAATGATAACTTGTCAGGTTTCCCTGCAGGGCCTTGTATTCTATAGCCAACCACCGCCTAATTCTTGCTCTGTTCACTCAGGTTTGACTTCCGCAGAATATCCCTCCCTCAGAACCAGGAACTGAAAATACACTCCCTTAGTTTGGGAGTATGACTCTAGATAATCCCCTAACACTTGCCTGGAACCTGCATCCCAAGATAGTAACCTGAAACCGAGACTCAGCACTCTCTCCGCAGGGCGCCTTCAGGGGCAGCTGTCCTTTGTATGGTGTGGCCACCCTGAATGGCTCGTCCCTGGCCTTATCCCGACCTTCGGCCCCATCACTATGCTACTTTGTGACTGGGGTGTCAGGCTTTCTAGCCCTCTACTGCCTCCTGCTTCTGCTCTTCTGGGTCTACAGCAGCTGCATTGAGGATTCCCACAGGTGACTGCTCTACCCTCAGGACCAGGGGTTGTCAAAATGAGGCCCATGTCAACTCCAAGTTTGTTTTTCCTCTCCCAGAGGTCCCATAGGACTTCGGATTGCACTGGCTATCTCAGCTATAGCCATATTCTTGGTCTTACTGTCTGCCTGTATCCTTCGATTTGGCACCAGTTCTCTCTGCAATTCCATCATCTCCTTGGACAGAAACATTAGGTAATGCCAGAGGGAGGGACACCCACTGGTGTTACCCTCCCCTTGCAAAGCAGGTCCTAGAACAACGCATTGTATCCTCCCACCGATGTCTCAAAAGGCTCCTGGACATAGATGTGGTTAGGGTGTATTTGTGCCACTCCTTTCTCACAACTGTTTGTTTGACCTCACAGCTGCCCTGAAGCCCAGAAAATTTCATGGACACCCCCTGGAACCTCTCTGCAGTTTTATTCCAGCCTACACAATGCTGAAGTGAGACCTAGGGATAAAGACCCAGTCAATGTGTAGCTATAAGGGCACTCAGGGTACTAGTGGCTTGTCCCACTAGGGACAGGCCAAGGAATGGAAGGGATTCTTGCATGGGTGGGAGGACTGAATCTGAGATGACCACATTCCTCACATTCCTGTTGTCTCCCACAGAACTCTTCCTGGGTGAATCTGGTATTATGGTGTGTGGTTTTGGTGCTCCAGGTTGTGCAGTGGAAGTCTGAAGCTAACCCGCAGCAGTTTCTGGAGAGGGGCACCTGTGAGACTGATGCTCTTGTTGGACCACGCCTGTCCCATTTCTGAAGAGCATCCGCAGTGCCTTCTGCAGTCAATAACTCCTTGCCCAAGTGTTTGTAATCCTTTAACCTCATACAGCTGTTTATGCTCAGTCTCATTTTTCCCTCCAAGAGGGGAACACGATGTTAGCTACCCCATCCAGCTTTATTGTTGCTGTTTTTGTACCAAATATATTACTTTCATCTTGGCATTGAGTTTTTGATATTAAAGTAAACAGAAAAAACTACTGAGGGCTAAATAGGCATGGAGCAGGCAGCTGCCTTTTAACTCCTTTTATTTGCTGTTACACTTTCCATCTGCCTCTGGGAGATGTGAATGATCTCGTTTTTTCACAAGCTCCGGTAGGTACCCACAGTGGTGTCAAAGAGCTGAGCATTAGGGAAATGTCCAGCTTTATCCAAGAGGAAGTAGAAACGCCGACCTTTGACCTTCAGAGGCAGCATGGCAGGGACTTCCCCACGGTGGGCCATGCAAGACACCTGGTTCAAGGGAACGGTAAAGCTAGCCCCCAAGCCAAAGGGGGCATGAGTGGTGAGGGTCACCTGCTGCCCTCCAGCTCGAAGCATCACTGACCGCACAGATCGGAGAGAGAAGACCAGACCGGCACCAAGTACCAGGGTTCCTACAGGACAAGCAAAGAGTAAGGTACTGGAGAGCTAAGCATCAGCCTTTCCAGTGCCCTCTACTAAAAAAGTACCACTACAATAATTTTTGAGTTCCTTTTAAAATACAATCTTGTGTTGATTCATCCACTTATGTTTTTCATCCGTTGAACTATACCCCAAATATTAAACCTGTCTGAGACGGTCTCTCTCGGTTGCCCAAGTGGAAATCGAATGTGAAATCCACCTGCCCCAGCCTGAGTGCTCACACTGTCGGCACGTGTCCCAGAGCCCGGCTCCCCACCTTTCCCCTGACATCGATCACTCAGCAAAGGGGAGAAAGAATCTGAGGAACCTGCTCGAGGCCTCAGGGGCCCGTCTTACCCATGGCGCCGCAGCATGCGGCCAGCCCATAGCGCCACAGCGCCGAGCGCAGGTCTCCCCAGCCGCGGTCGGAGGCCTCAGGGTCCCGCGCCCGCGATGGGCCCGGGGGTGAGGACAGAGCCCCTAAGGCCAGCGAGGCCCAGAAGACACCCTGGCCGGCACAGAACCACCCGAGGATGGCGAAGAAGCGGCCTCGTTCATGCTCGAAGAGCAACACATCCCGCTGCGGCGACCCGGCGTGCAAGGGCCGTAACGAGAGCAGCAGGCTCCAGGACCAGCGCCGCCAGGGCGCCGCCATGACAGCGACGGGCTACTTCCGCTTCCGGGGCTCCCAGCCGCTGAGCTCCTTCACTTCCGGGGCGGGCTTCCTGCTGCTAGAGGAAGCCCGCCCCTCGGCGCGCTTTCCTCGCGCCACAGGAAACCAGGCGACTTAAACGCAGTATTACGCTTTATCTTAAAAAGTACGGGGATCCCGGGGTTAAGTACACCAAGCACCTAGTCCTTCGGGTAGTTTAGTGTCAGTCTGTGGAATAGCCATGGCCTTCGGCCCCGCGGCTCGGCCTCCTCGAGTCCAGGCAGCGGGAAGTGTCCAGGAGGCAGGGAGTGGCACCGGCCACTGCATCACAGCTGCAGGGCCGCGAGGGCGACGGCGAGGGGTGACAGCCAGACAGTATCCAAGGGCTATTTACAAAGGCCACATCGCAGTCACTTCATGAATGCCACTTCCGGGATCTCGCCCTTGGCCTGGAGAAGAAGCGGTGGTCAGCCTGCCTCCAGCGCCCCCGTCTGGAGAGCTCAGCCCATCTCAGGGCATGTGTCCAGGGCTGGCCTCCACCTGGGACCCTGCTGTCTCTGCTTCCTGAATGCTGGGGTCAAACCTTACCTTGAGATGAGTGAAGGCCTGGGCAGACCTGGTATAGTCCCAGTTGTTATCCTGGAGGCATCTGGGATGTTGGAAGAAGAGACAGCTCTTTGCAACTAAACATAGCCAGCTAGCCTGACCACTACAAGGCGACTCCCAGGTTTCCCAACCGCTGTGCACTGCTACACTCACTGTCCCCAGAAATGAAACTAGTTTTAACAGTTAAGGTTAACAAGCCAAGAAGGCCAAGGCAGTTTTTACATTGGTAGGCAAGTACTTAGGGCAGTGGGAAGGGAAGCTGAGGGGCAGCAGAGACTGCAGAGGGGAGCACAGTAGTGCAGCCTGTGGTCTAAACACTCGGGAGGACCAGTCAGACAAGCCAGGGTCACTGCAAGATCAGCTTCAATTTGAGAAATAGCCTTTATCAAAACACAATATTAAGTTTGGTAAATAAAGCCTTGGAAATTTTTCAGTTATTACAGATTAGAGAAATTTTTCAGTTATTACAGATTAGAGAAAAATTGTAAAGTTCATGTTTACAATGATCGTGCCAGATTAAAATTAAGGAGTCCAGTAACAAAATGTATTTCAATTTTTACTTAGAGGTTTAACAGCCTTTTTTTTTTGGTGTTTTGACAAGATCATACTATGTAGCTAACTCAGGCCAACCTCAAAACTCCCAATAATCCTCTTATCCTCTTGCTTCAACTGCCCAAATGCTGGAATTACTGATGTGCAACACCATGCCCAACAAATAACCATTTCTTGAAAATAATTTTTCAGTACCTGTGTAAGTACCCTGTGCCTTAGCACTCAGAACCTCTCTCCTGTACCCTTAAAAAACACCTATCATGGGAACAAGAACCTTTTTTTTTTTAACTCGTAAGAATGTTCTGTCTTTAAAAACCAGCATTCCTCACTGCTGGCCCTTGCTCAGTTTGCCTGTGATCCTACAAATGCCCCACACTCACTTCTGGGACCACTCGAGGTTCATGCCAGACTGCGTAGAGAATGTCTGCAGCATCTCCTGCTGCTCAGGGGAGAGCGTAGGTACTGGGCTGGAGGAAGGTGTGGGTGCAGGCATGGCAAAGGCTCTCTGGATTTCTTCAGGGCTTGCATTCCGCACAAATAGCTCATCATTTACAATACACAGCCTTGGAGAAAAAAATTAAAAAGAGCAAAGTCTTAAACAAGTAAGTTCATTCCCAAAATTATTTCTTCTACCTCGGTGTCTCCTCCCACTCTTAGCTGTGACCTTTTGGAGGGGTCCTCTTCCCCACGTTGAATTAGACATCGCCTTATCCCATGGGCAGCTGCCACACATTTGTTTTTTATTATCTTCCTAACAGAGTTAGGAAGTGAATACTGTAGTACAAATTTTCTCGCCTATAGCTGGAAGTAATGGAGTCAGGATGAAAACACACAGTCCAGTAGGGCCAAGCTCTTCAGCGAGCCTCTGATCTCCTGCTGCATTTGTGAACACACAGGGACTGACTCTCCCTTCCAGTTATCACACTGTTGGCCACGGGCTAGACTGGAACCCAGCGTGCTATAAGACTCACCCTGAATTGCTGGCAGGAACAGCGATAAATGTCCGAGTAAAGGCTCGCAAAGAATCACGAGACTTTCCATCCACTACAATGAGAAGAGCAGTGAAGATCTTAGACTTGGTCATGCTCTGGGTACGTACAGGTTCTCAATCCATGGCCACTGATACAAAGAACCCTAATGTGGGCCAGATGGGAATAATTCTATCTTTAAATGGGAATAGAGCATGCTGAAGGGTTAGAAGATAGGGAGAATGGCAACATAACAACCACTAAGGCTAGAGCACCTGTGTGCAGGCCCCAGGTCAAGCTCTCAGCCACTTTCCAGTGTACCACCTTCCCCAAGAGGGCATTAGGAACCCCATCCTGTAACCAAGGACTCTAAGGCTCAGGGGTATTGAAACTTACCCAAAGCCACACAGAACTAAGATGAGGGTGAGAAGAGGTTGGGGAGAAAAGGATCAGAATGCAGCTGGGGGGGGGGGAGCTACAGTGCCAAGAAAGATCTCACTAGGGGAAGGATCATGCCAAGTCAGGACTCAAAGATTCTTACCTTCTTTGAAAACCCCATTGACAGAAAAACACAGTAGTGTGCTCTGAAAGAGACAAAAGCAGTATCAGATATAATGTAAGCTGTCTCACCAATGCATGTGCCATCCACCTCCCAATGCCAGGCTTCTGCCAGGACAAACACAGCGCTTACTGTCTGGGCACTGATGTCTACTACGAAGGAATTGACGTCATGCTGCGTTTTGGGCAACTCGTTGAGGAAGGCAACAACATTGAGACGTGTGTGCTTCAGTAGCCTGAACCGCAAGGCTGGGGATGATGGAGAAGGCAGGGTTGGGATGGCCATCCACTCCCAAACTCTGCAATTTTGCCCCCCCCATTCTCTTCAGCCACTCTGTTTTGCTCCTATCACACACTTACTAGGGTCTTTAAGCTTCTTCACATTTCTGCTGTCCTTGAAGTACTCGGCCAAGTTGCTCCTGGGGAGGAGGAGAGAGAGAAGGGATGGTCAGAGCAAGGCAAGGGATGGGTATCAGTACGCCCTGCCTCTGTAGGGCACAGCCCTGTGAACACACCGTGCAGGATTCTGGGGGATGAAAGGGATGCTCAGCGAGCAGCAGGCCCCATCGTGGTAGGCATCCAGGAGCCCCTGCCGGTCCCCAGAGTCATAAATTGCATAGTACCTGTGAGAACACAAAAGGAAAATCTTTTTGTGCTGCAGTGAGTGCTCACAGACAGATCTGGTGGCCACCCTGCCTCAGAACTCTGGGGTACTCACTGCTGCAGGAAGTGTAAGACCAGACTCTTCAGATTCTCTGTCCCAAAGTAGCTTCCCTAAAATCAAGATGTTAGGTTGAGTGCACAGCAGCAGCCACCCACCCATGACAACATTCCCACTGTCCTCTTCACCTTGCATGGTGGTAACACTGTGGGGGCTTCCACATCAAAGGCAATTGGTGGGGGTAACTCATGGCCATCCTGTGGAAAAAAAGACAGCTAAGTATAAATCAGAGAAAAAAAGTAGGTAGGTTGGATGTGCAAGCAGATGGCAGACCTAATCATGAAGAGTTAAAGTCAAGTGTAAGGGGCAAGTGTAAGGAATAAAGACAGGTTTGGTAGCCCATGCCTATAATCCCAGGATTTGAGAGTCTGAGGCAAGAAACTGACAAGACCAGACCAAGGCCATCCCTGGCTACATAGTGAGTTCAATGCCACCCACTATGTTGTGGAACTCTACTAAAAAACATGCGGTGTAGGGGCTGGGGATTTAGCTCAGCAGCATAAGTGCTTGCCTTGCAAGCAGGCAGTCCTGAGTTTGATCCCTGGTACCGATAAAAATGAAAAAGAAAAAAAAAAAAATGCAGTGTTCAAGAACACTGTTATATGCAACTCTTTTTTTTGTTTGTTTGTTTTTCGTTTTTATCAGTACCAGGGATCGAACTCACGACTGCCTGCTTGCAAGGCAGGCGCTTATGCCACTGAGCTAAATCCCCAGCCCCCGATATATGCAACTCTTGTCTAAGTATTTTTTTCTGGAAAGAATTATCACTTTTATCAGCTTCTCAAAGGGATCCAGGTCTTTAATGGCCACATAAAACAGGTTTAGCAAGACCTTTGGAGTAAGAACAAGAAATATCTTGTACACTTACCAGGCGTAGTAACTTGGGAAATCGTTCACGAATGGCACTGTCAGGAACAGAACAGAAGTGAGTGACACCTCGAGCCACCATGCTGGCGGGGCTGCTCTAGGAGCAAACATATCCATACCTAGGGACAGCCCCTCCCATCCTGCTCATCACTGGGCCCGGCCTGCACACAGGGAAGGGTGACCCCCACTTGCTCAGGCACCCAGACCACCAGGTGGCCCTGAGGACCAGCTCTTATTGTGCCCACCTGAGAGTAACAGGCAGCAGCATATGGCCTGGGCCTTAAGCCCAGGCCCTTCTTTCCCACCTGGCCCCCCTTACCTTCTACCTACTCACCTGTGCAGCCCCAGGGGGAGGGAGTGGGGTGGGAGCCCAGGGGCTCCGCTGCCTCACCAGGTGTCCATCCGTCCTGCCAGGTCTGGCCTTGGCCAAGACCAGAACACACCACAGGGATGGCACAGTATGTGGGGGCAGGGGATGGGCAAGGCAGTCTTAGGAAAGGTGGCAACAGAGAAAGAAAGGAAGGAAAAAGAGAAGAGTAGATAAAAGCAGGCCGGGGCAGGGGAAACAGAGATGAGGGAAACAGGAGAAGAAAAAGAACTAGAGGCCAAGAAACACTTAGAAAAGAGGAACAGAAAGCGACACTCTGACGCAGCCCTTTCCTTCAGCTTTCCCTACCCCATGGTCCAAGGGAAAAACACAAATTGTGCTGCAGGGTGGTGGGCAGGTGGGTGGGCAGTGGTCACTGACCAGGTCTGTCTGCTACCTGGGTCCTGAGCTGAGCCAGGCGTGGGAAGCCAAACAGCCATGGGGGTGGAGATCTCCCTCTGAGGGTGAGGGTTCAGGCCCCTCCAAAGTTGGGGGGGTGAGGGTCTGTGCCCCACCTCTGTTGGCCCCCAAGTTTTCTCCTGATGGCCCCTCTGCGACTGTGCCTGTCTTAGGTTGTTCCTTCCCCGAGGAATCTTACCCGTCTCTGGCTAACCAGCCATCCTCCGGGGCCAAGCAGGGTGACATGCAGTGTGAGTGTGGGGCAACGCCCCGTAAAGTCGTTCCGGCTCCTTGGCAGCCTGTGCCCCCATGGCCTCCACGCCCAGCACATGCCTGGGGACGCCCATGCCTGCTGGCAGGGCTCTGGCTCTTGTCACATATCTTGGAAACCCAGGTTTCTTTCCCAGGGAAGATCCAGCTCACAGTACTGGACAAGCAAGCAAGACAGACGGTGCAGTTCCAGCCTCCAGAGGCCTCAGAGTGGGCTACCAAGTCTAGGCCACAGCTTTCAGCAAGTGAATCACAAAGAGGTCTCTCTTGGCACAAAGGCAAGAGGGGCCATTCACAAAGCATAGACAGACTACTTGGCTTGAGTCCCAGTGAGGACACCACGATTTTGGCCCATTTTGGCCCCGGTAACCCAACAAGTGGGGCAAATATCAGATACCTCCAATCAGAGCAGAAAAGGGAAGTATCCTTCCCAGAACAGGGTAGGGAGATTCTGGAAAAGGCTGCATTCAGGAGAGAGAAGAAAGACCATAGAATCAGCATATAGTGGTCAGTTAAGCAAGCACAGACCTCAGGACAGAGCTGGGAGACAAAAACAGACAAAAGGGAGAAGCACACATCCTCTCAGCGGATAGGTGGTTCCATGTCAGGGCTGCACGTCTCCTGCAGACGGCACTGGTCAGGATGTGTTACCTCAGCCTCCCAGAGGGTGAAGGTCCCCAGGAGGGGGGACAGAGGCCACCACTGACCTGATATATGTGGACTGGTCCCGGAAGGTGTCACACAAGGTATTCCCATCAAGCCACAACTCTTCCAGTTTCAGCCCTTTGATCTTGTCCAACTCTCGCTCAGATTTCAACTGCAAAGAAACGGAAGGAATGGGAAAGGGGCTTGTAAGGGGAGCAATGGACCTCATCTCTATACTCTCTCTCGCCTCCCAGGTACAAGCTCCACATCCTCCACCCAGCTACCAATCCAATCCTCACTTCATTTCCAGAAAGGTTGAGGATCTTCAGGTTGGGTGCCTTCTGCACGATGCTAGACATGTCATCCAGTTTGTACAGCCTGTTGTTGCTCAAGTTCAAGGACAACAGCTTCAGGGAAAGGTGAAAGCAGGATCACTGGTGAGTGGCCCAGTGCAAATCTAACCCTAGGCCATCTTACCTGTCCCACCCAGCCAGGCCCCCACCTCAGGGATGTTCTCCTCAATGATTCGCAGGGTCGCAGCCATACAGCTTCGACGATTAAGAACAACATCAATGTTCTGAGCCACCAAATCTTCAGTAAACAAACAAAAAGGGAAGTCTGAGAGACCAGCTGGGTCAGCAGCAGCACAAAACCATCCCCATACTTCCCCTACCTACACTGGGCTAAGAGTCACTGCCAAGAGCCATACCTGGGTCTGAACGGAGACCCTTGAGGTCGAGCGCCTGCTGGGAACCATCATAGCGTTTGCTCATGACCAGCTGTAGAGGAAGAAATAAGGTTCAGGAGTCAATGGGGTGGTATGGGGCAGGAAGTGAGAAGACTGGGCTACAATATTTAATCTACGAGGTGGCCTCACCTTTAGCTGCTCCACCTGTTCTGGCTTTAGTTCATTCTGTACAGTGTGGGGTGGGGCAGAGGAGTTGATGATGATGGAGATCTAGAGACAAGACAGACAGCAGGGTGAACTCCAGGAACCTGAGCCCATAAACCCATCCCTGTTTTGCATACTAGGCCCTTCTCCAGGCACACCACACCTCTACACATACCCTTCGATTCTCCCGGTCCACAATCTTGTAGTTCACAGCCTTTAATGCAGAGGCAGTGCTGGCATCCTCCACAAAAAACTGGGCCCGCGTATTCTCATAATGAAACTGTAAGAGGAGGAAACATGATAGCTAGATTTAGCCAGGAACACCAGTAATCCCAGCACTGTGGGAGGCTGAGGAAAAAGGACTGCAAGTCTGAGGCCAGCCTGGGCAATTTGGAGACTTAACACCACCCTGTCTCAAAATAAAAAAAGGGCTGAGGATGTAGCTCTGTACAGGACCTGAGCTCAGAAAATGAAATTAAAACACGGTGTGAGACTTGGAGCCCACAACTGGCTCCAGCCAGGCCATCTCTTTCTTACCTCCACAGGAGTGAAAGGAACACTGCACTTGCTCTGAATCATGCTCAGGAGCCATGACTTCTCATACTTTCTGCCATAAGGGATCTGGCAAGAAAAGAAAAAAAGAGCACTATATATCAAGGCAGAAAAGTCGATCTCATCCGGGACTCCTCTGTACCCTCTGCCAACTCTTTAAGAGATCCTGCAGGGCTATGGTGCAGTCCAATGGTATAGCACACACTTCATATGTGCATAGCCCTGCACTGGTCCCAAGACCACAAAATTTAGAAAAGAAAATTAGCCAGGCATGGTGGAGCACACCTGTAATCCTAGCACTTGGGAAGCTGAGGCAGGAAGATTGCTTCATTCCAGGTCAGCCTGGACTATAAAATTAAATCCTGTCTCAAAAAAAAAAAATTTTTTTTTAGCCAGTTGTGGTGGCATACACCTATAATCCCAACACTTGGACTGTTGCAAGTTTGAGGTCAGTCTGGGCTACAGACTAAGTTTCAAGGCCGGGGTGAACTACATAGCAAGACCCTGTCTCAAAAGAATATAAAACAAACACAATATTTTTGGCAGGGTCATATCAGGAATCAAACTCAGGCTCTTGTGCTTGCCAGGCAGGCACTGTGCTTCTGAGCTGTATCCCTAGATGTTTTAAATTCTAGAAGTTCCAAGACATTAATTTTACCCTGCCTGTCCACCAGAGAATTCCAGGTAGGGGACCCCAAACTCCAACTCCACACTCAGTTTGAGCCAAACAGACTGTTCAGGGGAGTCATCACACCTCATGTCACCCTGCCCATTCTCACTTCCCATCCTGGAACTCATAGATCTAAAATATAAGAAAGCATGGCAATCATGGACTAGTCAAGATATTTGTGAAAAACTGGGAAACACCTTTCTTCACCCACCCCATTTCTCCCTCCCCTTACTTTCCCAAAACACTCACTGTAATTTTAAACCAGTTCTTAGAGGTACCATCCTGGCTGGTGCCAGCCCCTCCTCTCTCTGGAGGAGCTCTGTCTCTCCGAACAGTAACATGAATTCGATCTCGATCATGCCATGCATCGCCCCGTCGGTTAGGTCGAGAACTGTAGGGGTTGCTGTGGGAAAGCAGAGAATTCGATGTCGGTAAACACTAGGAAAAACCATTCTGTACTGCTAAGATGACTAAGGCTATCTCTCGAACCATTAAACTAGTATCATTCTTTCAGCAGGAAGAGAAAAGACAAGAAAGAGAGAACAATATGACTTACTGAGACACTAAAAGCAGACTATCACTTACTATCGTACTCGGGGACCATCCTGGGTTTCACTCATAGCCACATCTCCATCATTCTCCTCAAGCCGGGGAGACCGAACACTAGAACTGCCTCTTCCAGAACGACGGTTCCCATCACCATACTTCCATCGGAAAGGACCTCGGCCTTTCTTTCTTCTTTGAGGGAAGCTAACTCGGTCATCATGCTCTGGAGGTCAAAAAGATACCCAAATTAGTACATTAATCACTGATGTAGCAATCCTGTTGTGGCTACCACTGTTTAGCACTTTACATCACCAAAAGAGACACTAACTTACAGAGGCCACTTCCATGCAACTGTTCTGCCTTTCTACATGGAAAGACTCTCTCTGGAATGGAAGCATCAGAGAAAAGTCCCTAGAAAACTGCATAGGGTTTTTGAAAAATGAAACAGAGACAGAGACAGGAAACACAAAGAGAAGTGGAATGCAGAAGCCTGAGCAACCAAAATGTAACTGGTCACAAATCAGACCTGGAAAGCTACCTTAAATCTGCTCACTATTGCTTTCTCTATAGTACAAAGGCTGGTTACAGATATAACCAATTTAAGGAGGTCCTAAAGAAATCTACTGGTTTTCAAACTGCTACTCTGCAGTTCATGTAATGATTTCGGTTTTCTTAAACAGAAATGCCCCTTAACTTGAAAGAGAACTATGAGATTCAGACTCTAGTGACAGGTTTATATTATGGTACCTAACCAAGGGTCCAAGAATTCACTCCACGAATGTGATCTGATTCCTGCTATGCAGAAACAACTTGTAGAATTTTTGTTTTGTTTTGGACAGGATCTTGCTATGCAGCTGTAGCTGGCCTTCAACTCACCATTCCCTCACCTCAGCCTTCAGAGTGTCTACTACAGCTGTGTCTAAGAAAAGTCTATGCAGCCTGATATGGTGGCTCCAAGTCTGTAACCCTAGCATTCTGAAACTTAAGTGGACAAATCCAAGTTTCAGCACATACTGGGCAACTCAGCTATTTAGCAAGGCCCAGTTTCAAAAACACAAAAACAAAAACAAAACTAAATATAAAGGATTGTGGATGTAACTCCGTCTGAAGGCCTTGGGTTCAATCCCCAGTACCTGCGGGGAAAAATTTTTACTCCGTGAGCCAGTGGAGGCGGCACAAACCTATAATCCCAGTGATCTGGGAGGCTGAGGCATGAAGATATCAAATTCGAGCCCTGCCTGGGTAACTTCATGAGAGCCTGTCTCAAAAAATAAAAAAGACTGGGATGCAGCTTAGCGGAGTGCTCGCCTAGCATTCAGGAAGCTCTAGGTTTAGTCTCTAGTATCACGCTCAAAATAACAACAAACCACGGGGAGGAGGATGCAGCTCAGTGGTAAAGGTTGCAGACTCCAGCAAAAACTTATAGTTTTAAAAACACAGTAGGCTACCAGTAGGCTGCCAGACAAGTCTACTTATATCCCTGGCACGAATCTCAACAACTGACCAAAGGAGGAAGAACACACGAGTGAAAGGCGCCCGGGCCCAGCTTAGGGTGACAATCACCCGCCCGACCCACATTGGAGACACCGAGCCGCTGGGTCCGCTCCCAGAACCGACCCCGCCCCCGCGGCCTGCGTAGCCAGCCCGCGGCCCAGGGCCGCCCCTCACAGGCCCGCCAGGTCCTAGCGGCGCCCTGCTGGCTCTCTTCCGTCCGCGGCCCACACTGACCGTTGTACGACTTCCCCTCGTCCGCCATGGTGCGCGGAGAACAGAGTCAGGTTCGTCTTCAGCGGCAGCGAAAGAGCCCGCCACTCAGACGCGTAAGACGCTAGCGAGACTCCCAGCGTCGTCGTATTTATACCCGAGGCGCTGCGCACGCAGCCGACGTCCCCAGCGGTGGGCGGAACCAGCACGCCCTTTCCGCGTGCGCAGTCTGGCCGCCGAGCCCCCCCCCGCCCGCCCGCTCGCTCTCTACGCGTGCGCACAAGGCGAGGCCCGCCCCAGCTGTCAGCCACAAACTCAGGTTTAGCTGCCCTCGCCTAAGAGATGGGTTATAATAGGAAACTGGAATGTGTAGTGGCGCACTAACTACATCTATAATCCCATCGGTTAGGCTGAGGCAGAAGACACAATCCTGAGGCCAGATTAGGCTACTTAACATGTTATCTCAAAAATTAAGGTGGAGGGGCTGGGGGTTTAGCTCAGTGGCATAAGCACCTGCCTTGCAAGCAGGCGGTCGTGAGTTCGATCCCCAGTACCGATAAAAATGAAAAAGACAAAAAAAAAAAAAAAAAAATTAAGGTGGAGACAAAGCAAGGTGGCGTACACCTGTAACCCCAGCATTCCGAATATTACGAATTTGAGATCAGGCTGGGCTACAAAGTGAGCTCAAAAACCAGCCTGAACTGCATAGCGAGACCCTGTCTCAAAAAGGAAGAAAAAAAAGGGTGTAAGACTAAGCAGGAAGATCATGGCAATCTTAAATCCAGCTTGGCTACATAGTGAGTTCAAAGCCATTCGAATTAGTTTGGAAAAACCTTAAACAAATGAATAGGGATAGGAATATGGCTCAGGCACCTGCCTGGCACGCCCAAGTTTCTCAGTTCAATTCTTGTACCAAAAAAAAAAAAAAATTAAAAATCCATTTGAGATGTGCCGCAGAGCAGCAGCCCTGGATTCTGTCCCCCAGAGGGGCAGCACTGGACTGTGAGCTCCAGAGGAAATAAAACCTTAATTCAGAGGCTTTACCCACTTTACCCCATTTAGCTTCTGGGTCTGTGTAAAGCTCCAAAGTTTAAATTCACCAATTAATTATTTGTGAACTAAATGGGTTTTAGTTCGACAACACCCTCCACACTAAACTGCTGCTCTCTAGAGCCTAGCTTGCTAACTCCAGGCTGTCACCCATTCGTGTGGAGCTATTGGGAAGGGCTACGCCCTACCCATATTCAAGCACCCTTGGCATGCCGTAGGCCTCTGTAGCTCAAGCAACTTTTTGCTAGCTATGATCTGGAGGCTCAGTGACCTCAGGGTGCTGTCACAGGTCCCAATCCAGGACAGGGCCACACAGTACCCTACCATAGGTACCCTGAGCAAGATCCCCTCCATTCTCCCATGAAGGGGTTGCATTAGTGAGAGCCTTGCAGGGGTCAAGAGCCACAGCTGGAGCTGATACATGAGCAGCCGGTAAAGCAGGCCCAACTGCTTGAGCTGGTCTGGGAGGTGTCAGGACAATAGATGGGCCAAACCAGGGCCCAGCTTCTCTGTGAAGGTGGCTTCTGTGCCTGAAGTGCTGCCCACTGGGTCCCTCCCACCCTCACAGCAACAGGGTCCCCAGGGCCCCAGACTCCCACAGGAACAACAGCACAGCTCTTGAGGCTGATGTCTCGATGTAATTGGGAAGAAACCGGCCGCAGCACAGCAGACGGAGTCACAGCAGCTGGTGAGTATAGAGCGTTGTGAACAGCGAGGGCTCAGGGCCCCTGCCATACACAGTAAGGAGAGGAGAGCCCTAACCCAGATGGGGAAGTTGGTCCCTGGGCCATTTCACTTCCTTGCCTCACTCAGAAGGCAGGGAGGAGCGTCATGTCCCCCAGCTGCCCAAATTTCTTCTTGGAGAGGTGTGGAGGGTTTATAAAAATCTCCTAGGGGAGACATGGCCTCCAACAGTCCTCAGCTAGCTCCCAATCCCTTCCTGTCACTGCACAGCAGAGTCCAGACCCATGTGTGTTTCATGGGCCTGAGGATGTCAAGGGAGGACAGGATGGCAGGAAGTGTGGGGTGGGGTCAGGGCCAGCAGCCACCCTGAACAGTTCCAGGGAGACAGGGCTTTCTCCACAGCACCCAACACAGGATTGGCGGCGGCTCTGCCACTTGCTGTCACCAGAGGGCCTCTGCCCTATGCACTGCCTCTGAGTAGACAGGGGTCAGGCCAGGAAGACCACGAAGATAATGAAGAAGATGATGAGGATGAGGAAGATTTTGACCATGAGCCATCGATTGGAAGTGACAGACTGGAAGTACTTGAGGATCTCGGAGTGAGCAGCCTCAACGTCCAGCTGAGCTCCCAGCACATTCTCGTCGATCCTGGGGATGGGGGAGGGGCAACAGAGGACACTGGATTAAACAATGCAGCTGAAGTCAGTACTGGCCCAGATGGCCACAATTCATGGCAGTAAGAAGTGTCGGTGCACACAGGCCTCCATCTCGGGATCCGTGATTGGGTACAGAAATGGCTCTTGCAGAGGAATATATCTTCACTGTAGTTTTAAACTCTGCCATTTACTAATTTATGACTATAAATCATTTAATGTCAAATCTCATTTTCTTCATCTGCCCTGTGTCTTCCCAGGCTGTTGTCAGCCTTCAAAGTATTGATGTGAAGTCCTCAACTGATACAAACCTTCCAAGGGTTACTATAATTTTGCTTAGCAATATTTACTAAGTTTTGTTGATTGAACATGTATTATATTGGTAATACAGTGGAAAAGGGTCATAGACTATTAGAAAACTCTGAAGAAAGTGAAGGAAAAATGTCATGCTACAGACAGGAGGTCAGACATAAAAGCCCTCCAGGCAGTGTCACACCACCTGTCTGGCAAGCATAAGATTATGAGTTTGATTCCCAGTAAATAAATAAAAGATGGTTGAAAGAAAAGCCCTCTCTCAGGCTATGTGCCACAGGAACCAGATAAAGTCTCAGGTTGGGACAGTCGGGAGGCTGAGGCAGGAGGATTGCTGTGAGTTCAAGGGTACCTGGGATACAAAGTGAGTTCAAGGGGCCAAGGATTTAGCTCAGTGGTGTAAGCACCTGCCTGGCAAGCGCAAGGCTTTGAGTTTGATCCTTGGTACCAAAAAACCAAAACAACACAAAAATAAGTTCAAGGCCAGCCTGAACCATATAGAGAAACCATGCCTGGAAAAAGACCAGATAAAAACAAACAAACAGGGGCTGGGGATTTAGCTCAGCGGCATAAGCACCTGCCTTGCAAGCACTCACAGGTGGTCGTGAGTTCAATCCCCGGTACCGATAAAAATGAAAAAGACAAAACAAACACAAAAACAAAAAGGCTGAGAATATAGTTCAGTTGTAGGCCATTTGCCTAGCTTATAAAAGTCTTGGGTTCAATTTCCAGCACTGAAAATAACAAAAAACAAAAAAACACAACAACAACAGAAAAAGGAAAGGATAATCTTCAAAGGTTACTAAGGAAAAGAACACATCCAAGCCACCTATGCACACAATCTTAGAAGCCTACATGGCTGGCACAACTGCTGTGCTGGGTCCTGGAACCCCAATGCACAAGGCCTGGTGGGGTCTGCAGCATGACTGTGCCATGAGGCCAACTATGTCGGGTGTTAGTCCCTGTGGAAGCCATAATATGCCAACATTACTGGGAGGTGAGGCCTTGTTGGAAGACACAGGACGCTCGCTGGTTATTGGAGCCATGTGAAGAGCTGCCTGTCCCGGGCCCCTTGAACTTTGGTGCTCTCTGCCCTGCTGTGTGTTTGTGGTGACTGGGAACTGAACCTGGGCCTTCATACTGAGATTCGTATCTGCTCAGAAACAATGAAGCCAGCTGACCAAGGACAGAAACCTCTGAAAATAGGCCAAAATAAATCTTTCTTCCTTATAAATTATTCTCAGGTATTTTGTTACACAAAAAGAAGCTAGATAATATAAACACAGAGGGCTGTTTCAGTCAGTGATAGGCTGTCAAATATCCTGTAAGGATTTTTGGATGGAGAAGGGCTTAGTGGTACACACCTGTATCCCAGCACACACGAGGCTGAGGTAGGAAGATCACCATGAGTTCCAAGTCAGCCTGGGCTACACAGTGCATTCAAGGTCACTCTAAACTAGAGTTCACACCAAACCAAACAAACAAAGCATCAAAGAAACAACAACAGTAAACAAAAAGAATACATGATGGATAATGACATCAGCCCCATGTCGAACTACATATGCTCTGATGCTGGCATAAAGTAATGAAGTCACTTAATCACAAATTTCCAAGGTCATGAAGTAATACATAATGGAGCAAACTGTAATAGCCCTTGGGAAAGCCACCCTAGGGAAGACATCTTGAGTGGCCAAGCAGCCCAGCGATCCCACTGCAAAGTGAACCCATTTGGGCCAGTGCTTGGAGGTCCTGGAGCAGCAGCTGTGACAGCTGTGAGTGCACCTTAGCATTCAGCACAGGAACTGGACAGGTATTTTCTCCTCAGGGAGAGGCTGGTGTTACAACGTTTCCAAGCTTCAAGCTGTTGCTACACCTCTCACCATGCATTATGGCTTCTATCTGGATGTCACCCCAAAGCCCATCAGTCTTGGTGAGGCTCTTCCAAGATGGCTGGCTCTAGGGTGTGTGATACTGGGACTGACTCACAGTCAGATGCTAGGACAGAATATGAGTGCTACCAGCCCTAAGGGTGGGTACCCTGGATAAAACACAAAAGACAGAAAGAGGGCCACTGCTTTCTACTGTTACTTGCTTCCTCACTACTTCACTGCCTTGCCTTGTGCTTGCCATGAACTTTCTCCTCTACAATGCCACCCTGCCTTGGAGCCAGTTAACTATGAACTGAAACCTCTACAAACCGAGAGCTAGGTAAATCCTTCCTCCCCTAACTTTAGGTGGGGAAAAAACCACACAAAAACCTTAGCTGTCAGATACTTTATCTCTGCAACAAGAAAATAACTAAGATAGCACGGAAGCAGTTGTTGGTCATACCAAATAAAGCTCTTACTGACAGTTATGATTTGCTTTAACAAAAAAGAGACTTAGTTAGGCTCGGTGTACATGTAGGCTTAGGTATACTTTTATGGTGGGTATTTTTCTTTTTTTTAAAATGTGAGCCACCAGCAGGTATGGTGGCAGACACCTATAATCCCAGCACTCAGGAGGCTGAGCCAGGAGGATTGCTAAGAGTTCCACGCCATCCTGGACTGCAAAGTGAGTCCAAGGATAGCCTGAACTTCATGCTGAAACCTTATCTCAAAAAGGCCAAACATGCACATGCGCGCGTGCACACACACACACACACACACACACACACTCAGACACACAAATCCCCACACATAAGGACCTTAAAAACAAAACAAATCAGGCCTCACTCTGTGGCCTTGAACTCACTGTGATCCCAGGATGGCCTGGAACTTGAAGCAGTCATCCTACCTCATTCTTCCAGGCAGTAGTATTACAAATGTGGGCTACACCATGCTGACCTAGGATAGAACTTTTGATCCTCCTGCCTCAACTTCCCAGAATGCTGGGGGGATGGGTGGCGTGGAACTCTTAGCAATCCTCCTGGCTCAGCCTCCTGAGTGCTGGGATTATAGGTGTCTGCCACCATACCTGCTGGTGGCTCACATTTTAAAAAAGAAAAATATCCACCATAAAAGTATACCTAAGCCTACATGTACCATCTTTGTGAATCTCACTGCAGCCCGTCAAACTAAATTTGTTGCTGTTTTTACAAAAACAAAAAGCCTGGGAGTATGGCTCAGTACAAAGACCCTGAATTCAATCCCCAGTATAACACACACACAAAATGACAAACTGAAAAAAATGTAATCTGACATACAAGTAATAAAAGGAGAGCCCCAAACACTGATGTATGCTTATAATTCCAGTTACCTGGGAGGCTGAGGCAGGAAGCAAGTTCCAGCCCAGTTTGAGCAACTCAGTAAGATTCTGTTTCAAAATGAAAAACAAAATGGGCTGGGGTTGTAGCTTGGGGTGAATGGCTGACTTTAACCCCACTTTTGGAAAAAGAAAGAAAAGAAGGAAGGGCCAGGCATGGTGGTGCACACCTATAATCCCAGCACTCAGAAGTCTGAGGCAGGATTGTTGAGACTTAAAGAGACCAACCTGGGATACAAAGTGAGCTAAAAGCCAGCCTGAACTTCACAGTGAGACCCTGTTTCAAAAACAACAACAAAAAAAGGTAGGAAAAAAATAAAAGGGAAGAAAAAAATAGAAGAGAGCAGGTGTGTGCCTACAATCGCAGCACACGGGTGGTTTGGAAGGCTAAGGTAGAAGGATCCTCAACTGGAGGCTAATCTGGCTCACAGCAACACTGTCTCAAACAAAGAGCTGTATCTGTTGCTTCAAGCCTGTTATCCCAGCACTTTGGGAGGCTGAGGCAGGGGGATCACAAATTCAAGCTCTGCCCTGGCAAATTAGCAAAACCATCTCAAAATAAAGGAAAGCTTGAAAATATAGCTGAATGCATCAGTGAAAGAAAGGCCCTGGAGTAGGCTCAGTGGCTTAAGCACCTACCTGGCATAAAGAGGTCATAAAGTCATGATCCTTGGTACCAAAAACAAACCAAAAACAACAACAACAAAAAAAAAAGAAAGAAAGAAAGAAAGAAAGAAAGAAGATAGACCCTAGACTCAATCCTCAGTAATACACACACACACACACACACACACACACACATGCGCGCAAACATATGCCTGTAACTGCAGCACTTTAGAGGCTGAGGCAGGAAGATCACACCAAGACTACATAGTGAGTTCAAGGATATTCTGAAATGATTAGTGAGACTGTCTCAAAAGAAAAAACTAAACTAGGCCAAAATCAAATAAAAGCAAAAAAACAAAACAAAACAAACAAACAAAAAAACCACCCCCAGGAAACAGAAAGGAACTTGTGTTGAAAAGTTAGGAATAGGATACTGGAAGATACTGAAAACAGCAGGGCAATTAGAAACTTGAAATTAATTAAGCAGGAAAATTGGCATAAGAGGGGAGGAACTTAGGAAAACAGGGGAAAAAAATAGCCAAGTAAAGAAGAAAAAAAGGATGTTTATAAAGTGAACAGAAGTACAGATGTAGCAAATCAAACAACAGAAAGCCAGAATGTCCCTGAGCCCAAAGGCTGTGACGTAGAACTGACAGGGAGGACTGGGAGGGAAAGGCCATGTAGAATCTCTGACTACTTCCTTCCTGGGGGTTCTGCTCCCACGAATGGCTGAGTAAATGCCAACAGATCAATCACTCCACAGCAACTAGAAACCTCAGACAAAAGGTATAAAATGACTGCCTTAGTTTAGCCCAGTTAATTGCATGTTAAACCAAAAAGTTGGAATTGTTACCTGGATGTGGTTCTGCATACCTAAAACCCCAGCCTCCTGGGAGGATGAGGCAGGAGGCTTGCCAAGTTCAAGGCTAGCTCGAGAATCTTAGCAAGATCAGGTCTCAAAATAAAAAATCAAAGGGGGGGCTGGGGATTTAGCTCAGTGGCATAAGCGCCTACTTTGCAAACACATGGTTGTAAGTTCGATCTCCGGTACTGATTAAAAAAAAAAAAAAAAAGTTAAAAAAAAATCAAAGAAGGGCTGAGGATGTAGCTCAGTGTGAACATCTAAAGCCTTCAGTAGAGAGACAGAGTCTAGAATCTCTAAAGTGCATCAATCGTAACAAGCTGCCAGTTAGTAGATGTAAAACAAATGGGAAACTGAGACGCTTGCTCAAGCAAAGAGGCCGAGAATAACACTAACCCTGTGATGATTCAGAGAAGAGAAATAAGGGACAGGCTCTTTCACTAGCAACTGCCAACAAATGACTGAAAACAGTTATCTCTACTTAGAACAAAGACACAGAGAGCCAGCTACAGCACACTGGCAGCATAAGACAGACGGAGTCCTGACCTCAATCTCTAACACTGACTAAACAAAACCACTCTCGACAGAGTCTGTCAGTAGATCTGGCTGGGGGTGAGGTTCAGTGCAAAGGTCCCAGGTACCACGTCCAGAACTCCTCATTCCTATAATACAGGCCTTCCTTTCCCCTCTGACTCTACCTCTCATGACCTCCCTTCCCAGGTTCCCACCACAGGCCACACAGCAGGTGCATCCCTCCTGTGGTCTGCTGTCTGTTGCACTGACCCCTCTTCCCCTGAGGCCCTGGACAGGCTTATCTGATCTCCCAGGACAGAGGCCACCCAGTGGGGCTGACCTTATCATCCCTTACATTTATAATCACTGGCAGGGAAAGCAAGTAAACAGAAGTAAAACTTGTCCCTCCAAACCTGGTGGCTATTTCTCATCTTTCTTTCCTAGCACGTAAGGTTCACAGGCACAAGGATCTTGTCTCTGCTGGCCACTGCTATATGTGTCCCCACTGAGACACTGGTGGGCCTTGCCTCCCTCCCTCCAGGACCTGTAGCTTTCTGGTCACGCCGGCCTGGACTCTTGAATACAGCAAGACTGTTGCATCTTAGGGGCCAGGACCACCTGTCTCTATCCTCTGGAACACTCTCTCTGCTCCAATGTCATGTCTTCTTCAGTGCAGCCTTTCCTGCCAACTTACCTGATGTGCCTACTCTGTCACTTCCTGGCTGTGTTGGTCAAGTTGGCTTCAAACTCCTGAGCTCAAGCAATCCTCCTGCCTCTGCCTCCCCAGGAGCTAGGACTGCTCTCGGCCACTTTCTCAACACACGGTCCTATTTTAAGTCTCCATAGTGCTGTGACTGCCACATCCCTGAATCTGCTTGCTGATCAGCTCTTTGCACAGCTATCTATCCTCTTCAACCCCACACCACCACGAAGTAGGCCCAAGAGCGGAAGCCTGCACCATTCCAACCCCCAAGGCACCACCAGCACCTAGGCTGTGCTGACCTGGAAACACTCTCATAGTGAGTAGAGAGGTGTCCTGAGCCTGGCTGGTGGCAGGAGTCACTCTTATTCTTCTAAGGTACCACACTGACCCTGGGGCTTCAAGATGCAGAAGGAGAAGACTCCTGGTGGAGCGCTCACCTCTGAATGGTCTCCTCCTGTTCCTTCACCATGTGCGCCAGCTGCTGAAAGATGGAGCCCAGTTCAACAATCGTGGACTCAATGTTCTGCATGGTGTCCGCCCGGCTCTGAATATAGGAATCCTTCAGAAGGGAGAGAGCAGTAAGTACTGGGGACTCCTCCAGGAGGCTAGGTCTTCGGGCCCTTTGAGGTTGCGGCTCCACTTATACACTATCCACTCTGTTGGGACCCAGAGGATTGAGGGTCCACTCACCCCAGTCCAGAGTGGGTACCTGCTCATCAATGAGCTGCAGCTGCTGGTTGGTGCTTGTATCCACCATGTCTATTGCCACATCCCGGGAGGCATGGGACTCAGCCCCCAGAACCACAGGGCCACCACCTGGGGAAGAGAGGGAACGTGGCTCATCTGAGCAGTAAACACAGGTCCAAAGCCCACACACTCTGACACAAGTCCCAGTTCTGGCACTTACTAGCCTTGTGACCCTGGACAGGTCATCTAACCTCTCTGAGCCTCAGTTTCCTCACCTGTAAAATGGGGATAACAGTATTTGCTTTTTCAAAGGGTGGTTGTGAAAAATAAGTGAGAAAATGGGACTAAGTATATACAAAAGTCAGATATTCAGTCTTGTAAGACTGAGTTAGGGGCTGGGGATTTAGCTCAGCGGCATAAGCGTCTGCCTTGCAAGCAGGCAGTCGTGAGTTCGATCCCTGGTACTGAAAAAAAGACAAAAAAAAAAAAAAAAGACTGAGTTCACATGATGTGAGAATGTGGGAGGTGAGACATGGGTCACGAGAACCCGGAACCAGGCTGAATCTGAGTGACAACACGGAATGACCTTGGTCTTCTTCCCCCTTCATATGACTTCTGTGCCAGGGCTCCCCTACCCAGGACTCACCCAGGTGGTTGGGGGCGAGGGGCAGGGCGGACACGGGGGCCCGGGAGAACTGCTCCCTCCGGCTCCTCTGCTGCTTCAGGTTCTGTGGTGGGGAAGAAGGCAAAAGTCCTGAGGCCTCTGGAAATTGGGCGAGCTAGAAGCGAGGCCTCTCTTGCTACCCCCTGACCCCAGAGGACTTGTCCTGTCCCCATTTCCCCTGGGCCTTACCCATGTTCCTTTTCATTACATATTCCTCTCACCTCTGTCCTCACTTCTAACACCGATTTGAAGTCATTGGACATGGAAGCCAGTTTTGACTAGAAGAAAATGAGAAGAGTCAACTGGAGATGGAACTCCCCTGCTCCCACTCCAGTCCCTGTCCCCAGGGGTCCCACCTGCAGTGAGACCACAATGGTGTTGGAATGTGTCTGCAGATGCCGGCCGCTCTGGCTGCCCTTGGCTCTCACAAAATCCTGAAGCTGAGCAATTTGCTTGTTGAGGCTATTGATATCCTGGTAAAAGAAGCCACAGAAAGCCCAGCATTAACCGGGTCCTCAGCCAGTGCTCAACCCAGGCTACCTCGGCGGGGAGGGCAGAGTAGAAACTATTAGCAGAAATCATTATGGCTCCCAGTGCTTTCCAAGCCTCTGCCCAGCAGACCCTCATCCATTTTTCAGCACTGAGCCAGGTGTGGTGGCTCACCCCTGTAATTCCAGCCCTTGAGAGGCTGAGGCAGGAGGATCGTTGTGAGTTTGAGACCAGCCTAGGCTACAAAGTAAGCTCAAGGCCAGCCTGAATTGCATAGAGAGACTCTGTCTGAAAAAGACAAAAAAAAAAAAAAAAAGCACTGGCTAGTTTACTCCCCTCTTCAATGCCCTGCTCCACAATGTGAGACCACAAAACCCTTCGGAGGCCGGAGCACAATGCCCAGCAAAGCGCTGGACAATACTTAGAAAAAGGGAAGAGTGAAAGTCACCCATCTTCCAGACATACAAAATGAGAGAATTCCTAATACTATAGCAGAAGACTAAGAGCTGTGACTTGCCCAAAGTCACATGCAGCAGTGAGTTGGTCACACAGCCATGTTGTCTACACCAGACTATGTGTCCTCTGCCCACCAGGAGGTAAGAGACACAAGGAGGAAATCAGGTGGTGGCAATGAAAGCTCATCCTAGCACCCTGGTGCCAAAAAACAGGTTAAACTGGAAATGGTGAAGGCTCTCTGGGGGGCTAAGGCAAGAGGATCTCAGTACCTGGGCAATTCAGCCATGTATGGAGCCCCCTTCCTCAAAATAAAAATAAAATGTAGAAAAGGGCTGAGATATAGTTCGATGAGGTCCTGGAGAGGGGGAAATCTCCAAGAATCTTTTCAGTGAGTACCCTAAACATCCATTCCCTATACAGGAGCCAGAGTGTCTCTAATCCAAAAGTCAGGCAGTGTCATCCTCCTGCTTAAATATCTCCCAGGAGTTTACTGCCCCATGGAGGATACAGCTGTCTCCTGAGCCAGCTCTCTCCATTCTGACCCTCCCAACCCGCAGTGCTGCAGTTACACAGGCCCCTCCATGGCCATCACCTGCAGTAAAGCCACACCCCTGAACCCTCTCTCTTGCTACTAGGATGTCCCAAATTATACTTCTTTGGTACTGTGCTCTACTGGACCTGTGGATGACCTACCATTTGTGCCTTGGCTGTCATTTCTTCAACCAGGCAGCCTGGATGACCACGTCTAAAGTAGTCCTATCCTTGTTGGGTATGGTGGCACATGCCTGTAATCCTAGCACTTGGGAGACTGAGAAAGGAGTATTTTTGCAAGAGACCAGCCTAGGTTACAAAGTAAGGCTAAGCCAGCCTGAATTGCATAGCGAGACCCGTCTCAAAAAGACAAAAATAAACAAATAAATAAATAAAGTAGTCGTATCCCTGAAAAAGTCACTCAGCAATGTCACTGATTGAAAAATGGACCTTGTAAGGAGGACCCTGTGAGGCAGGCACTATTTTAACTAAGCCCTGAGAGGGATCCTGCAGCTTAGGCAGTAGATGCTCCCCAAGGTCACAACTGAGGAGCATACCTACCTGCACCTATGGCTATTGTGTCCAGGGGCCAACTCTAACAAGTAGTCATAATTGTAGTAACCATGATGTAAGTAGTAACCATGATGGGTTTGAAGCTGTGTCTCCACTAGCACAGCACCTTTACTGTGGCTGCCTCTGGCCTCTGTCTTATCACCTCTACAAAGGCCAAGTGAGCGCAGCAGCCTCCTCCCTGGCTCCACCCTCAGTGCTCCAAGCCACTCTCTATGTATGTCCAGAGCACAGGGAACCACACTGCTGCTCTTCATAGCCGGTCACCAATCTGCCTTTCCAACCCATTCCACTAGCAATCAGTGACTGCAGCCAGGTACTAGTAAAGGCCCATGGGTTCATTTTTAAGTAACCAGGAGAAACAATCTCCTTCGCTGATGCTAAGTATCTCATTTTTCTGTTAAAAACCTTTGCAAATGGCTGGGCTGGGGATTTAGCTCAGTGGCTTAAGCACCTGCCTGGGAAGCGCAAGGTCATGAGTTTGATCCCCAGAACCAAAACCAAAACTAAAACAGAAACACCCTTTGCAAATGAGAAAGTATTGGGGACTACAAATTATAAATTTGAGGCCAGGGCATAGAGGTCTTAATGGTCCCATGATGCTGTGACATTCAAGGGCAAGATTACATCCACGTAGGACCACACTACTGCCAAGTTATTCAGACTGATTCTCGTCAACATAAGATTCTTATCAATTTAAGATTACCACTACACTCTAAGTTATCTGATAGTTCTACTGATTACTGTGTGTGACAAATAAAACAGTAACTAAAACTCAGTATGTCATTGGCTTTCCCCATACTGAGGAACTGACCTCCTAGCTCCCCTTTTAAGGATTACTAAATTGTTGCTTGTTTCTTCGGGCTTCACCACATCCCCTCAAACAGGCAGCTGGGGTTCTTGGCCAGAAGGGACCAAGAGATTGGAAAAGAGAGGAATGGGAAGAGAATATAAAGAATCAGGATGTGTTATTTATTTACATGTACCAACTCTTCATGATAAATCTAATCACTGTGTGCCACAAAGAAACAAAAAGCAATTTTTTTTTCATACAAAGGATTGAACTCAGGATATTCCCAATGAGGCAACCCTTTCTAATTTTCAGATAGTCTTACTAAGCCACCCAAGTTGTCCAAGCTGGATTCAAACTTAAGATCCCCTGCCTCAGCCATCCAGAAGACTGGGATTTTAAGGTATTTGCCACCATGCCTGGCTTTTTTTTTTTTTTTTTTTTTTGGAGCGGAGAATGAGATAGTAGAAAGGAACACAGACAAACAACAAAGCCTGCTAAATACAGGATGTTTGGAAGTATAAATGCTATAAAAAAGCAAACATAGCACAGTAAGGAGGTTGATTTTGGGTGATGCAGTATTAACCGTAACTGGGGTAGGTGTTCCTGAGCAGGTGACAGCCTTCCGTTGCCTCTGCACAGCTCTGGTTTCAGCTACTTGTACTCCCTCAGCACTCTCATACTGTTTTTTAATTTACTTTTTTTTTTTTTTTTTTTTTTTTTTTGCCTTTTTCCTTTTTATCGGTACCAGGGATCGAACTCACAACTGCCTGCTTGCAAGGCAGGAGCTTATGCTGCTGAGCTTTTCTACACTACTCTTACACCCACAAGAATGGGCTTATAAAGCTGGACAGGTTTTCTAGATAATAAACTCAAAGGCAAGAATCCTGTCTCAGGTTTGTGTCACCAGTGGAGGAGCAGGGCGTTTAGGGTTAGCTCTGGACCTCCATGGCAGGTGTTGGATATCTGACGAGAATGAAGTGTGACTAAATAGCCAGGAGCTTACCTGTTTGATGATGTATGTTAGCTCCTCGATTTCTACCGCTTTATCATCAAAAAGGGACTTGCGCTTTGCCACTGCAGAGACAAGAGGTGACACTGTAACAAAGTTCACAGGGCTTCCAGTAACCATGGTTCACTGGCAGAGTGCTGCCCTAACACGCAAAAGACCTGGGTTTGCCAGCCTCTACCCTCTCTGAAGAAACACAGGGTTGTGGCTCCTTGACCGTTTTTGCCTTACTGCCACACTTCTGAAAGACTCCAAGAATACTTACAGATTGTCAGCTTCTCCAGCTTGGCAAATGTGTTGCTGAGGTCTTTCCCAATGCGCCTGCAAAAGATCATTAGTAACAATACTGTGGAAGGTAGGAGACAGACTATTCTCCCATTAGCTCCAGTTGAAACCATTACAGTCCTTACAACGAAGCCACCACAGGAAGCCCACTTCTGAGTTAGGCCATCACCACACAGAAGCTGCTCTCCACTTACTTGGCCATAAGAGTAAATTCACTGCGCTGTCGGGCAGCACACAGAACTGGCTTATTTGTCTGGATTCCATTCTGAAAAGTCAAGTCAAGATAGCCAGCTTCAGTTTCTTCCACCCACTTCCAGTTTTCACTGTTCCTCACACATGCACTAAACTCTAATACTGCTAGCAACCACAATCTGTTGATCTAGGTCAGTTAGTAGCATTGAAATCCGAGACAAGTATATTCAAATCCAGGTACTCATTCCATCATTTAGGAGGTGTGAGATTAGGGCAAGTAAATTACTTTGAAATTTTTTTCCTTTTATAAAATGAAAACAATTCACCCACCACCTATTGTTTTCAAGATCAGTGCACTAAGCCAGGCCTGTAATACCAGCACTGTAATCCCCCACCTCAGGGAGGCTGAGGTGAGAGGATCATTGCAAGTTAGAGACCAGCCTGGGCTACAAAGTGAGCTCAAGGCCTGCTTGAACTACATAGAGAGCCTGTCACAAAAAAGACAAAAAAAAAAAAAAAAAAAAAAGATCAGTGCACTGTAGGTTAGGAGGGTCAGAACAGAGACAGCCAGCTCAGGAGGAAGATGTGTCCTCTGTGGAGCAGTGAGCTCCTGTACTTCAGACAACTCTGATACACTATTAAGCACTAAATGGAGGGCAACGAATATTGCTGTCCTATTCCTGGAATCGGAATTAAGGGAAACTGGAAAGTTCTTGCACAGCACACAGAAACACAATTGTTAAAAGCAGCTAAACAGCAACTTTTTTTTTGGTACCAGGAATTGAACTCAGGGCCTTGCCAGTACCAGGCAGGCACTGTGCCGCTGAGCTACATCCCTGGCCAAACAGTAACGATCTTTTAAAATAATTATTCAAGTCTCACTTGGATTCAGAGAGTCTAGAGTGAAGCAAAGCAATTTAATATTCAAGAGAACTCTAAAGTGATTTTGATAAAAATTGCTGATTTAGAACACTTCCTTCCTCTCCATTATTTTCTGTATTTCAGAGCAGAAAAACTGAAGCACAGCTAAATTAGCTTCCTCACGGTTGCAGAGCAAGTCTGTGGGAGAACTAGCTGCAACTCGGACTCAGGTGCGTGTTTCCGATTACAGGCTCCTTCGGGAAGTACTTTCAGATCCAAACCAAACACCTCAGGGCAGCCTCCCTTTGGAGTGGGAATACCACTCTTCGGGACCTTAAACAGCCTAGGTCCTCGCCTCAGGTTTGAGTGCGTAAGACCCTAAGGTCTCCTGCTAACCCATACCGGCCCCGCCCCCGTGCAGCCTCACCTGTTGGCTCTGTAGCGACCTGCAGGCGGACAAGAACTCCTGGGTCCGGTCCCGACAGGACATGATGCCGGGCGGGGGCGGGGCCGGCGCCGCGGGCCCGAGCGCGGGGACGACGTCGCCGCGGCCTATGCCCGCAGTGGTAGAGGACAGGACTTGTGTCTTCGAGAGCCCCAGGTAAACGCCCTGATCCGTATTCTTAGCCCCGTGGCGTTTCCGCGGGATCATTGGGCCACATCAGCTCGGACCTTGGCGGAGGGGAGAGCGTCATCGCGGCGCCACCTTCCTGCGCTTCCCGCCCGGCCCGGGTCCCGCGCTCAGCGCTCGGCGGCGGAAAGGGCCCGCCTCGATCTGCTCCAACCCGCCGAGCAGCGGCCCACTAGGAGACGCGACCGCTGCTCCCGGGGGACGCACTTAGCCGGGCCGAGGGGGACCTCAAGGTGTTTATACGAAACAGGAAGTCCCGCCCCGGGAAAGTCCCGCCTTCCGTAAGTCTGAAGCCGCTGGTTGGCCACGTTCGACGTTCTTCCACACTGCGGCTTTCCTGGTTGGACGGTGCGGCATTCGCTCACCGGAGCCGAGCCGGCAGAGTTCGTCCGCCAGCCCTAGGCTCCCGTACCCTACCTGTCTCCGAGCCTCAGTCGCCGCTGCCCCGGGACTTACAGAGCGGCCGGCCCCCGCTCAGAGCGGACCCTACCTCCACGTAGCCGCCGCTGGCGGGACCTCTTGGGCAGTCACCGCCTCCTCCTTGGTGCCGGAGCCGTGCACACCAGACAGCAGACTGGGTACCGCCACGTCACCCACGCGTAGTCCCGCCCCAGCGACGAGCTGCGCCACGCCCAGTAGAACGGGACCCCACACTCACTACGCTGCCATATTGCCATTGGCTGAACTGCCACCAGGGACCCGCCCCCAGAGAGTACAGAGACGAGGGTGGGCCCTGCCTAAGGGAAGAAGCCTTAAAGTGCCCGCGCACCAACGGGAAATAGGTAGCAGAGGTCGGAGCGCCCAGACAGAGCTGGAACAGACGTTTTATTCCTAGGGAACTGAGTCATCCCTTCTCCGACTGTTCCTGGCTGTCCTCATGATTGTCCTCAGGGATGGGATCTTCCTGCCTCTGGATCAGGTCCCCCTGCCTCTGAATCACTTCCGAATGTCTCACAGACGACCGCGCGGAGCTCCGCCGGCTGAACATGGAGAGCCGCCGCCACAGCACGGTGATCAGGAAGCTATCCTCAGACCGGCGACCGGGAACATCCACTTCGCTCTCGAGTCTGCTGCAGCCGGCCTCAAGGCTGTCCCTTTGGAGTGGTCTTGCTCTGGGCACCGGGGTTCCCGCTGCGTCCTTATCCTGGCAGCAGCCCATGGCCCCTGGCACTTGCTAGCCCCACGCCAGGTGCTTGTGTAGCCTCTGTGACGTCGGGGTCCCCACCCCGCCCCACCCCAGTCGACACTACATTGGGTTAGGAGCTGTTTATTCACAAGCCATGATTACTCAAGAGCTGACTGCCCGGGGACACTTCTTCCTCTTCTGGGTCCCTGCGGCCCACAGGGTCGGGTCTGCCCGTGGGAGTTTCCGCTTGGCAGCTGCCTCCAAGGACGCCCAAAGCTCATCCACCTCCGGGTCTTTGGAGGGTTCTTCACTAGGCTCCTGGGGTTCTTCCAGCTTATCCTGGTGTGGGCAGAAAGCTCGGATCAGAAAAATGCAAGCCCTAACCAGTAAATAAACTCTTGGTGCCAAAACCACTGCCACCATGCCACCAGCTATGTCACTCTTGAAATGACCCTGTCAGTATCCAGTGGAGAAATTAAGGAATAGGGCAGGTCTATGGAGCGCCCCAGCACTGTGCCCAGGCGCTTCCTTTTCCCCTCTGCCCAGGAATCTTGACATCTGTGCTGTGGCTCCCATCTTCCCGGTGACAGTGTGGCTCACCTCCCAGTCTTCCCTGCCTGACAGGAGAAGACAGTTCAGTCGAGACTTGAGATAAACCTGCAAAAGATGAGCAGTCCACATTGAGGCAGAAACACACATGCAGTGCAGGAGCACTGGCCTGGGCTCCAGGGCACTAGGCTGGAAGGAGGGCTCACCTTATGCTCCAAGCCACGTGGGTTCCGGATCCTATGTATCCTTAAGACTCTGTCCAAGCCACAGGAGGCCAGCAGTGGCTTTGAAGGGTGGCACTGCAGCCCTCGGACACTGCCTGCCAGCCCCTTCAGACAGCCCAGTAGGCGCCCTAGAGAAGGGTGAGGCCAGCTGATAGCATTTGTTACAGTGTTTATTTTTTTGTCTTTTTCATTTTTATCAGTACTGGGGATCGAACTCACTACCGCCTGTTTGCAAGGCAGGTGCTTATGCCGCTGAGCTAAATCCCCAGCCCCTTGTTACAGTGTTTATTGTTCAGACCACTTTACATTTCAACTCTGAGTCCTCACAAAAACCCCCTGAGGGGTTACTGATACTTTTTCTATTTTACAGGTGAGAAAATAGCACAGGGAGTGAAGTAGCTACTCCAAGATCAGATGCTTTTTGGTTCAACCAAGGATTTAACTCTTGCCTTCTGGCACTGGGTGAGGGCATAGTGACTCCCCTAACAGCTTCAGATAGAGACCTCACTTCCTCCCTGTCCCTTCCCTTTTCCTGGTCAGCTCACCTTGCCGAAAGTCAATTTCTGCCAGCTGCCCATGTGTGTTTCCTACAATAACAGAGCTGCAGAGGAAAAGGAGGCAGGTGGAGTAGGCAGAACCTTTGGGATTCTGTGATCCCACCCACCCTGTCCTCTAGGCACCCACTTGCCCCCAGGAGTGAGGGTCATGGCTGTCAGTGGATACTCTCCGTAAGTGGCTTCTAGGACAGGTCGGCGCTGGGGCGATGCTGGATCATAGACACGGACCTAGAGGAAGACCAGGGTATAAGAAAATATGCTGCTTCCGAACATTGCCCCAGCACCTCCATGTTATCATCTTTTCTTCCTGCTTGTTCACAACTCCCATGAAATACACACCTCATCTCTGAGTGCTGGGGATGGGGGGCAGAACTGTTCAGGAATGTGAGGGGAATGGTCCCCTGTGCTCCCATCTAGGAAGAGGGGGAAGGTGCAAAGGTCGGTCCAATGATCAGAGAGTCCTGACTTTTAAGCAGAGGTTCAGCCTGAATAAGGGAGGGCAGAAGTAGCCCTCTGATGTGTTTGGAGTGGAGGCACAGCAAGTGCCAAGGGGAGGATAGACAATGGCCCAATCCTGCCTGGGCCTCAAGACTTTACCTGGGGTAAGCCAGGAGTCCCTAGTTGGGCCCTTCATGCAGAGCAGAGTGGCAGAGGCCACATGGGAGGGTTAACCCTGGCAAGAGCAAAGCAGGATTGTTGCATAAGGATTGGAACAGTCTATATATGACACCTCTATGCAGTGGACTCGTCCAGGTGGAAGGAACAAAACCATAGTACAGGAAATCCCATCAAGAAAGGAAAAACCTTTTTTGGGAAAACCAGCACTTGGGAGGCTGAGGCAGGAAGATCACTGCTATCTCAAGGGTAGTGAAAACTTGTCTCAAAAAACCAGGCAAAAGAGCCAGGGGTTAGGCTGCATGGCATAAGCGCCTGCCTAGCAAGTACAAGGTTTGATCTCCAGTATTAGGGAAAAAAACCCAGGTACGGTGGCACTTGGGAGGCTGAGGCAGGAGGATCCTTGTGAGTTTGAGACTAGCCTGAGCTACAAAGTGAGCTCAAGGCCAGCCTGAACTGCATAGTGAGACCCTGTCTCAAAAAAGAATAAATAAATAAATAAGAAAAGGAAAGTTACAGGCTCAGTGCTAGGAGGTAGGCAGAGGGCAGGTCCCTCTGAGAGCTCAGGAGGGAAGGAAGGGTATAAGAAGGCGGCTATGTCACCACTTTAAGCCTAGGCCAGGGTGAGATGGTGCCTTACCTGATGGTACCCTGTGCATGTGACCAGCTTCTGTGACCCAGGAATGAAGTGTATGTCCTGGTCCCAGATTGGTACCCGAAGGTCGAGCCAGTCATTCCGCACCTGTGGAGAAGGGCACTGGAGGCTGGCTGGGGTATTTCATTTAGCCCCTCACCACCCTGGTCTGGTTGCTTGCCGTTGGTGGTTTTGATCATAGCTTCTCTCCATACTACCACTCACATTCTTGGCCCTGAACAGGGGCTCCTCTGACCCCTGCAGATCCCACACCTTCAGGACATTCTCCTTCCCCCCAGTGGCAACCACATGAGGGCGTGCTGGGTCTTGGCGCATCCTGCATACCCCAGGACCCACCCTCAGTTCCAAGAGCTGAAAAGAAGCAGAGATGAGTCAGTTTTAGAGTCTTTGTCTTCCCTTTCCCAAAGCCTGCCCCTGCCCTGGCTTCAGCCCTCCCTGCCCACAGGGTAAGGGAACCTCACTGGGTCTGAGAGCGTCTCCTTCTCATCGCCATGCCAAACTCTAAGAACCCCAGAATCCACACACGTGATGAGCTTGCTGCAGGCAGAGAAGGGTGCTGTTAAGATTTAAAAAGCCCCAGCCCAGCTGGGTCTTGTGGTGCACAACTGTAATCCCAGCACTCGGGAGGCTGAGGCAGGATTGTTGCAAGTGTAAGACCAGCCTAGGCTACAAAGTGAGCCCAAGGCCAGCCTGAACTGCATAGTGAGACCATGTCTCAAAAAGACAAACTAAAAATAAAAGCCCCAGCTGAAACCTCAAAGTTCTTAGTAAGGCCTTACTGGCCTTTTCTGAGTTGGTTCCTGGGGTCAGGGACTTCAGGGTTGGTAGGTTCCCTTCTAAGATCCGTTTACAAGGAAATTTCTGGCTATCTGGAGTGAGGTAGCTTGCTATTTACCAGTTAGCTAAGTTTACTCAACAGTGGGAGGGGTTACCGGTTTTGTAAGTGAGGAAATGGATACTGAGAAATTCAGATTAATTATAAATGTGAGATCCAGAGCTACAAATAAAGTTTGTGATACTCCAAAGCAGAGTACTTTTCTTATTTCACAGCTAAATTAGAGCATCTGGCCACTGTCTTCCTGAATTTTGAGTTGATTCCTATTGTTAAGGAGTACATCATTACCTCTGAGAAAACTAAAATGAGATGAGCTGGACTGATTGGCTGGACTGATTGTTTGGCCAGAGTGAATCTTGTTTCTATTCTTTTTTTTTTTTTTTCCCCATAGTGGTAATTTTAGGACAGTCTTGCCGCACACCCCAGGCTGGCTTCACTGCTTGCTGAGTGCTGGGATTACAGGTATGCACCACCACACTCAGTCATTTTTTTTTTGTTTTTCTTCTCAGTGCCAGGGATTGAACTCCAGGTCTGACTTATGCTAGACAGGCAGCTCTACTCTGAGCTCCATCTCCAGTCCCCAGCTTCTACTCCTAAGTTCCCTGTTCTGCGTTTTAGGCACTGATGTCAAAAGTCTCCACATAAATACCCATCCTGAAAAGTCCACAGTATGTCTAAGACCTGTGCAGCCATTTCTGTCCACTTTACTACCTGTGTTCAGGCTCTCTAGACTGCTTGTTGGGGCTGTGGCAACAACCTCACCACCATCACCATCGTTTTCCCCAATTGTCCATATTCCTACAGGCTTACAGGTTTATACACAGCACTTCCTGCTCAAGACCACTAAATCCCTACCATCTACAGAGGTACAAACCGCTCAGTTGGGCACAGCAGTTTATGTATGTAATCCTAGCACCTGGGAGGCTGAAGCAATAAGACTGCCATGAGCTCAAGGCTACTCTGGGCTACACAGTAAGTTTAAGGCCAGCGTAAATTATAGAGCAAGACTCTGTCTCAAAAGAAAAAATAAAGTGCAAATCCCCTAACCTATATCAAAGCCCTTCGCATTTAACCTCAACTGAATAAAAGACCACCACATTAGAATGCTTCCTTGGCTTCAGCCTCTAAATATTATTTATCCTAATTATGTACCCTGTAGCCTAGCCTCTGTACCAATTGCCTTTACCCATTGTTGTCCTTTGCCTGGACAGTGCCTACTTTCTAAAATGTCCCTGTCTTTTACTTCATCTGTCCCAATTCTTCTCATACTTAGAAACCCAGTTCAAAACTCCTGTCCCCTACAGACTCTTTCCAAAGCTCACCTCTCCAAACCAGCACATAGCATTAACAGTATATTTGAAAAAATGCTACCCTTGTAACCTAACTACCAGACCTTCCTATCTGTTACTCTGGAAGCTTTCTTACCCTGGTGGTGGCTGTTAGTCGCTGTTTGGAAGCAAGTTCTAAACTGTTGAGTTTGTCACAGTTATTCAACACATTATAATGGTGTGAAGAAAAGAGCGCGCCAGGGATATAGCTCAGCAGCACTGGGCCTGGCTGGAAAGGGCGAGATAAATTCTCAGCAGAAAAATCAATCAATCAATCCCTAAGATCCTGCAAGTTTTATTTTTTTTTTAACTTTTTTTTTTTTTTTTTTTTGTATTTTTCCTTTTTATCGGTACCGGGGATCGAACTCACGACTCCCTGCTTGCAAGACAGGCGCTTATGCCACTGAGCTAAATCCCCAGCCCTATCCTGCAAGTTTTAGTAAAGCAGAAGCTTCACTTGCAGCCCTTGTATTTTGCAGTGTTGGAACTCAGTAGGCAACCTGCAAACGTAAGAGCTCAGGTCCTTGTGCCTCATCCCAGCCTGTTTCATCAAAGGGTTTGCTGCGGGGTCTGCCTTACCCATCGGCCTGGGCGAGGCCCCGGAATGCGCCCTCCCCGCCCGCGCAGCACCTCTGGCCCTGGAACGCGCCTTTCTCGGTGCAGAACCGCTTCACCGTCAGGTCCGTGCAGCCTACCAGAATCTGCAGGCAAAGAAGGTGCAATGTCGGAGACAGGACGGCAGGGACTGGCGGCGGGGACAAGGATGCCCTTGGGCACCTACCTGGGTCTCGCCGCCTGCGCCCCAGCACAGGGCGCTCACTGCCGCCTCGCGCTGCGGCTGCCCTGTCGCCGTGAAGTTGGTCGCCTGCTTCCGCTGGAGGTCTACCCCTGCGGGACAAAGTGTCAGCGGCCCTGGGGTCAGGAGAGCGCGGCCCAAACTTCAGACGTCCAGCCCTGAACTCACCTTTTAGGATTCCGGTCTCGGTGCCGACCCACACTTGGTTACGGCTCGCAGAGGAAGCAGCCATAGTGGAACCGGGTGGCAGCTACTTCCGGCGCACGTTACTAGTGGTGATACCGCGCACTTCTGGTGCACCCGGTGCGCCACCTGCTGTTCGGATCCCCCTTCCGGTTGCGCGGTTTTATTTTTCTGTAAACCCCCGCTGGGAGTTGTTAGTTACCGGCAGCCACTTGCTTTCCTTTATGGTACCGGAGATCGAATTCACAACCTTGCACTTGCCATGCAGGCGCTTAAGCTGCGGAGCTAAATCCCTAGCTTTGCTGTCCTTTATAAAAATGAAACTGGGACTTGCGTATTTGTAAAGATCTGAATATTTGGGGCTGGGGATTTAGCTCAGCGGCATAAGCGCCTGCCTTGCAAGCAGGCAGTCGTGAGTTCGATCCCTGGTACCGAAAAAGACAAAAAGAAAAAAAAAATCTGAATATTTTTTTCCCGAGGAAAGAGCAGGAAAGGCACGGAACAATCCTCCCTGCCCTTATTCCGTGTTATCTATTGCACGAGAAAACATCTATATAATATCTCAAAGACGGCTTGCAGACGCAATGTAGTACAGAGGCATTCTTTAAGTAAAGGACAAAACAGAAACCTATGCAAAGTGAAGATCTGGAAAGCAGAGATGAGGTACTTTTCAAAGGTTTTCCACTGAGGATCCTGATGACAAAATTAGTTCAAATTGGTCAAACCTGCAAAGTTAACATTTCCCAAAGCATTCTCTATAGCTATAAAATCTAACAGTCTGCTTTAAATGCCTGCTTTTTGTTATGTCTTCCCAAAATATGATAAGAAGTCGTTGTTTCATATCTTATCTACAAAAAGGAATCACCTATTCTTGTAGGCAGATCTACACAGCCTATTGTCAGAGCTTTTGATGAGTTGTAACGTAAGTACCCACCCTTTGCACACAACCTTATTTTTAAGTGAATCACGCAAAAACATTTCGTTACATAAACATATGAAAACAGTTTTCTCTGATTTTTGTTCAGCTCTAAAGACCCACACCGTTGGTGTAGACTATATTAGCAGCCCCAATTGAATTTAGTGTAAAATGAAAGCAAAGTAATAGTAAAAAACTCCTTGCTGCTCGCAAAATTAAAAATAGTACGATTAGTACACAAAATCAACTAACAATGCTAGAACACATTTCCACTACTTTTTCTTTCTTTCTTTCTTTCTTTTTTTTTTTTTTTTTTTTTTTGTCTTCTTGAGACTGGGTTTTGCTATCTAGTTCAGACTAGCCTTTAGCTCATTTTGTACCCAGGTGGCCTCAAACACGGATTCTCTAGCCTCAATGTCACCACACCCGGGTGGTGAGGGCAGCCTGGAATCCATAGCAGATTCAAGAGCCGAACTGCCTATCAAGACCCTATTGCAAAAATTAAAATAGTCACACAAAACAGACTTTGAGGCAAACCATATTTACTCTGAAAAGGGGCCACCCTTGGTTAAAACGTGAACTTCATCACTTAGGATAAATCTGCATTTGTCTGACCTTTGTCACTTGACGGATTCTTCTCACCTGCCAAATCTAGAATGTGCTAGGACTTGGATCCTAGATTTTTCCCTATGATGATCTCTTACCTCTTAGTTATCACCTTCAGTTCTGTGGCATCAAATGCCAGCTACACAGCAAGTCCGAAAGTTGTGTCTTCAACCAACAGCCTATTGCAAAATCGAGCTCAGGAAAGCAATAGTACTGTGACATTTCCTTTTGCATAGCTAATATTATCGCCAGCCTTCTAGATCCTGAATTAAGCCTTTAGTGTCAGTCCTAGAACATGTTCTCCTCACAGGCTCTGGCACCTCAGGTGAAGGAGACTCCACCTTTCCAGTTCTTAGCCCTAAAACCATGGAGTCATCTTGGATGACCATTTCCTCTCTTAGCACATATCCTAGCAGCCAGTCTAGTAACCTTTCTCTTTCTTTATCATGATGTTGAGGATTGAACATGGGGCCTTTGCACTGAGCTGCCAAGTGCCTGGATTCTTTCTTTCTGTGGGTCTGTATCTTGTTTCTTGACATTCTACCTTTGACAGAAAGGCAAAATATGGGGCTGGGGATTTAGCTGAGCGGCATAAGCGCCTGCCTTGCAAGCAGGCAGTCGTGACTTCAATCCCCAGTACCGGTAAAAAGGAAAAAGACAAAAAAAAAAAAAAAAAAAAAAGAAAAAGAAAAAGAAAAAGAAAGGCAAAATATGATTTGTCTCCACCTCTATTGTCCCCAGTCTGCCCCATGCTACTGTTACCTGTCCTCTGGGTTGTAGTATTTTCCCTCTCTCCCTGATACCCCTGCTTCTGCCTTGGAGCTCTGTGTTTGCTCAGATTCATATCCTCCAAAAAGCTGATGCTAAGATGTGAGCAAAAGTACATATAATTGATTGTGGATACTTTGTGAAAGTGAGAAGAGAATCAGGAGAGATGGGCATAGCCACCAGACTGTGACGCACGGTCAGATTTCACATGAAGGGGAGAAGGCAGGTTAGGTGAAATGATTATAGGCTTTTTGTGCGCTAAAATGTTGAGCAAGGCTCAGGGAGGGAAGTTTTTATGGGATTTCAAAGAGGGAGCACAGAGCAGGGTACTTGGCTGTCTTTGATTGGTTCTTACCACATATGTCACAGTGATCAGCCTTTTCTAGGAGACAGGAGCAACCAGAAATGCAAATCTCCCTTGTCTTTCAGTCACCTGGTGTCTCTAACACAACAAGGCCTGGCATTATCGCTATGAGCCTCCCTCATACCCTAGACCATTTAGCACCAGGAAGAATGTTCCCTTTTCAGTCAGCCCTGCTGTATGCTGAGGATCCTTGCAGACCATGAAGTTCCTGAATCTACTGCTTTGCCTGTTCCCCTTCAGTGTGACATTAACATCATGAAGTGAGTGCTGCTGGGAGAGCATAAATTCTTGCAGAATTTCCTACTTAAAAAAAAAAAATCACAACCGGGCAGTCAGCATGGAAGCGGTTTGGAAAATTTAACCCTCGGCTCTGTGCTCATAGTAAGGTACAAAGTACCCTGACCTGTAATCTCTAAAGATCCTTCAGCATGCACGGACCAAGGGCTCCTAATCAAGTTCTAGGTGCAAATTCACAATCACCACCAGAGATACTAAAATGATTTGCAAATTGCTATACTGGAAGAAGAAATACTCACAGTACAAATAATGCATCCAGAGCAGTGATCAGTACATGATGTAGACTTATATGGAGTCATTAATATGCTGCCAAAAAGTAGTTCACAAACTCCAAATCCTGATACAGTAAAAATGAATTGAATGCCTTTGTTCCCAGTCTTCCTAGAGTCTGAAAAACAGATCAGAAAAAAAATATTTAAAAAACTCACTCTTTTCCTGTCTTTGAATGAACAAAAAAATACATTCATCTCAGCTGAGCTGAATCTGGAAATTTCCAAGGGAAGACTCCCTGCTCTGAAGATGAGGGAGAACACAGGAGGTGGTAGAAAATACGTTTGACCCTCCCAGGCAGGATCACATTTCACATGGAATATCACAGAGCACTTAAAAAGACAGGTATTCCTTCTTAATTGTCAACATAGCACTAAAGTCTTGCCCTGAGTTACCAGAGAAGGTTCCTATATTTTACCCAAGTGACCATACAAGCCCTCTTTCACTACAGTCCTTGAAGTATCCACAGTGAGACACTTACCATTGGTGGTTATCGTTCCAGCCCCAATAAATAGACCGTGCTCCAGAGATGAAGAACTGATCAAAGAAAGTATCCACTTAGAGCTGGCTTTTGCCTCTAGTCCTTATACAATTTGCAAGTCCCTTCCCTGTCTTGTCAACTAAATAGTCAGTCCACACTCAGGGCTAGAAGAGGACTGAGTAGGTGTCAGCTCTGGGTGCAGATCCAGATGTTCCCAGACTAAGGATGGCTAGAGGGTGGGAAAATAAAGAAAAGAGATGAAAGCAGAGGTCAAGTGGAGCCCTCTCTCCTAATGGGAGGAAAGGAACTGCTCAACCACCATAGTGGCATTTAATGATACATTTATAAGATAAAGTCACATGGCACATCCTTGCCTAGAAGTGCATTGTTTGGATAGCCTTGCACTTTGGTGTACTCTGAGCTGGGGCAGCTTGTTTTTCAGGGGCACACATTGACCTCTTACTGCCCCACACAAATGGTCGGTCTCAAGCTTCAGCTGCTTCCTCCACACAGGTATCCCAGAGAGAGGGATAAAGGTATTTGATAACAGATAGGACTTTGCACGATTTGGTGACAAAGAATTTGCACCTGACATTTGAGATAGGGGACTCATTATTGATAAATGGAAAGGTACCCATAGCTAGCAATCAATACCAATCACAGGGGGAAACCTCACTGTAATGGAAATAAAAGGGGCTATCACCATCCCAAGTCACAGCACTGTCAATCCAATGAGAATCAGGGCCACCCGGAAGATAAGAACTTCCTGTGAGTAGTTATTGCTTCTCTGAGGAAACAAATTTCCCAACATCATAATGCATTTTAACACACTTTGAAAACTTCAAATAGGGAAGATTCCAAGAATAACTCTACACATCAAAATGTTCCCTTATCAAAATTCTCTTAACCTAAAGCATAAGTCTGTTTCTAGTTTTTAAAGCATGTGTTCTTCTATGCTCTGCTAAATAAAGGCAATGCAGCTTCTGCTGATTGTTGATAGCTCCATTCCACTCATCCATTTACTGATGTTGTAAGTTTAATTCGGAACAGAATTGAAAAAACTGGTGACCTGGAGACCCCAGTATACTGGTCAGCCTAGTCCTGTGCCCCAAGCCTATGCTAACACCTTGGCCTCTTCACCCACAGAGTCTGGGGTCGCCCTTTCAAGAAGGGCAACAGAGTCTTCTGCAGCTGTCCTGGGTGCAAAACGTCCTCACTCTCCAGAGAGCTGAAGATGAGTCCTCAGGCTGTGCTGTCCGGTCATTGCTGGAGAGAAGAAAGAGAGCCTTGCTCAGTGTAGGTCCACGTTCAAATGTCCTCCATATTCAGGGTCATCACTTCAACCCAGGGGAGTTGTGGAGTATAAGATTGGATCACATTTAACTTCTTCCTGTTTTCTTAGAGCAGGGTGAATTCTTCATTTATTCTCATCCCCACATCTCCCTCAGTGTCACTGCTAATGAAACTCAGATGGTTTCATGTTGCCTCACTAAAGTGCATGCATTGTGCCTGATCTTGAAGCAAACAGTCTCCCCTGCGTAAGACTGGGAGGGCTCCCCCTAGGGTCCAGAAGAACAGCACAAGGCTCACACCCAGCAAGGTGCCACAAAAGCTGTTCTCTATTTTGTGGTTTCCTCCAGCTCATTTTACTTGACCCTCCCCATAGACCAGGCCCCCACACCCTCCAAATAGGTACCATCCTGGAGACAAAGCAAGGGCTGAGAAGCAGATGGTTTTTCCTATCTTTGCATCTTTCCAGGGAGCATGTAGGAGTTAGCATCCTCTTTGATTTGTGGACTCTGATTCCCAGTCTTCTATGTGAGTCACCTTCTCAAATGTCAGTTCTATGACACACACTTTGCCAGAGTCCTTGTTTCCTCTTATTTGTCTCATTCCATTTGCTCAATGAGTATCAGCAAGGCTTAAGCCATGTCCTGTGTCTCTAACATACTAATCTCTTTATCATAAGTGGTGGCATGAATTCAGCTTAGGTGTTCACCCAAAAGATTTGGGTAGAGTTATGTAGTCATGCAAGA